AAGTAATAACTTCCATTTCTTTAATCTGGAAGAAACCAGGAACGGAACACCTTCCTGCATGCCGAACAATTTCACCAGAGGTTTGTGATCAGTTTCAAGGACAAATTTCTTTCCCAGGAGATATTGGCGAAATTTGGTTGCACCAAACACAAGAGCGAGTGACTCCCGTTCAATATTTGAATAGTTTCTCTCCGCTTTATTCAACAGACGAGACGCATACGAAATGGGTTGGTAATCACCATTTTCGTTTTTCTGTAAAAGAACCGCACCAAGACCCGTTCCTGATGCGTCGCATTGCAAGACATGCTCCAGACCCGCCGAATAGTGCGCCAAAACCTCCGTGGAACATAAAGCATTCTTTATCGTAAGGAACGCTGTCTGTTCAGAATCTGACCATCTCCAAACAGTATCTTTCTTTAGCAGAGCGTAAAGTGGCGCCATAATCCGAGCAAAATTGGGTATGAATTTGCGAACATAATTCGCAGACCCAATAAACGATTGAAGCTCACTGACGGACGTAGGAGCATTGGCATTAACCATAGCATCGATTCTTCCTGGCGAAGGCGCCATACCACTCGCACTCAAAGTATGACCAAGGTACGAGACTTGCGGTAGCATGAACTCGGTTTTCGTGGCTTTCAAACGCATTCCCGCATCTTGTAGCCGCTGCAAAACCATTTCCAGGTTTCTTTTGTGCTCTGCATCATTTCGACCTGTGACTAGAATATTATCTACATACACAATGCAGCCATCGATACCCGCCAGGAGAGTCTCCATAGTACGCTGAAATATGGAGACTGCTGAATGAATGCCAAACGGTAGACGTACATATTCAAACAGACCACGGTGGGTATTGATTGTAGTATACCCCCTCGACTTAGGATCAAGCTCTAGCTGGTGGTACGCCTGAGATAAATCAAGCTTCGTAAACTTCTGCCCACCATTCAACTTGGCACGAATTTCGTCTATGGTAGGTAACGGATATTTTTCTAAATCCGAATTAGCATTGATGGTGCGCGAGTAATCAGCACAGATACGTACATTTCCGTCTGGTTTTTGAACCGGAACCGTAGGTGAAGCCCATTTCGAAAATTCAACTTTGCGTATTACACCTTCCTCCTCCAGTTTAGAGAGGCCTTGCTCGTATTTCTCCCGGATTGCAAATGGTACTGAACGAGCCTTCATGTACACAGGTTTTGAATCATTTACACGCAAAGTGACCTGAGTTGAATTTAATTTGCCGACAGTTGACGTGTCAAACAAACTCTCAAATTTCTGAAGCATTTCCTCCTGCAGCTTTGCGCGTATAAGAGCATTATCAATTTCAGACTTCACCGAGAATATTTCCCTCCATTCTAGTTTGAAAAGTGAGAGAAGATCTCTGCCCAACAGAGATGGACCATTTGTATCGACAATGCGCAAGAGAACAGTGTGCTTTTGCCCATTTATTGACACTGGAAATTTCCCTTCACCTAAACAGGGGATGATGGAGCCGGAAAACCCAATGAGCTGGACTGATTGAGTTACAAGAGACGACACTGGTGCACCCAATTTCTCGTAATCAGATTTGGTGATGATGGATACAGCACTACCTGTATCGATTTCCATGCAAATTGGTGAACAAACATCATTGATTTCCGCCATTACAGTATACGGAGGGTGTTTTCCACTACCCGATCGAATCTTGTAGATAGGCATATCATCAACATCACAATCAGAAACGATCTCACCTCGATCATCAGGTTCGTCATCCACGTGGTGAATTTCACCTCGTTTCTGCTTGGTGATGCAGGCTCTTTCGAGATGTCCTCGTTTCTTGCAGTATCGACAAGTAGTAGATCGATGAGGACACTTGTCAGCCATATGCAAATCAGATGTACAACGATAACAAACCTTGCCCTTCGTCGACTTTGACCCTTTCTGGTCCTGCGAGTGATTTGGCTTTCTAGATGCACTTGCTGACTTGGATTTACTGGTAGTGGTAGCTCTCATCTTGTTGACTGACTCGGACGGCGTAGATGTTGATCTAGTACTAGTAGTAGTACCTGGAGTAAGCTGCTCAGCAAACATGATGGCGCGCTCCTCCCGTAAAGCGATATCCAGCACATCCTGAAACTTCTTCGTCTTGCTGTCAGGACTAGTCAGAATCGTCCGCTTGATCTCCTGACTGTAGACTCCTGCCATAAATTGATCTTTTAGGGATCTGTCTAAATGCGACCCAAAGTCGCAGGCTACTGCCGCACGTTTCAAACGATTTGCGTAATCTACCAGCTTTTCCGCTGGTCTCTGGTTGCAATCGCGAAATTGAAAAGAAGAAGTCATCGTGGAACGCTCCACTCTGTAATATCCATTCAGTAGGTCACAAATCTGCTCGAAGGTCTTGTCCGATATTGACTCCGGCAGACAGAGGTTCCGCAAAGTGGAGTAGACGTCTTTCGACAGTGAAGAGATTAGATGTGCAATCATCTTGTCGTGACGTACGCGTTCTTTCTCCGATGAGTTTGCACTGGCTGAAACAACACCGATGTCATTTGCGAGAAAATAAAACTCAAGCCGTTCCCGGTACTCCGCAAAGTCCCCGCCAGAAAACTGCTCCAGGGTGGCCTTCCCTGAAGAGGCCATGGTTTACCAAATTCTCGCAAGCACTCAACTAAACAAATTATCTCAAAACAAAATTTTCATCTTCGTCGCCATTTGTTGTGTATCCACGTACACCCTACATGCAGTCTCACACGCAGCTCACCAGAGTCAACCAGCCGGCATGGATACATGTAGAGTAAGACCATGATTCAGAGCATGCGCAATGAGTATATACAAATGCATACAGAGTACATAATATATTACATCAGAGTGCATATATAACACCGACGAAAAGACAGTCGGCCCAACCTCCTGTCTCACCTTCCTGGGCATCGAACTGGCATCGAACTGGACTCCGTCCAGAAAGTGGCTCGTCTCCCACAGGACAAGGTTGACGACATCCGCTCCAGACTATTGGCCTTTCGCCAACGCCAATCCTGCCGTCTACGGGAGCTTGAACAGCTGTTGGGCAAGCTGAACTTTGCCAGCCGCGTCATCACGCCGGGCCGTACATTCATGCGCCGACTGTACGATGCCACGCGCAACGTTTCCAAGCCCTACCACCGCATCCGTCTCTCCCCAGAATGTCATCTGGACCTTCTTTGGTGGTCTCACCTACTCGATGGCTGGAATGGCAAGTCATTCTTCCTCGATCTCCAGGAGACTCTGGCCAGCGACATCCTGATAGAAACTGACGCACCTGGCGCCATTGGGCATGGTGCAGTTTACGGCACGCATTGGTTCGCCGACACCTGGTCACCACAACACACTCCGCTCTGCATTACGTTCAAGGAGCTGTACCCCATCTGCATTGCATGTGCTACGTGGGGCCACCAGTGGTGTCGCAAGCGTATCCGCTTCCATACCGACAACGAAGCTGTCGCCGCTGTTCTCAAGTCTGGCACCAGTCGCTGCCCTTATGTGATGTCACTCCTACGGCAGCTCTTCTTCATCTGCGCCAAGGGTAATTTTATGGTCACCGCCCGTCACATACCGGGAACTACCAACATCCTTGCTGACGCTCTCTCCAGGCAAGATTTCAAGCGATTCCATTCGTGCCACCCTACCGCCGCTCACATGCCCACTCCCGTGCGTGCTCTTCCGTCCATTCCTGGGGAGACTTCGGCCGTGCCTTGCACAGCCGAGTGACGGAAGCCCACATGCAAACTGCCATGAAAGCTGGCAGCACCGGTCCTGGGTAAGCGCTGATCAGACAGACTGAGCCCACTTATTGTGGGTGCCAGAGCATAACCGAATGCCACCTATGTACCGACTGTACACTCAGCAACTCAATATCACTCTACTATTGTCCACAATCTGTGGCACCCCCTCTACAGTTAACAGTGAATAGGAGGTTCTCTATTTGGGGAGTCAACCTTGCTTACCAGGCTCCTCATACGGCTCATTCAGCCTCTCACACTCAGACGGCTCACTCAGCCTCGGCTCACTCAGCCTCTCAATACGGCTCACTCAGCCTCCGCAGCCGGGCCCTGCCCGGCTGCCTCCATACAGCTCACTCAGCCTCCGCAGCAGGGCCCTGCCCAGCTGCCATACACACACATTCACACAGCTCTAAGCTGTCACTCACTCGGAGCCTGGCAAAGCAATTGACAAACCCTCCTATTCCCCAAACTGGTTGCTCGTTGTGTGAGTGCGGCATGCAGATGCTTGTGTTAAATGATTTTTTGCGCACGCGCAAAAATATGTTAACACAGAAGGCGCATGCTCTGTTCCCAACAAACTCTCACACGCTCATTGTTCTCCGAAGTCCACTGTTCCTGACTTCAGTTCTTGCTTTGTCCGCATTGGCAGTGGATTTCTTTCTCAACCCACCCACCCACTCCACTATTGTCATCATCATGTTTCCTATTCGAGTTCTCTCCTGTCGGTATCCATTATCATACCGGCCTACAATAACTACACCGATGCCGTCTACCGGCGAAACTCTGTAAATACATGGAGGGGAGTCAACCTTGCTTACCAGGCTCCTCATACGGCTCATTCAGCCTCTCACACTCAGACGGCTCACTCAGCCTCGGCTCACTCAGCCTCTCAATACGGCTCACTCAGCCTCCGCAGCCGGGCCCTGCCCGGCTGCCTCCATACGGCCCGGCTCACTCAGCCTCCGCAGCAGGGCCCTGCCCAGCTGCCATACACACACATTCACACAGCTCTAAGCTGTCACTCACTCGGAGCCTGGCAAAGCAATTGACAAACCCTCCTATTCCCCAAACTGGTTGCTCGTTGTGTGAGTGCGGCATGCAGATGCTTGTGTTAATACTACTTCAAGTATTCTTCCGGGCGTGAAAATAGTCATGAATGAAAAATTGCCACTGAAAATCGTATCATGGCAGCACATTCAAATGGCAAACAAAGCAAAGTGTACAGCTGATTCTAGTCACCCAGTCCTAAATACTCACTAGTAAGTGAAAGACCCTGGTATAGGCACCGGAGTTTGGCTGTCTGGCCCTGCAATACTTCCACATCGCTTACATCCTCCAGTTCATTTTCTCCAGCTAGAGAATGGGAAATCAATGCAACAAAACAAGGGAAGTAAGAAATTAAAGGGGAAGTTAAGGCAAAAATTAAAATTTCACCAGTTGTAGTCTTCGGGGTGCTGAGTCGAATGGTCGTGGTCCGAGAAAGCTGAGACGCTCCCTTCCTACTTGAATCCCAATCGAACACTCGCACTTCCACCGAAACTGGGTGACTGCGCCCTACGAGATGGGGATTTGTATGCGAAATGTCACTAAAAGCGCCATTTCGTTCTTATAAAAGCACGGATGACCGCGATTGGCCCATATGTTGTAGTCTTTTGGACGCTGAGTCGACTGGTTTTGGTCCGAAAAGGCTGCGATGCAGCGTTCGCCCCTAATTCCCAATCGAATATGGTTGAACAAGCGGTCACGTGCTCCTGCGCACACCAGTCACGTGGTCACCGTGCCTGCAGGGTACAACTTACAGCCTGTTTTGACCTTTTTTGGGTGCAGTCCTGTCACTCGAGTTGAACCTTGGTGTGAAAGTTGTCGCCTGCTGGCGTGGTGACCAGGTGATTTTGGCACCCAGGAGCACGTGACCGCTTCTTCAACCATGTTCGATTGGGAATAAAGGAGGAACGCTGCATCGCAGCCTTTTCGGACCAAAACCAGTCGACTCAGCGTCCAAAAGACTACAACATATGGGCCAATCGCGGTCATCCGTGCTTTTATAAGAACGAAATGGCGCTTTTAGTGACATTTCGCATACAAATCCCCATCTCGTAGGGCGCAGTCACCCAGTTTCGGTGGAAGTGCGAGTGTTCGATTGGGATTCAAGTAGGAAGGGAGCGTCTCAGCTTTCTCGGACCAAGACCATTCGACTCAGCACCCCGAAGACTACAACTGGTGAAATTTTGATTTTTGCCTTAACTTCCCCTTTAAGGCTTCCCTGAGAGCGACCAGGCAACGGGGAACCATGGGGACAATTAGGAGATCACTAACACAGTTTTGCAATAAGTCGCGTTGGTAGTGGTTGGCGCAAACGCGTGCCGGAGCATGTCTCAAGACAGTTCAGTGCAATAGGGCTTGAAAGCGATGACACCAGAAGTCATCAGAAGTCAATATCTAACGACAGATACCGACTTTTGGATCCATTCTGACCATGGCGAAGTACAGGATGTGGTGGATGGATCACTCGTGTCGTACGTATAATATATATGTACAGTTGCGCTCGGTGAAATCCGACCCAAAGTGCAAAGCTGGTGCCCTGGACCAGTTCCGATTACATCATTGTATTCGAAAATGTGTACGTCCAGCCGCATTCGTGCCACTTCCAGGGCGTCAAGGGCAGCGGTGCTAGTTGAGGGTGGCAAATATGTACTTGGGTCGGATTTTACCAAGCACAACTGTAGTGGTGATTCTCTCCTGTACCCGCAGGAGTGGGTCCCTGACAGGGAGGGCTCAGTCCAGTCACTACCATACAAAATCCATACAAAAACTGGATCCAGGTGGATAGGGTCCAGCGGATAATGCTCCGAAAATGATCGTACAATGCTAATCATAATGCTCCAAAAACTACCTCATAATGCTGATCATAATGCTTTAACAAGGGCTATAATGCTCTTGGTTTGGGTCAGAAAGGAGGAAAGGCGGCACATATTCAAATCTGCTGCTGAATCCGGCGCAATATTTTCCACAAGCTCCACCAACTTGTAGCACTATAAGACATAATCGATTCGCCAGTGGCTGCTCTCTATTGCAGCTTTTGCGCAGGGCTATGGCTGAATAGTGTATATCATACAATACTATCGCAGCATTATCCAGGGAGTGAAAGGTGTAAACTATGATAGGGATCATGGAAATGAGGTTTATCATGGCATCTGGTAGTCCTGCCTGCAGACAAGCTGCCACTGCATTGGTTCTGTGAATAATCTTTTCATCTGAAACAGCAGATATTAGGCTGATCTTGTATCCAAATCCCTTCCATTTGCGGTGAGCGTGAAAAAATGTGGCCAGATTATTTTGCTGCTCTACTTCCTTTACTTTTATAGTCTTCTTCTCCTTGTGGTGTTGCATAGACAACTGGGTGGCAACATTGACAATAATACTCTTCTTTGTTGATAGCACTTGGCTCAGTCACTGCTGTCTTGGGAGTACAGCTGTCCACATCTTACTGTACGTGTTTCATCAGGACACTCAGACACGCACTGCTGCAGAGTGCTCATAACGACTTGGTGCTGAATCCACGAGTAATTCTAGTTCTTTTCGAGCCAGTTCGGCTGGACTCCGCAAAGGCAGTTCGTCGGAACAACATGGATCTCTTTCTGCTTGTAGCTGCTCTTTCAGCCTGGTCCAAATTTATCAAAGGATCGGCGTCTACATGTACTTCACTATCGCTACTAGCCTAGTCACGCTATCTTCAGAGCCTGAGGCACAACGAGAAACTTCTCTTCGGCTTTTCGACATTCACTTCGCCTCCATGACTCTCCATGTTTTCGACAAAACAGGTTCCTCCTTGCAAATCCTTGTTGCGAATTTTTGCAACAGCTTTGGTTGGGCGCACGTAGTCGTCACTGAGATAGTGATTGACCTAACTACATAGTACATACATGTAGCCATTGCTACATCAAGTGCTAAAAAGTGTTCCGTGTCTACGCAAAGGGATCCACGATCCAGTCACCTGGTAACACGAAGAGGGTTGCACCTCCCAGCAAGAGTTAACGCTGCACCCCGGACGCGCCGGCAACGCCAGTCCCTCGGTGGCCACTCTTTCCAACTCGCAACTCCTCTGCCAGCCTCCAGTCCAGAGTTCATCCGCCGCTCCTTCCCATACTTTGTCCTGGAGAGCTGGAACACACTGCCTGCCCCAATCCTCGCCGAACGCCCAACTCTCAAGATATTGCCGACATTCAAGACCAAGGCCTACCATCACCTCCGCCAGACCAATTGGCTATGGGCCACTGACGTCCACCAGCACTGAGAATAACCGGTTGTCTCTATTATTATCATTTTCTGTTTCTCTCTCTCTCTCACTCTTCCTCTCCTGGGAAGCTCCTCATGCTCATTCTCCCTTTCTCTGTCCATTTCCCCTTCCTGATGCGTAGACCAACTGTTGAACCCGAGACCACTAGGTTGGGGGAGGTTGACCTACCTCATCGGCACGCATGCCAGGCTCCTCTGTGTTGTCAATGTTCGCTTGTCCAATTTTGTCTACCTCCCCTTTTATGTTGCTGGCCAGTGCTTTGTAGTAAAAAAAACAAAAAAACCTCATGAGTGTAGCCGATTGTTGCCAAAAAGCTGGGATTTCCCGATATTATCCACTATGAAAGTCCAAATGCCGCTCAAAACTCACATAATGCCCGTTTTTTCCTTTCTAATGCTCCACAATGCTCTGATGCTCGGATAGTCCCATAATGCCGAATATGATGCCGGCATTATTCGCTGGACCCTACAGGTGGATCAAAAAGGCAGCGTTGTCATGACTACGCTGGATGTGACAGTGCACTTTACAGGCCTGCTATAGCAGGGTATGTCTAGTGGCAATCGGATAAACTGAAACCAGCAACCAAAGATAATCCTCTGACAAGAATACATTGATTACACATACCAAACTGTGGCTAGCAACACATGTAAACAATAAGCCTTTTGCGCGTTGTACAGATGCACGAAATCCCGTAGAATCCCGTAGAACCTAATGGGTGCTGAATGTGCAGGACCCTATTGTGTTTTCTGCTATTTCCACTAAGAAATGAGCCCTGAAGGCATTTGAAACGAAAACCTTTTCTGACAAAGATCTAGCTAGTCATTAGTTCTAACGAAAGTGAAGAAGCTGGAAAAGGGATTGTTTGCCATTAATTATGAGGCTAAAATTGGTCAAATGCGCATGCATAGCACACAATGAACACCCAATCGGGGCTGTACACACCTACGCCCTAGTACTGAACTTCCTACATCTGTACAACGCGCAAAAGGCTTATACCATTAGCAAGGGATTTCCCCCTCAAATAGAGGCAATATCCAGGATAGCTTACAGTAGGATGTATACTGTATCGTGGCCGAAGCTGTAGCATTCCTAGATAGGCTGTTGCTGGCGACACAGCTGAACACATCCCGTCGCATGCCAAGAAAGCTAGCCTTCACGCTGACTATTAGCTTGGAGATGCCTGAAGCGAGTGTCTGGACAGTAACTCCAGTTGTTGAATTGGTCAGTTGCATAGATCCCTGGAGTGAAACATGACCAGAACAGAACACATACTGTAGTCACCATACCAAAACCCCAGGGTCGTATTTGCTCAAAACTCAACTTTGAAAGTACCCCAGTTCTGCATAATTATAAGACCTGGGTTACCTAATGATCTGCTTTATGTACCACAAATATCCCTTACATCTTTGAAAAAACATTCGCACTCCAGTCAGAGGCGGAGGAACGAGCTTGGGAGTGGTCCGGCTGGGTCCCGGGGAATTTCCCCCTGAATTTTTTGGAAATATTATATGAATATGAATGAATTTGGGGATATCGTGGTCAGTGACCACAAACGGAAATCAACAAAAATAGAACAGAGTATTGGTGATAAGATGGTCAAAATGGGTAGCACCGATCCCCGAACGCTTACAAAGTGTGGGCAGATAGAACTACCGACCTTTCTTTTTCTTTCTTTTTTTTTACCATTTCTAGCTTCCTCAGCCTATTGATCGAGTTTCTCGCTCGCTTCCTTTCGACTTGTGGATACTTCTTTTTGAAGTACATTTTCGATAGGAGTGACTGGTGCTGCTTTGATAGAAGGCGAGGTCGTGCTGCAGACATTAGTATGCATTAGAGGGGCAATACTCTTCAAGCACCAAGTCCTGACCTCTAGATTTTTTACACCGGTGTTGCACAAATCCAGTGGACCATCCAGCTGGGGAGAGTGGTCCGACCTGGGCAGGACCAGCCGGACCAGTTCCTGTGGCCCTGCTCCTTGCAAGTAAACTGGAAGAATGTGTGCGGGCAGCTTGCAATGTGTGGAAGCCAATAAGTGACAACTACCCGAGTAAACTCACCAGTTTCCAGGAAATGATCGGACGTGGAATTCCTCTGGCGCCGCACAACAGCTTGACATCAGCATCTAGCTTAGTATTGATTATAAAGGAGCTCGGCTGCACAACGATGACTGGTGGAGCTGTGCAGGTATGACAAACGAAGATGCTTGTTTCATGTTCATCTTATGTGTGCACTCTTCTTTCAGACCTGCTCTCAGTCCGGGTTTTGCATAATACAAAATTGCTAGTACAGAATGTTCAGCTGCTGTATAAAATCATTTCATGCTGCGCAATAGGTTTCAATAACATCATGGACGGCACCAGACGGCACTGTCGGCACCTTGATCCAGTATGGAGGCACATGCTCTGTTCGGGGGCCAAGACTAAGATCAGAATGAACACTATGAGTTATCATACAGTGACATCATGGGTTCGCCGGTTCAAGCATACACGTATACTCATATTATAGCCAAGGATTCATGATGGTTAGGTTTATTCCCAAGAATTCTTTTCAGAACTACCACTTCAACCGACTTACACCGTCATACGTGTGGACTGCAGCGTGCGTTGAAAACATGTTTTATTGATTTTCTTCTTGCCGAAGGAACTGTAGCTGATGAATGCGGCTTAACTAGTACAATGCAAGTGCCCAAAGTTTCACGGAAAGAGATGTACTATAACTGTAGTTATGAGACTGTCCACAGTCCATTCATAAAACGATGAGTGCTGGCTCTAGCGAGCTCCCGTACCGGGTGATTTTTCGTGATTTTATCGTGCACGGTGCAATACCCCGAGATTTGAAACTTGAAAAGCAGGCTGAAAGGGTCCAAAAAGGTACCTCAACTGAGGTTTTGAACCGCACACTGTACTGTTGCCAGTGGAGTGAGACGGCCTGGATTTTCATGGTTTTCCCAATTCAGTGCTATTGGGGCAAAACCTGGCCGAAATCCTATTCTTGTTATGGCTTGCTTTCTGGAGAAATTAACTTCAGAAACATACCGTCAAGTCTTGTATAAAAGCCGCGGCTTCTATGACTTTCTTGGTGAAAAATTTCAGGCTTCTATACAAGACAGGTATTTCTATGTACATGTATGTCAACACTAAAACCAGGCTTATGCGTGATTTGATGGGCCCAAAATTGCGGCTTCTATTCGAGGGCGGCTTCTATTCAAACGCGGCTTTTATACAAGACTTTACGGTAATTGGAAGAGCATTCCATGGGGATTGCCAAAAAATTGTGAAAAACCACAAAATTTGACCCATGTATGGCCAAAAGCTAGGATATCATCTTTTTACGAATGGATGGACTATAGATGCCGGTATTCAAACACCGATGTTGTATACAACGGTTTCATTGCGCCGCCCAAAACTATGCCACTCACCTAGCCCCCGCACAGCAAAGTCATGGTAGATTTTGCCATAGGGATTGGCTGCCACACACGTGTACCAGCCAGACAGTGCATACGTGCCCATCAGCCTGTGGAGCACCAACTTGTTACCAGTGACATTCAGCTGCGAGGACACAGCAGAGAAATCCTGCGCGTCGTCGTTCTTCAACCAGGAGATGCTCGGCGCGGGATTACCACCGGCAACACACTCAACCACTGCGGTTTGGTTGGGTCCGAATGTGATGAGCGGAACAGGCGTCACTGTCGGCACCTTGATCCAGTATGGAGGCGCATGCTCTGTTCGGTGGCCAAGATCAAGATCAGAATGAACACTATGAGTCATCATACAGTGACATCATGGGTTCTCCACTACAAGTATAGGCCCGTGGTATAGCCAAGGTTTCATGAATTTTGTAGAATGCATCGTTGAGGGTCCAATGTTCCAATATGAGCCCATTATGTTGAACCATCTTCTTGTGCTTGCCCACAAAAAAATAGTAAAATGTTCTTACGAGTAGGCTACAGGATATGCCCGAAAAGGCTATTAAGTCCTGCCTCGTGAGTCATGGGTATTATACCCATACTATACCTATGTTTTCACTGGGAAAGCCTATCACACTATGAGCGGCTTGCCCAGTACTGGTGAAAACAGGCAAGTGTTTGCAGTGCTTGGACGGGGTGGCTCACTGGGTTTCAGTGCCAGGACAGGGTAAAACCACCTGGGTTTCAGTGCTAGGCCCTGGGCAAAACCACCCGGGTTTCAGTGAAAGGACCGGGTAAAACCACCCGGGTTTCAACGCTAGGACTGGGTAAGACCACCCGGGTTTCAGTGCTAGGACTGGGTAAAACCACCCGGGTTTCAGTGCTAGGACCGGGTAAAACCACCCGGGTTTTAACGCTAGGACTGGGTAAGACCATCCGGGTTTCGATGCGAGGATTGGGTAAACCCCAGTTCCGGTGCAAGGACTGAATGGTTTGCCGGGTTTCATGGAGTTGCAATGCATTGGCTCATGAGATCATACAAGGCATTGTAGAGAACTTGAGTACCCGTGGCAGCAGCAGTTGCACAAATGTGTGTACTACGTGTACAGCACTGGCTATTGATATACAGTCGACTCCTGATAATAGACTGTACTAGTGCTCCTAGTTTATATGCATCCCTACAAGATATAGTTGATTATAAACGAAATCTGTTCGCTACAAAGAGTCAATTTTGTTTGGTTTCAAACAGGGACATGGACAATAGTTCGGCAATATCACGAAATTCGCTATGCAAGTTTTAGTGGAAATATTATTACTCTTTTTTTTACATATTTTGTAGAAATAGTGATGCCGCGCCCTATTTATGGCTTTTCCCCATCAAACTGTGATTCAGAGTTACGGATATTTCGAAGTTCCGGGCAGTGCCCGGTCCCGAACCATCCAGACAAGTAAGGTATGAGTGTAGTTTTTGATTGGTGCGGTAGTTTCAATGCCTTTCATGCTTTGTGTAGGATATGGGCATTATGGCAGGTGCACATGACCTACCTCCATAGTAGTAAATATGTGCTGGTGGTTAAAATGTTGGTCTCTTGATAACGTGACCAACCGGACCGGTTCCGACGGCCCTGGAAATGATTGTAGTGGAAATTCAAAGGATCTATTCTATGTGCATTCAAATCTACCAAGGCAAATGACCGTGTCTTAGTGGCACCATGTGGCTGGTGGGTGCGCCACTTTGTCACGGTGGAACCGATCCCGTTGGTCAGCCTATGGCCGGACCAACACTTGGCGGCAACGCGTGTTTACTGCCGAGGAGGCCATGTGTACCCACCATATCATACACACAGTATGAAAGACCGTGACTATAATAATATGTGTGGCCGGAGCAATCGAGAACTGCTTCTGCCGGTCCTGTAAATTGTGTCTCAGTATGACTTACTAGTACTCACTTTCTACAATCTTGGGTGCCTGCAGTTGGGACAGCACACTCTGTGGCTCCAGCATCAGTGCCAGCAGGATGAATCCAACCCAGCTCCTCGACCAACAACTGATCATGTCTGCCACTCGTAGATCTTTCAGTGATACATGTACTCAGACTTGTTTACTTACTTGGACTGCACTGAACAGTGCCAGTGGGTGATACAACCTTACGGGCTAAATCAGCTGAAGTACCTCCGTCACTTGCATGTAGGACCTGATGAAATTCCCCTTACGAGCAACAAACTGACCGTAGATCACTATTACTTGTGACAGTCTTGGAAGTGTTTCGGTCTAGCATGATGACTAGCCAGAGGCCCAGAGCAGTGAAGACTGAAGAGACGGAGTGCGATACGCGTCTGTGATCGCTATTGAGTAATTCTCATCACGTCAGTACAAGGGGAGGCCACGTTCTTGTTTCTAAACGCGGATGAGCGAACCAGCCAACTAACTAATTACTTCACTTTACTTTTTACTTGCGTTTATTCCTTCATCCGCTCATCTACCGACCCGTGATGTGTATCACTACCAGAAGCTAGGATTTTGGTTCATTCATGTATGAATATGATCATGTCACTAATATTATCACCTGCGGCTGCAGGCTGCACCATGATCTTGATGATCACTCCCTACGAGTCGACTGACTGTATGTCGCATGTGCACACCTGCTCACTGCATTGTTACCAATGGTTACGGTACTTGCACTTGCAGGACCAGGGCCGTATGTATGTAGCTCGACCATGATTTGATGGCATGAATCATGATACCAAGAGTCAGGACTGAGTACATAACCTGATAACACTGGTTATGTACTCTTGATTATACATGTACTACTAATACTATTATTATACCTACCATGCACCCGTGGTAACCAGTGGTAACGTTGACACCACAGAGTTGTTGGTTGACAGCATGTTGTTGGTTTATACAGCATGTGGCCAGGTGGAGGACCATACAGTGTTCGGAAACAGTGACCTTTCTACATCCATCCACGCCTTGGTAGAGCCCCGGTCGTGCGACCATCTGAACCGTAAGGGTGTTAGACCCGGCTCTGACCCTCTGTATGCTAGGGACTTGTCTTAGGCTTCTTGTTGTTGTACCGTCAGTCGCGTGTGTTCTTTATTCGCTCCTGGGTGTCTTCTTCATGCTCAGTCCTCATAAACTTAGTAGCTTTTTGTTGTGAATTGTTCTTCTTTCATCTCTTTTATACTCTTCATTCTTTCTTTTTCCAACTAACTTCCGTCAGCTCGTCACGTCAGCTGACAACAGTTACTGTCACCATCATGACAGCACTGTAACACGGTGGAGGACAGCATGACAAAAATATGTCCTCTTTACATGTCATTGTAACAAGTGTCAACCAAAAACATGTTTCAACAAAACAAGGTTAACTGGTTTGAGGGAAAGACACAGACGGGAAAAATCTGAAGGAAAAATTGACTGTCACCACCAGGACTCGAACCAGGACCCTCGCCTGTAGCCAGCGATAGGCAGTGGCCCAGCGATGCTCTAACCACTGTCCACTGAGCTATGGTTTTTGTTTTGTTTGTTTTTTATTTCAGTTCGTTGCCTCAACAGTACAAAGTACAAATATCAAGAGGGACGAACGAAAAGAGAAAATAAAACAGAGCAGAGAGGAAGATGCAACTGAAAGGAAAGGAAAACTGAGAGAAACGGAGAAGGAATGTGGACTGGGCGGATTCATGAACCATTACTAGAGAGAAACGGAGAAGGAATGTGGACTGGGCGGATTCATGAACCATTACTAGAGCAGGTCAATGCATGAACAGAAGGGGCAAGTCCGTCGATATTCATGTTTAAAAAATTCCAAGCCTTATATTATTGGTGAAATACATTTTCAAAAAGGAGGGGATATAGGGATATAGTCAATTTGTCGTCATTTAGAGCGTGCAAAAGTTCTGTAGAAAATGATCTAATGTCCTCACTTCCTTTCAAGTGAGCAGGGAGGGCATTCCACATAAGGGATGCTCTGGAGGAAAAGGAATTGTACCCTACCATGGATTTATGCAAGCAAATTGACATATTGTTTGTTGTAGTTCCACGAGTTGACCGCTTAGAGGTGGGCAAAGGGAAAAGACTGCGTAAGCATGATGCAGGCTGAACAATATGACAAATAAACGTAAACGTAAGAAATTGATAAATGTATCGGTATTCAAGGTGTTTTATTTGAAGAGAAGCAAGAAGGGGTGGTACAGCAGCATGATATGAAGCACCGCAGGTAACTCGTACAGCTCTACGGAACAAGGTAAACAATCTCTCCCTGGACTGTGCTGATAGGTGAGATGCGTAAACAGGGAAACAATACTCAAAGTCGGGATGAATCACACTAAGCAGGTACTGGCGACGGGCAAATGCTGCCATTTGGCGGAAGGTGCGTCGCAACGCGCCTATCTTGCGTGACACCTTGCTGGTGAGGTGATCTACGTGTGGAGCAAATGAGAGCTTGTTATCGATAAGGATACCAAGGCAGCGAATTACACTCACTTCCCTTAAGGTAGTGCCGCCCAGCTCAACAAGAACGGGTCTTTGTACGTCAGGAGCATTCTTCGGCAAGATCCTCATGACCACGGTTTTGTCAACATTAACGCTCATGCCCAGTGATCTTAGTTCATTGTGTATCTTAGCGAGAGCCGAGGACACGACATCGGCGCATACTATTGGATCTCGTGAGGAAGCGTACAAAGTCTTGTCATCGGCAAACATGAGGAGCTTTGCACCGCTCCCTGCAGCCAGGTCAGGTAAGAGTCGCACATATAGGTTAAAAAGGGTTGGACTCCGCAAAGGCAGTTCGTCGGAACAACATGGATCTCTTTCTGCTTGTAGCTGCTCTTTCAGCCTGGTCCAAATTTATCAAAGGATCGGCGTCTACATGTACTTCACTATCGCTACTAGCCTAGTCACGCTATCTTCAGAGCCTGAGGCACAACGAGAAACTTCTCTTCGGCTTTTCGACATTCACTTCGCCTCCATGACTCTCCATGTTTTCGACAAAACAGGTTCCTCCTTGCAAATCCTTGTTGCGAATTTTTGCAACAGCTTTGGTTGGGCGCACGTAGTCGTCACTGAGATAGTGATTGACCTAACTACATAGTACATACATGTAGCCATTGCTACATCAAGTGCTAAAAAGTGTTCCGTGTCTACGCAAAGGGATCCACGATCCAGTCACCTGGTAACACGAAGAGGGTTGCACCTCCCAGCAAGAGTTAACGCTGCACCCCGGACGCGCCGGCAACGCCAGTCCCTCGGTGGCCACTCTTTCCAACTCGCAACTCCTCTGCCAGCCTCCAGTCCAGAGTTCATCCGCCGCTCCTTCCCATACTTTGTCCTGGAGAGCTGGAACACACTGCCTGCCCCAATCCTCGCCGAACGCCCAACTCTCAAGATATTGCCGACATTCAAGACCAAGGCCTACCATCACCTCCGCCAGACCAATTGGCTATGGGCCACTGACGTCCACCAGCACTGAGAATAACCGGTTGTCTCTATTATTATCATTTTCTGTTTCTCTCTCTCTCTCACTCTTCCTCTCCTGGGAAGCTCCTCATGCTCATTCTCCCTTTCTCTGTCCATTTCCCCTTCCTGATGCGTAGACCAACTGTTGAACCCGAGACCACTAGGTTGGGGGAGGTTGACCTACCTCATCGGCACGCATGCCAGGCTCCTCTGTGTTGTCAATGTTCGCTTGTCCAATTTTGTCTACCTCCCCTTTTATGTTGCTGGCCAGTGCTTTGTAGTAAAAAAACCAAAAAAACCTCATGAGTGTAGCCGATTGTTGCCAAAAAGCTGGGATTTCCCGATATTATCCACTATGAAAGTCCAAATGCCGCTCAAAACTCACATAATGCCCGTTTTTTCCTTTCTAATGCTCCACAATGCTCTGATGCTCGGATAGTCCCATAATGCCGAATATGATGCCGGCATTATTCGCTGGACCCTACAGGTGGATCAAAAAGGCAGCGTTGTCATGACTACGCTGGATGTGACAGTGCACTTTACAGGCCTGCTATAGCAGGGTATGTCTAGTGGCAATCGGATAAACTGAAACCAGCAACCAAAGATAATCCTCTGACAAGAATACATTGATTACACATACCAAACTGTGGCTAGCAACACATGTAAACAATAAGCCTTTTGCGCGTTGTACAGATGCACGAAATCCCGTAGAATCCCGTAGAACCTAATGGGTGCTGAATGTGCAGGACCCTATTGTGTTTTCTGCTATTTCCACTAAGAAATGAGCCCTGAAGGCATTTGAAACGAAAACCTTTTCTGACAAAGATCTAGCTAGTCATTAGTTCTAACGAAAGTGAAGAAGCTGGAAAAGGGATTGTTTGCCATTAATTATGAGGCTAAAATTGGTCAAATGCGCATGCATAGCACACAATGAACACCCAATCGGGGCTGTACACACCTACGCCCTAGTACTGAACTTCCTACATCTGTACAACGCGCAAAAGGCTTATACCATTAGCAAGGGATTTCCCCCTCAAATAGAGGCAATATCCAGGATAGCTTACAGTAGGATGTATACTGTATCGTGGCCGAAGCTGTAGCATTCCTAGATAGGCTGTTGCTGGCGACACAGCTGAACACATCCCGTCGCATGCCAAGAAAGCTAGCCTTCACGCTGACTATTAGCTTGGAGATGCCTGAAGCGAGTGTCTGGACAGTAACTCCAGTTGTTGAATTGGTCAGTTGCATAGATCCCTGGAGTGAAACATGACCAGAACAGAACACATACTGTAGTCACCATACCAAAACCCCAGGGTCGTATTTGCTCAAAACTCAACTTTGAAAGTACCCCAGTTCTGCATAATTATAAGACCTGGGTTACCTAATGATCTGCTTTATGTACCACAAATATCCCTTACATCTTTGAAAAAACATTCGCACTCCAGTCAGAGGCGGAGGAACGAGCTTGGGAGTGGTCCGGCTGGGTCCCGGGGAATTTCCCCCTGAATTTTTTGGAAATATTATATGAATATGAATGAATTTGGGGATATCGTGGTCAGTGACCACAAACGGAAATCAACAAAAATAGAACAGAGTATTGGTGATAAGATGGTCAAAATGGGTAGCACCGATCCCCGAACGCTTACAAAGTGTGGGCAGATAGAACTACCGACCTTTCTTTTTCTTTCTTTTTTTTTACCATTTCTAGCTTCCTCAGCCTATTGATCGAGTTTCTCGCTCGCTTCCTTTCGACTTGTGGATACTTCTTTTTGAAGTACATTTTCGATAGGAGTGACTGGTGCTGCTTTGATAGAAGGCGAGGTCGTGCTGCAGACATTAGTATGCATTAGAGGGGCAATACTCTTCAAGCACCAAGTCCTGACCTCTAGATTTTTTACACCGGTGTTGCACAAATCCAGTGGACCATCCAGCTGGGGAGAGTGGTCCGACCTGGGCAGGACCAGCCGGACCAGTTCCTGTGGCCCTGCTCCTTGCAAGTAAACTGGAAGAATGTGTGCGGGCAGCTTGCAATGTGTGGAAGCCAATAAGTGACAACTACCCGAGTAAACTCACCAGTTTCCAGGAAATGATCGGACGTGGAATTCCTCTGGCGCCGCACAACAGCTTGACATCAGCATCTAGCTTAGTATTGATTATAAAGGAGCTCGGCTGCACAACGATGACTGGTGGAGCTGTGCAGGTATGACAAACGAAGATGCTTGTTTCATGTTCATCTTATGTGTGCACTCTTCTTTCAGACCTGCTCTCAGTCCGGGTTTTGCATAATACAAAATTGCTAGTACAGAATGTTCAGCTGCTGTATAAAATCATTTCATGCTGCGCAATAGGTTTCAATAACATCATGGACGGCACCAGACGGCACTGTCGGCACCTTGATCCAGTATGGAGGCACATGCTCTGTTCGGGGGCCAAGACTAAGATCAGAATGAACACTATGAGTTATCATACAGTGACATCATGGGTTCGCCGGTTCAAGCATACACGTATACTCATATTATAGCCAAGGATTCATGATGGTTAGGTTTATTCCCAAGAATTCTTTTCAGAACTACCACTTCAACCGACTTACACCGTCATACGTGTGGACTGCAGCGTGCGTTGAAAACATGTTTTATTGATTTTCTTCTTGCCGAAGGAACTGTAGCTGATGAATGCGGCTTAACTAGTACAATGCAAGTGCCCAAAGTTTCACGGAAAGAGATGTACTATAACTGTAGTTATGAGACTGTCCACAGTCCATTCATAAAACGATGAGTGCTGGCTCTAGCGAGCTCCCGTACCGGGTGATTTTTCGTGATTTTATCGTGCACGGTGCAATACCCCGAGATTTGAAACTTGAAAAGCAGGCTGAAAGGGTCCAAAAAGGTACCTCAACTGAGGTTTTGAACCGCACACTGTACTGTTGCCAGTGGAGTGAGACGGCCTGGATTTTCATGGTTTTCCCAATTCAGTGCTATTGGGGCAAAACCTGGCCGAAATCCTATTCTTGTTATGGCTTGCTTTCTGGAGAAATTAACTTCAGAAACATACCGTCAAGTCTTGTATAAAAGCCGCGGCTTCTATGACTTTCTTGGTGAAAAATTTCAGGCTTCTATACAAGACAGGTATTTCTATGTACATGTATGTCAACACTAAAACCAGGCTTATGCGTGATTTGATGGGCCCAAAATTGCGGCTTCTATTCGAGGGCGGCTTCTATTCAAACGCGGCTTTTATACAAGACTTTACGGTAATTGGAAGAGCATTCCATGGGGATTGCCAAAAAATTGTGAAAAACCACAAAATTTGACCCATGTATGGCCAAAAGCTAGGATATCATCTTTTTACGAATGGATGGACTATAGATGCCGGTATTCAAACACCGATGTTGTATACAACGGTTTCATTGCGCCGCCCAAAACTATGCCACTCACCTAGCCCCCGCACAGCAAAGTCATGGTAGATTTTGCCATAGGGATTGGCTGCCACACACGTGTACCAGCCAGACAGTGCATACGTGCCCATCAGCCTGTGGAGCACCAACTTGTTACCAGTGACATTCAGCTGCGAGGACACAGCAGAGAAATCCTGCGCGTCGTCGTTCTTCAACCAGGAGATGCTCGGCGCGGGATTACCACCGGCAACACACTCAACCACTGCGGTTTGGTTGGGTCCGAATGTGATGAGCGGAACAGGCGTCACTGTCGGCACCTTGATCCAGTATGGAGGCGCATGCTCTGTTCGGTGGCCAAGATCAAGATCAGAATGAACACTATGAGTCATCATACAGTGACATCATGGGTTCTCCACTACAAGTATAGGCCCGTGGTATAGCCAAGGTTTCATGAATTTTGTAGAATGCATCGTTGAGGGTCCAATGTTCCAATATGAGCCCATTATGTTGAACCATCTTCTTGTGCTTGCCCACAAAAAAATAGTAAAATGTTCTTACGAGTAGGCTACAGGATATGCCCGAAAAGGCTATTAAGTCCTGCCTCGTGAGTCATGGGTATTATACCCATACTATACCTATGTTTTCACTGGGAAAGCCTATCACACTATGAGCGGCTTGCCCAGTACTGGTGAAAACAGGCAAGTGTTTGCAGTGCTTGGACGGGGTGGCTCACTGGGTTTCAGTGCCAGGACAGGGTAAAACCACCTGGGTTTCAGTGCTAGGCCCTGGGCAAAACCACCCGGGTTTCAGTGAAAGGACCGGGTAAAACCACCCGGGTTTCAACGCTAGGACTGGGTAAGACCACCCGGGTTTCAGTGCTAGGACTGGGTAAAACCACCCGGGTTTCAGTGCTAGGACCGGGTAAAACCACCCGGGTTTTAACGCTAGGACTGGGTAAGACCATCCGGGTTTCGATGCGAGGATTGGGTAAACCCCAGTTCCGGTGCAAGGACTGAATGGTTTGCCGGGTTTCATGGAGTTGCAATGCATTGGCTCATGAGATCATACAAGGCATTGTAGAGAACTTGAGTACCCGTGGCAGCAGCAGTTGCACAAATGTGTGTACTACGTGTACAGCACTGGCTATTGATATACAGTCGACTCCTGATAATAGACTGTACTAGTGCTCCTAGTTTATATGCATCCCTACAAGATATAGTTGATTATAAACGAAATCTGTTCGCTACAAAGAGTCAATTTTGTTTGGTTTCAAACAGGGACATGGACAATAGTTCGGCAATATCACGAAATTCGCTATGCAAGTTTTAGTGGAAATATTATTACTCTTTTTTTTACATATTTTGTAGAAATAGTGATGCCGCGCCCTATTTATGGCTTTTCCCCATCAAACTGTGATTCAGAGTTACGGATATTTCGAAGTTCCGGGCAGTGCCCGGTCCCGAACCATCCAGACAAGTAAGGTATGAGTGTAGTTTTTGATTGGTGCGGTAGTTTCAATGCCTTTCATGCTTTGTGTAGGATATGGGCATTATGGCAGGTGCACATGACCTACCTCCATAGTAGTAAATATGTGCTGGTGGTTAAAATGTTGGTCTCTTGATAACGTGACCAACCGGACCGGTTCCGACGGCCCTGGAAATGATTGTAGTGGAAATTCAAAGGATCTATTCTATGTGCATTCAAATCTACCAAGGCAAATGACCGTGTCTTAGTGGCACCATGTGGCTGGTGGGTGCGCCACTTTGTCACGGTGGAACCGATCCCGTTGGTCAGCCTATGGCCGGACCAACACTTGGCGGCAACGCGTGTTTACTGCCGAGGAGGCCATGTGTACCCACCATATCATACACACAGTATGAAAGACCGTGACTATAATAATATGTGTGGCCGGAGCAATCGAGAACTGCTTCTGCCGGTCCTGTAAATTGTGTCTCAGTATGACTTACTAGTACTCACTTTCTACAATCTTGGGTGCCTGCAGTTGGGACAGCACACTCTGTGGCTCCAGCATCAGTGCCAGCAGGATGAATCCAACCCAGCTCCTCGACCAACAACTGATCATGTCTGCCACTCGTAGATCTTTCAGTGATACATGTACTCAGACTTGTTTACTTACTTGGACTGCACTGAACAGTGCCAGTGGGTGATACAACCTTACGGGCTAAATCAGCTGAAGTACCTCCGTCACTTGCATGTAGGACCTGATGAAATTCCCCTTACGAGCAACAAACTGACCGTAGATCACTATTACTTGTGACAGTCTTGGAAGTGTTTCGGTCTAGCATGATGACTAGCCAGAGGCCCAGAGCAGTGAAGACTGAAGAGACGGAGTGCGATACGCGTCTGTGATCGCTATTGAGTAATTCTCATCACGTCAGTACAAGGGGAGGCCACGTTCTTGTTTCTAAACGCGGATGAGCGAACCAGCCAACTAACTAATTACTTCACTTTACTTTTTACTTGCGTTTATTCCTTCATCCGCTCATCTACCGACCCGTGATGTGTATCACTACCAGAAGCTAGGATTTTGGTTCATTCATGTATGAATATGATCATGTCACTAATATTATCACCTGCGGCTGCAGGCTGCACCATGATCTTGATGATCACTCCCTACGAGTCGACTGACTGTATGTCGCATGTGCACACCTGCTCACTGCATTGTTACCAATGGTTACGGTACTTGCACTTGCAGGACCAGGGCCGTATGTATGTAGCTCGACCATGATTTGATGGCATGAATCATGATACCAAGAGTCAGGACTGAGTACATAACCTGATAACACTGGTTATGTACTCTTGATTATACATGTACTACTAATACTATTATTATACCTACCATGCACCCGTGGTAACCAGTGGTAACGTTGACACCACAGAGTTGTTGGTTGACAGCATGTTGTTGGTTTATACAGCATGTGGCCAGGTGGAGGACCATACAGTGTTCGGAAACAGTGACCTTTCTACATCCATCCACGCCTTGGTAGAGCCCCGGTCGTGCGACCATCTGAACCGTAAGGGTGTTAGACCCGGCTCTGACCCTCTGTATGCTAGGGACTTGTCTTAGGCTTCTTGTTGTTGTACCGTCAGTCGCGTGTGTTCTTTATTCGCTCCTGGGTGTCTTCTTCATGCTCAGTCCTCATAAACTTAGTAGCTTTTTGTTGTGAATTGTTCTTCTTTCATCTCTTTTATACTCTTCATTCTTTCTTTTTCCAACTAACTTCCGTCAGCTCGTCACGTCAGCTGACAACAGTTACTGTCACCATCATGACAGCACTGTAACACGGTGGAGGACAGCATGACAAAAATATGTCCTCTTTACATGTCATTGTAACAAGTGTCAACCAAAAACATGTTTCAACAAAACAAGGTTAACTGGTTTGAGGGAAAGACACAGACGGGAAAAATCTGAAGGAAAAATTGACTGTCACCACCAGGACTCGAACCAGGACCCTCGCCTGTAGCCAGCGATAGGCAGTGGCCCAGCGATGCTCTAACCACTGTCCACTGAGCTATGGTTTTTGTTTTGTTTGTTTTTTATTTCAGTTCGTTGCCTCAACAGTACAAAGTACAAATATCAAGAGGGACGAACGAAAAGAGAAAATAAAACAGAGCAGAGAGGAAGATGCAACTGAAAGGAAAGGAAAACTGAGAGAAACGGAGAAGGAATGTGGACTGGGCGGATTCATGAACCATTACTAGAGAGAAACGGAGAAGGAATGTGGACTGGGCGGATTCATGAACCATTACTAGAGCAGGTCAATGCATGAACAGAAGGGGCAAGTCCGTCGATATTCATGTTTAAAAAATTCCAAGCCTTATATTATTGGTGAAATACATTTTCAAAAAGGAGGGGATATAGGGATATAGTCAATTTGTCGTCATTTAGAGCGTGCAAAAGTTCTGTAGAAAATGATCTAATGTCCTCACTTCCTTTCAAGTGAGCAGGGAGGGCATTCCACATAAGGGATGCTCTGGAGGAAAAGGAATTGTACCCTACCATGGATTTATGCAAGCAAATTGACATATTGTTTGTTGTAGTTCCACGAGTTGACCGCTTAGAGGTGGGCAAAGGGAAAAGACTGCGTAAGCATGATGCAGGCTGAACAATATGACAAATAAACGTAAACGTAAGAAATTGATAAATGCATCGGTATTCAAGGTGTTTTATTTGAAGAGAAGCAAGAAGGGGTGGTACAGCAGCATGATATGAAGCACCGCAGGTAACTCGTACAGCTCTACGGAACAAGGTAAACAATCTCTCCCTGGACTGTGCTGATAGGTGAGATGCGTAAACAGGGAAACAATACTCAAAGTCGGGATGAATCACACTAAGCAGGTACTGGCGACGGGCAAATGCTGCCATTTGGCGGAAGGTGCGTCGCAACGCGCCTATCTTGCGTGACACCTTGCTGGTGAGGTGATCTACGTGTGGAGCAAATGAGAGCTTGTTATCGATAAGGATACCAAGGCAGCGAATTACACTCACTTCCCTTAAGGTAGTGCCGCCCAGCTCAACAAGAACGGGTCTTTGTACGTCAGGAGCATTCTTCGGCAAGATCCTCATGACCACGGTTTTGTCAACATTAACGCTCATGCCCAGTGATCTTAGTTCATTGTGTATCTTAGCGAGAGCCGAGGACACGACATCGGCGCATACTATTGGATCTCGTGAGGAAGCGTACAAAGTCTTGTCATCGGCAAACATGAGGAGCTTTGCACCGCTCCCTGCAGCCAGGTCAGGTAAGAGTCGCACATATAGGTTAAAAAGGGTGGGACCCAAGATTGTTCCCTGCGGAACCCCTCGGGTTACAGGGAGAAGAGATGATGTTCCAGAGGCTATACATACACGCTGGTGCCGGCCGTTCAGGTAGGAAGCGAACCATTTCAGGGCAGAACTATGAATGCTTAAGCTGTGCAAAGTAAAGATAAGTTCCTGGTGCACAACTCGATCAAAGGCCTTGCTTAAGTCAATAAATGCTACAACGGTTGTATGACCCACATCTCTAGCCAACGTCCAGTCATTTACAGCCAAGGTCATGACCTGCACTGTTGATCGCTGGGGCCGGAAGCCAAATTGATGATCGTGTAGACAAGTATACAGGTCGAAGTCCCGCAGCAGTTGGTCAAGGGCAAGACGTTCGAGCATTTTGCTGAGAATGCTCGTAAGCGACACTGGGCGATAGTTGGACGGAGAAGTGTGATCACCCTGCCGGGATTTAAGAATGGGGGTGATATTAGAGATTTTAAAAAGATGAGGGAAAGTCGAAGATTGAAGAGAAGTGTTGAAGATGGCTGATATAGAAGGTGCAATAACATTGGATGTGGCCTTCAGGATACTGGGAAGAAGACAATCGGGTCCTGGTGCTTTGCTGCTGTCGAGGGAGGCAAGTCTTGCCCTGACGTCTGTTACAGTGACTTGCTTAAACATACCAAATGCAGATTGAGGCGGGGGTCCATCTGGGATGTCGTACCTGGGGTTTGGATCAGTCACTATCTTATGGAAGAAGGTGTTCAACTCGTCAGCTGCAACCGCAGGAGGGATGTGGGAACGACATCGATTAGTTATGTGGTTGATAGTGGACCACAACAGCTTTGGGCTCTGTTTATATTTTAGGCACACGTTCTGGAAATGGGAATTTCTAAGTCGACGGTAGAGATTGTTGCACCGAGTTCTCAGAGAGGTAAAACATCGCTGTAATGTAGTGTCAATGCAGCCACTGGCGCGATATCGACGAAAAGCTGATTTCCTCTGGCGGATGAGTGCCAAGAGCTCTGGGGTCATGAACGGGCAGTTCTTCTTGCGCGGTCTTGTGCGTCTACCAGGCTGTTTGTACGGCGCTACCACATCTAGAACAGTGTTGAATTTACCCAACCATTCGTCGAGCATTTCATCGACGTTTGTAGACGAGAACGAAGACAAGTTTGCATGCTCAAGCAGACCTATTAACTCTGGGAAGTTGATATTCCTATAGTCGCGGGTCTTCAAGGTAACATCGTAAGCAGGCAGTTGTGTATTGGACTTTACATCCAATGCTGCATAAACCAGATCATGATCGGAGAACTGGTGTAGTCCTCATCTCAACACTGAGACCGTTCAACATTTTCTTCAGACTTCGTAACTCGCACTTCCTGTGAATCCACACGGGCGGGTGGGACGCAGCCCTCACACTGTAACCCACACACTTCACGTACAAACTAGCACGCGGGGAGCCCCAAGTCATAACATGTTCACTGGTTTACTAGTATCTAACACGTACTACAGACAGTGTACTTCGAAGTACATGACTGTGCACACACACGTACACGCCCATAATGATCCTAACCCCGGGTACGAAAACTACAAGGAGCAAAGAATGCTTCCGAAAGATCTCGGGCATGCCGGCATAGGCTTCAAACATTCTCACATCTCAATTTCACTTCCACAGAGCAATGTAATATTGTTCAGAGCAACCAGGGACAAAATAGAACATGTTACAAACAAAAAAGTCCATTCAGAAAAAGATGATATCCTAGCTTTTGGCCATAAATGGGTCAAATTTTGAGTTTTCGTCACAATTGTTTTGGCAATCCCCCATGGAATGCTCTTCCAATTGGGTTTTTGAAGTCTATTTCTCCAAAGAGCAAGCTATAACAAGAATAGGATTTCCGCCAGGTTTTGCCCCCAAAGCACTGAATGGCCCAATGCCAGGGGTGTGTGCGTCCGTGTTGGACGGGACAAAAACCAGTTTCTGCCGACGGTACGAGTAGGGTCTTTCGCGTCGAAAACTCCCAGATCGTGACTGAGGTGATTTTAGAGCAGATCATTCCTGATCCGCGGATCGTGATCGATTTTCAGCAGTCCAGACAGTCATCGACCTCGGAAGTGGCCAAATGAAAGGATGCAGCGCTTGATGGCGACGTTGTCTTCTATTTTCACCGATCCGCAATCGGTCATGAAACCTGTTTGTGTTGCGACTTTAAATAAAATTCAACACCAACAAACTGCACCAGCTCCGCCACCTCGTCGCTGATTGACAGATGTTTTGGTGAGAGTTGCTCGTTAGACTCGTAGGCCAGCGAGGCCCGTCAAGATCTGGTGCTGAGGGGACAGCGTTTTTATTCCGAGTTTCCGATCATCAGAAAACGGTAATGACTCGGTTAATTTTTCATCCTCCTATTATTGTCTGAACTGGCTCTGCCTTTTGGTATTGAGCACTCTATTGGACAGCCTGGAACCTCTCAAACAGAGAGGTTCCAGGCTGTCCAATAGAGGGCTCAATACCAAAAGGCAGAGCTACATGTAGTTCAAACAGTAATAAGAGGAAAAAGTGTAAAAAATATAATGTAACTCTGGATACTGGTACTAGTGGTAGTGGTACCCACAAAGCAAAAGTGTAAAATTAATGACAGCAGCAGTACTGCAGTTGTGAAAGATTGCATCACGGTATGACTTTGAAAGGTGTGAATGACAGCAGTGGTGAAAGATACTACACAGTCTACAGTAGTTCAAGTGACGCACTGCACTGGAGCTGGCTCTCTGCTACTTGATTTGGTGATGCATCTGGATGGTTTGAAATTCCGAAGGCAGTACCTATTCTCATGGCGATACTTTGACACAATTTCACTCCTCTTGTTGAGAGAGAGGTGCTTGGGACTTGAGTGTTTGTGCGATTGCCAATTTTTCCGCCAGGCATAAGTTGCACCTTTTGCTTTTGTTGTCGCGTAGGCCACTGCTTTGCGGTGGACATAAAATGCTGCATGCCTTCCCTTCATCCTTCTTGGCCCAGACGTGCTGCGAAAGGCGGGTGTCCTTCAGAAGGCTTCTCGTGTTGTCTGTGGCGGAATGATGATTGGTGGTTATAGCAGCGTTGTTGACTCTTGCCTTATGCACAACGCTCTCCGTTAGACACGCTCCGTCCAGTGGGCATAATGCTTTCTTCCGACTGTTACACGTTCTGGCGTCGTTGTCACCTCTGTTGGCTTGTTTCTTGGGTTGTGGGATCATGTTATTGTGTTGCTTGATAATGGTGGCCATATTCTGCATACAACTATAGCTAACTTTTACAGGGTTACCGTTGAAGATTATCGTGAGACTTGAGCCTTTGGGGAAGTGTTTGACCAGTAGCTGGAGGAAGCGATGTCCGACGTCAGTGGCGACATTCTTGCTGAACGGTGGATTTAGCCATTATGATGTTCCGGTGACGATTCCTTTTTTTCTTTTTGTCTCGCACCGTGTTAAGCTCGTCAAAGCACCGTCTACGTTCTCCCGGTATCCACTCCCCCTCTCTCTCTCTCTCTCTCTCTCTCTCTCTCTCTCTCTCTCTCTCTCTCTCTCTCTCTCTCTCTCTCTCTCTCTCTCTCTCTCTCTCTCCTCCCTCCCTCCCTCCCTCCCTCCCTCTCTCTCTCTCTCTCTCTCTCTCTCTCTCTCTCTCTCTCTCTCTCTCTCTCTCTCTCTCTCTCTCTCTCTCTCTCTCTCTCTCTCTCTCTCTCTCTCTCTCTCTCTCTCTCTCTCAGTCTCTCTCTCTCTCAGTCTCAGTTCGTCACTGTAGATCGGAGTCGTCTCTCTGAACACGCCCTCATCGTTGGAAATATCGGTGAGTCTTCTGCTGATCGATGCAGGCAAGTTCTGGATGACTGAGGGTGCATGGTTTGAATGGTACTTCGAAGTAGGTGATACGTCGGCTTGTCATTCGGTTTCCGGTAGCTATCCGGTAGGCAGTACTTTCAGGTGGTCAGGTCCAATGTCACGTCCAGAAAATCGAATCTCTTCAGGTTTGTCTGGATCGTTATTTTCAGTCCGAGGTTCTGGAATATCTTGGTCATCTCCTTTCTTATTCGGTCAGCTTCATGTCTCGACGCATACCTGAACACAGCCAGACCGTCGTCGTGATACAATCCGACGCCTCTGCCGTTGAACACATCCGCTATCATGACGAGGGCAAAGGCTACAACAAGCTCACACACTTCACTGAGCTCCATCATAGCACCCCATTGTCACGTCAAAGTGCTCGTTATGCCTTTTCGCCCAGCGCTTCTCCAGGCCAAACAGTAGCGATCGCCTGGAGTGGAAAATGATGTCAGACTCCTCCTGGGAGATGTTCGTGTAGCGGCGGGCAAATTCAATGGATCTCTGGAGGCGGTCTTCGGAGATTGAGGGATAGAAATCCACTACTAGTATATCAAAGCATACGAATATGCATCTTTTAATCTCAAAATGCCGTAATGGTCATACACAAACACGAAACTCTGAGTTACGAGAAAGATTTTTGGTCCCTGTTGTTCTGCCTTTATGTAATGCATTAATGGTCATACATGTACATGACATACTATGCAAATGGCAGAAACCAAAAAAAGAACCAATATAAAATTGAACTACTTCTCGAAGTACAAGTCCGACTCCGACTCCGAGTCTATAAGTATAAGTATAAGTAGTCATTGATGTAATTCGATCCAGTGCCGGCGCCAGTACTGCACCGTGTGGATCGAATCTCACCTTGCGCAACTCAAGATGTACACTACAAAAAAAAAAGGCAGATCCATCCGTTTTCTTGCTTTTCGCCCCCCCCCCCCCCTCTCCCTTTAATAAGCGAATACATTACACAGCATAATTGTACTTTTAAACACTTGGCTCCATACTAGTGTGATAGATAACAGGCCGGAATTTCTCCAGGGCATCACCTATGGGAACAAGACCATGCTTAGTGCAAGGACACCTGTACCTTCCAGCCACTGACAAGCACAGTGACGCCGTCCCACGTGGGTGCACAAATAATGACCGCAAGCAACGGTCACCGACTCACACACAGTAACGGCAATTCAAGCCTCAAAACCGTGTTCGAAACCGGCAAACCACACCAAACAGTAGATAGTTGCACAACAAAATGACTGCGCAAGCCAAAATCACTCCAGTAATGGTTGGACTGAGTATTGAAGGACGGACGAAACTCACAGTTCAGTCAACTGAAGGCAAAAGGCATAGGCAAGCACCGCTCCGCATAATCAACCTTCAATCAGGACTACAGTCTACACCATCATCTACAATAATTTACTGGTGACAACTAAAATTAATAGAAGAGAGCAGATACAGAACAGATCAACGGAACACATCCAGCCGCAATGACGTCAATGGCACATCAGCACTCCTCACGCTACAAGCGCTATCAAAATTATCTTGCTTCTGCCTGCAGAAGCAAGTGACTATGGGCACAAGAGAGAATGCTCAACAGTTGGCGCATGTATGTGATGACGATTATATGACTAGCCTTCCTATCGTGAAACAAACGTCACTATGACAATAATAGTATACATTTACCATAGATGCCGAGACTGACTATTTTAGGATTCAAGCAGTGCTACTTGCTTTCAAACTGAACTTGTAAATGTGGCGGGATTGCGATAAAGGGCTAATTCTGTCTGAGACAATACGGTACCCGAATAGAATGGCCTCCATGGGGGGGGGGGGGGGGGGTGCTACTTGCTTTCAAACTGAACTTGTAAATGTGGCAGGATTGCGATAAAGGGCTAATTCTGTCTGAGACAATACGATACCCGAATAGAATGGACTCCATGGGGGGAGGGGGAAGCAAATATTGTGTCATGACATGCAGATAGCCTGGGGGAGCATGTACTGTGTCATGTACTGTGTCATGTCTCAGAGATGGGGTAGCAGTTACTGTGTCATGGCTTAGAGATTGTATAGTAGCCTTCTTGACCCTGGCTGGTCTGAATACCGACAGGCTTGAGTTGGGACGTTGTGTAATACTCTCCCCCACCAACGGGTTGTTGCAGGCCGACAGGCTTGAGTTGGGACGTTGTGTAATACTCTCCCGCACCAACGGGTTGTTGCAGGCCGACGGGCTTGAGTTGGGAAGTTGTGTAATACTCTCCCGCACCTACAGGTTGTTGCAGGCCGACGGGCTTGAGTTGGGACGCTGTGTAGTAATCACCAGCGTCAATAGAGGGCGCTAGGCCAACTGCTTTCAGAGAAGGTCTACCAGCATCTGAGGAAGCAGCTGGTGGATTCACGGTACCGGATTGCTTTTTCTTGCCGCCAGCAGCTGGCCTGACTTTCACATCTTCATACCCGATTCTTGGTGCGCCAGGAGCGGGTAGCGGTCTTGACTGATTGACTGTGCGCTGTTGCATTTGACGCTGAGTGGCGTCTCGCGCCCTCTTGCTCTCACTGTCAATCTTTCTCTGGATTTCAGCTTGGCGTTGGTCTGTTGTGACAGCATGGCTGAGCTGCGTCTGCTTAGGTATGCTAACTCTCTGGCGCTTGTCGAGTTGAGCAGGCATTGTCGTTGATTTGGCTGGCTGCTGCTGCTGAGATGCTGGTCGCGTGGCGTTTCGGGCAGGCAACTTCGGTGCTTCTTGTAGCGAAACGCCAGAACGTTGTGCCTGTGTCCTGCTTGAAACCGCACTTAGGGACACTGGGTTCTGTATAGCAGCTGACGGTCGAGAAGATGTCTGAGGCACTGCAGGCAGGGTCCTTGATGTGTTGCTAGCCATTGTCCTGGCTCTGGCAGTTTGTGAACGAGAAGACAGATCTGTAGGTTCGTACATATCGCCTCCATTGACACCAGTGGATAGAGTGCTTGCAGGGTTAGGAGCACTCCTTGCCGTGGATCCCATTGCTGTGTAGTACTCGCCCTCACCCGTCGTTGTCTCTGCTGCCAGGGCGCTTGCCGGTGCTGCTGCTGTTGCTGCTGTTCCCGCTGCACCTCCCATGTCTTCATACACCTCCTGTGGTGATCCAGGTGGAAGAGCGGGTGGGGATGAAGCAGGCAATGTCGAGATGTTTAGTGTAACTGATGATGGTCGTGAACTAGAAGGTAGATCTGGGGGAAGATCCGATGCTGCTGAAGTGGAACGAACGGACCTGGTCGCACCACGCTTCGCCATTGGCACACCCCCACCAGCTTTGCTGCCAGTAGCCAATGTTTGGGCATTCTTCTTCTCTCCAGCAGCAGTGGAATGATTGGTAGGGCTTGGTTTTAGAGACGAGCTGCGACTCGGTATGGGTTGCCGCATGCTGCCATTTGTCGGTATACTGCCATTTGCCATACCTGTAGGAGATCTAGCTGCTGGACCACTGAAGTCATGCTTTACATACGCATTTGGCTTTGATGGTGTCCTTTTCAAGCTGCCACTGGCCATCATCTGCTGGAAAGGATCTGCTGGGTTCACGCTAGCGTCACCAATGCCATCAAGGCTGTCTAAATGGTCCATTCCATCTTCACCTTGGTACGCCGGGTTAAAGTGACCATCGTCTGATTCTGCAAAGCCTTGCATCCTCAGCATGACAGACGTGGAGGCAGTAGATTCAGAGCGATGTAGACCACCGCCCGTCTAAACTCCCAAAACACCACAGCATGTGGCACACACATGTGCACGCGCACACACGCACCAACACATACACGCACGCACACACACACACACACACACACACACACACACACACACACACACACACACACACACACACACACACACACACACACACACAACGTTATACATAAGAAGTTTAGGAAGATTATTTTGCACATCAGTACAGCATTGGGTATTACGCTCCTCGGCTTTCGTCTTGTTGAGCACTCTCAGTAGGCTGCTCTAGTGCTTCTGCATCACGCATTGCCCGCTACTTTTTGTAGTTTGAGCACTCTGGCGCTAGAGCGTCGAGCTATCTTAATGTCTGTGGCGCCTCCTTTGCACCATGGCTGGTAGCTCGGCCTATTTAGCTCGTAGCTGTACTGATGAGGCCTTTATGGCCGAAACAGCGTGCTGTCTACAGCATTGGGTACATCAGATGCCACTGCTATTCCTACTTCAAGTAGCTAACAGCAAACAAGGAAACCAAGCCTTAGGAATACACAACGGAGTGGACTCGCTGCACTGCACTCCTTTGTGACCTAAGATTTTATTATCTCAAGCATTTTCCTAACGTAATCGACTGCTGCTATAGAGCATTTTTCAAGGGCGGGTGTTGTGCCCGCTAGCGGCGTTCACCCCAAGATTCTCGTGAACAAGTCGCATGTCAAAAAGCATTGAAAAGTATACAGCATATGACAGGTTCGTCTCCACCAGCGCTTGGAGCGATTCTGATGCATGTTGCTTTTCTCCCAAGCTGTGGAAGGGCTTCCCGGCAACCGCTCTGACTCACGATCAAGTTGAACGCCATTCTAGCGCTTGTTTCACCACCACACATTCATTCCCGTACAAAGTGAACGTGGACTGGGCTTCACCTCTTCACCTGCGATTCAAAAACATTCTCGCCAACCTTGAAAAAGCTCTATTGCCTTGAAACATATGTGCTGACATTAAAATCAATGATAGCTTGCAAGAAATAGCTCTGCTAGAGTATTTTTGGTTGAGAGTTTTCTTGAAATTTGTTGTGATGAGGTCTTCGTTTAAGGCAAAGTAATGGCGCAAAATGCAAGACTATTTCCAGTGCATGGCGCATGTGCAGTTTTATCAATTGTTGTAAAAATGTACATACTCCTCTGCGCTAGCAACCATGTCCAAAGTGAAAAGTTTTGACCATGCCACGTCAATCGTGGTGAGGCCGGACTTATTGTCTTGCTCAGCTTGCCATGGCAGTGGATAGCAAAATTCCATACTCCACTTCCGAGGTTGCCATGGGCTGTAGCCATGGTATTTCGTAATATGCCTTGTACGATCATTTCTAAACACCTGTGGACTCCTTCATTAGCCCCTTAGAAACAGTCAAGGGGCACTGAGGTTTTACGTCAATGTTAGACCAGAGGTCGTGCAGCATGTCTGTGTATGATGGTCCTACCCGATGGCAGGTCCTGCCGGCAGGACCGGGGTCTGTGTAAGCTTTCATTAAAATATGAAGTCGAATCAGAATAGACTTTTGTCTTTCTCCGGGTGCAGATGCGGCGGATATGCTTTGGGATAACACCAAAAAGACGACACACAAGCCATAGCGGCCAACGTAACGTGGCAAGCCAAACACATGTACTGCAGTGCATCATCTGACGGATCAAGCTTAGAAAGTAGAGTCTGAGACGTGGAGCGGCTCCCGATTGCATACCTTCTTGTGGCTATAGAAGACCTCAGGCTGGTGGTGTTTAGAAATGTCAGCCCTTTTCCGTTTCCTGAGCACATACAAACACCGGGATATAGCATCTAAGACAATGAACAGTATGTGTATCAGATGTCAAGTGCAAGGAGTATTTCTGTGCGTTGTGACCGATGTGCTACTCCCTCCGTAAACAAAATCGTGGCAAAGAAAGTATAACATCAGTTGCAAAAAGTCTAATCCAGCAGAAATGGACAGGGCCCGATTAACCTTTTGTTCGAGTATTAAACACAAACAACACAGTCAACAGAATTCATACATCTTGTAGTTCTGTTGAGGCTATCAAAGAAACTGTGGCAGCTATCAAAGAAACTGTGGCAGCTCCCGTTTCAATAGCAGCCACTGCACTGTAACTGGAGACATGTCTTACTTGACGAAGATGACAAATAGCATTGCCACCATGATGAGAAGTACGCCACCAAGAGCACCACCAATGATGATAGGTGTGATGCTGCGTTCACCCTCTCCCTGGTTCTGTTCGCCTGCGGCAGGGCAAGAGATGGGACACGGGTATTCGCCAGCTCACCCACATACAATGTAGATGCGTAAATTCAACTGACTCAGTTCAAACATAGTGCAATACATTGCATGCTCAAATGCACCTCAATGCTGCGGATAGTGAACTTTCCAGCATACACTACATACATACAGTACATGACATTGTACATACATTCAGTCATCGCATCCAATGTATACGGTCATAGCATAATGGTAAAGGAATTGGCCGCTAACATCTTTCACTAAGACAATCCTATTTCGGCTTGGCGAGCAGCGAAATCCACACACAACGTAATATCCACCTAGCGAAACATGAAGATCATTGCGTGTAAAACAGGGATTGGACTTGCGTAGTCATACGTATGCAGTACGCAGTCATTGAGAGAACCGGGAACAAAAATGAAGCCTCTAGATGTATACCAAAGTCGATGACTAAAAAATCCTTACTCACCTGTTTGTTGTAAATCAGGTAGGACAGAGCTAGTAGGTGTCTCAGAGGATAGGCTTGAAGCTGAAAACTGAGCCACAGTGCTTGAAGAATCTGCCTGAGTGGTGGCTGTGGTACTTAGCGTGGGTGGATGATTGCTAGTAACTGTTGTTTCCTTGCTAGTCTGCACTGCAGTGACTTCATACGGTGTTGTAGGCACAATATTGGTTGTTGTCGCTGGTGCCGTTGGCCTTGCAGTTGTGAACTCTTGAATGGGCTCTGTCGGTATTGGCAGTGTTGCACGTGATGGTGTGGACGTTGGTGCTGCGGTGATTGGTGTCGTTGTTGGTGATGTGGTGATGGGTGTGGTTGTGGGCCTGGTCGTCGGTGTTGTCACTGTGGTCGGAAGCGTAGTTGGTATGGTAGTAGGGACGGTGGTAGGGGTAGTGGTAGGGATGGTGGTTGGTGTGGTGGTTGGTGTGGTGGTTAGTGTGGTGGTTGGTGTGGTGGTTGGTGTGGTGGTTGGTGTGGTGGTTGGTGTAGTGGTTGGTGTGGTGGTTGGTGTGGTAGTTGGTGTGGTGGTCGGAGTGGTAGTCGGTGTGGTAGTTGGTGTGGTGGTCGGAGTGGTGGTCGGAGTGGTAGTCGGAGTGGTGGTCGGTGTTGTTGTGGGTATATATACAGTTGTTGGAACATCTATAGGATGGGAAGAAAGACAAACATAATTGTTATACTCTCCTAAAGACTAATTTGGTGATGCCATCTTCAGTAGGTCCGTCAAATAGTAGTGGTGGATTTTTCTTTTGACCAGACAAGACCAGACGACACTAGCAGACACTAGCACGAACACTGCACCAGTCACACTCCACAACAGCTAGAAGTTGCTCCTGACAAGCCTTGTTTCGTTCCATTATGGTGTTGGGAACTCAACACCAACACCATAATGGAACGAAACAAGGCTTGTCAGGAGCAACTTCTAGCTGTTGTGGAGTGTGACTGGTGCAGTGTTCGTGCTAGTGTCTGCTAGTGTCGTCTGGTCTTGTCTGGTCAAAAGAAAAATCCACCTCTCCTAAAGACTGTGAAAAAGGAGTAGAGTGAATTGAGTTCAGGGACACCCAACTAACAATGATAACGACTTGATTTGAACAATGGAACTGCCTGCAGAAGTGGTTCATACATGATATAGACACCATACTACCAGTACGTGCAAACACTTACACAATGTGAGTGTGAAGGTTATCGACTTGTCGTTCTGTGTGTTGAAGGCGTTGTTCGTGCCCTTGCACGTGTATGTTGTCTGATCAGTAATCTGAAGATTGCATAGCTTCAGAGATCCGTCCACCCAATACTAGAAGTGACAAACATCAACACAGCATGCATGCCAATGAGGAAGACGCCATGGAGTCGCTACCATAACGCTGCAAACCAGGTCGTACGCCCACTAACAGGACACAGCCTGCATGTTCAGTCCTGGGTAGGTATGCGCACGCAACCACATGCACATACGCTTACAAATATATCACGTCTCAATACCATGCACACCACTAGCAACAGCAACAAGCACCAGCACCAGCACCACCACTGCCAGTGGCAGCAACGGCAGCGGTAGCACACAAGTGGCAGCACCAGCAGCAGATCAATGAAAAAGAAAATAGGCGTATGCATGGTTCTGTAAGACGATGCTGCTCACCTGATTGGCTGTAGTGGTAGGACTTGCAATAGTCCACTGGATTGAAGGCACTGGATATCCAACCGTAGGGCATGTCAGTAGAATGCAGTCTCCAGCCAGATAGGACCTACTTGTGACCGTTGGAACAAGCGTCACTGACGCTGCAGGAAAATAAAACGACCATGCAGAAGAAAAAACAACACAGTAAGAAACTGTATACTATCGATATGACATTGCTCACCACGTCTCCGCAGTGTAACATATATGTTCAGCACTCATGGACCAGGACACCCGGATGGACAGACCTTTTCCGGTTCTTACCACTGGAATGCAGAAACCCTGCCGGCTTCCTGGAAATCCATCAAGTCTGATGACTGGTTACTGCCGTGAGGTGAATTTATCAGGGCAACGAAACATTGTAGGAATGGAAGTAGTTGACCAAATTTGAGACAAGTGACTGGCCAGAGTCTGTGGAGGACAACCGTTTTTACTCGAAACCCATTCTGAAACTTGCAAACAAAAGCACAAATCTAGGGCTTGGGTGTGGAAGAGAAAGTAGAACATTTGGAAATCTGTTAGAGTTCGTACAGCGATACAAATCACCCAATGTTCCACTTACCCTCTGGAGATGAGGCAATAGATACGCATACACTGTCGTAGCGGACACGCCCGTCAGCACCCAGGGCACTGTTTGATGTTAGCGACAAGACAAGTTTGGATAGGGCGGATGGGGCAGAGACGGACCACTGCATCCAGTACCAGTCAGCGAGCTTGAGTTGAGATGAGGTGGGTACCTTGGAGGTCTCCGAAAGCTTTTTGTTGGCACTTGAATACAGTGCATAGGTGATCTTTGGCGTCGGGGGAGACACACCACTTGAGAGCGAGTGCTGTGCCACACGCATTCTGTGAGTAGGACAAAGATGGAGTGCATTTTGGGTACAGTCATTGTGCCGCGTCAATACAGTACTTGGAGCACGTGGCATTATTTTGCCGATCAAATTTGATATACCGGTAGTGCAGTAAATATACATGACTCGCACACTCAAGATTCGATCCACCCATGCTCCGCGGCATCCCAAAGTGAGTACGATATTCTGACTAAGATGGTACTTTCTGAAGTCTCAGTGCAATAATTATGTCATACCATTGAAAGTAGACCATTTGCCTCCAGTTCTGTCAATATGCATACTGGCTCTTCGTCTGAGCTTGCTAGGGTTCTTGACATGTTTCCATGCCTGGTGAGGATCATGCCATCACTTTTGTTTTAAAGTCTATAGCCCAAAAATGAGATCACTCATCGACGAATGAACCAGCCAAATTACCAAATTTGTTTCGGTCAATCCTGGTGCAAGGTCTACATACTTGGCCAGTGAATAGCACAGTGCACCGCCAACTCACCTGATATTCATGGTGGTGACTTTCACAGGAGGAAGATTGATGTCCTGCGTCAGAGCAGGAATGTCCGTAGTTTGAGGTGTTGACTGGGAAAGGTAGAAGTAAGATGATGCTGGGTCGGCACCAGTATATGTCACACTGCTCGCCGTGTCTCCGCTAACCGTCCTCCAGCCGTCTAGGCCAAGGCCAGCCTCACGGTTGACGACCAAGTTGTTTGCACAGGAGTCTACGGGTGAAAAACGATCATAAGCATGCTCTCAATTACAATGACGTGAAGAGATGAGATTTTTGAACCGAATAGTACCAAAAAAATTATACATTCGGACGCCTCTTATCCGGGCACCTTGGGACCGGGCATTTCCCGTATCTCAGATTTGTCCGTATCTCAGGAAACCTCATCTACCATGTATCATAATCATTTTTGAAGAAGTTTATTTGGAACGTATTGCACATGTTCAGGATAAAAAAGGAGCCCATTGATAAAAATGTGTAATTACATAGGTCGGCAGTGAAAATAGCACTTCCTGTACATACCGTACTTCTCCACATATAAGCCCATGGGCTTATATGTGAAAATTTGCTACAAAAAATATTTCTTGCTTTGTGAACATGTTCGGGTAGAAGCCCATGCGCTTATATGTGCAATAACGGTTTGTCTGTGTCCTAAACAACGGTGTTATCACAATGCTTAGCAGTATATTCAGCTCCCGGGTGTTTCACCAATAGTGTTCACATATTAGCCCATGCGCTTATAATTAGGGCTCAAACGGTCACGGTTTTACCCCTGACGGTTAACTGCTAAGCTAACGGTCGGTTAACCGGTTATAACCTATAACTAAAGTATAAGCCACGGCAAACCTGCGGACTGTTTTCTAACCGTATATTTGACTATACTCATTCAAAAAATGTATCCTTTTCAGTACAACGCACACTTGTACATTCTCTTGCATGCTCATTCATACATACTCTCACACCAAGAGACCAGATATGACCGAGTTGACAGCCCAGAAATTGCGTACGCGTGCGACAGCCCGCGAAAGGGCACACTTTGCAACGACCTGATACTTGAAAAACTGACTGAAAAGTTACTGCGTAACCGTTATCTTATCGGTTAACCGTTAATTCTTCGTAACCGGTCTGCAACCGGTTAATCGGACTAACCGTTTGAGCCCTACTTATAATTGGGGGGGGGGGGGGGTGCGCTTATGTCCGGACATAAGCACATGCGCTTATATGTGCGGAAGTACGGTACGGAAAAAAGCTCAAAAACCCCAAATTCGAAGCATTTGTGCCATAGGAACTCAAGCTGAAGGTGCCCGGTAGAGAGACGTGCCCGTATCTGAGGCGTCCGGATAAGAGGCGTTTGAGTGTATTGCCACTGTGCAATGCCAATCTTTAAAACAAAACTCCTTGAACACGGTTACATGTATACCCGTGCCTGTACAGTTTTACTCTACAAATGTACCCACATCTTTTGAAAAAATTTATCGCAACACTCGAGCATCCTTTGAACTCCTTCCCTTGCCATAACCATGAAACTCCTTCAGGAACGGTGCCCAACAATGTTTTCCGTTTGTTTCCATGTTCCATATAGACACTGTGAAACTTACAGAGAAGACTGTAGTTGATTACTGGTGACTTCATACTATACAGAGTGGAAAGCAGCGATACTTGGCTATTGCTATTTGCTGAAGATCCAAGGATCTGTACTACTGATAGACCCACGCTGCTGATGATTTCACTCGTGCCACTGATGGCTGACTTGGAGAGACTGCTTCCATCCGAAAGCTGCCACGTGGGCCGTGGCTGCGGACGTGCAGCTTCGTCGGTTGAGAAGCCAGCAAAGAACGCCGATCTCCTGCCGTCTTGAAGGTACTGGAGATTGGAAGCGCTGTTCAAGGAGTTGGTGGGTGACACTGTACAGGCGACACGCAGTCAAGAGACGATCAAAGTGTCAGTAGTGTGACCCGTGCACGGTCATAGCCAGCATCAGGGAGTAGAAAAATACCGGTAATTTACGACTCCCCGATGCTAGCATGTTAGCATGCAATCTTTCCCACACAATCACCCAGCCAGCCTCTAGCTCTGTCTGTGATGCTATGCACCTGACCGACACTAGTGATACACTTTATTGAAGGAGTACAACAATAAGTTAGACCTATATTCAGGGGAGCACATTGGAGACGGAGTAGCAACAAGAGAGGAAATATACATGTTGTCCGTGAGTTTTAAAAACATTACCAATGCCTTCAAATCCCTTGCTCAGACTGCAATCATTGGCATTAACATTGACATGTTATTTCAAGGATTCTCCAAAAGGCAAATGGATGCCTATCAAAGGGAGTCTCCGCCAACAGAACACTAAGTGAGAGGAGATGAGAGGTGAGAGGTGAGAGCGCAATCCCTTACCAAGAACAGATAGTGCAAAGCAGCGACGGTCGCGGTTAACATTGCTCACGGTGCTCACACAAGAGTATACACCAGAGTCGGCATCACTCAGCGATCTAATTGAGAGATACCCATTGTACGCATAGTTGGCAAACAGCCATCCACCGCTGCTTGATCTGCTGGTGCTGATGGAATAGCGGCCGCCGTTGTTCAGTTTTTTCCCGTTGAAATACCAGTCGACTCTACCGCTACTGCTCGAGTACACAAAGCGACATGTGTACGATGCTGTCGAACCCTTGTGGAAAGATCGGTATGTTGTGAGCTTAGTAGTGATGTAATAAGAGGAGCCTGTGGAACATGATACAAACACAGTATTGGTCTAATACTTCAAGCTGTACGAGAGATGCATAGAATAGAACATCAGTATGATTATGTCCCTGGGTATATAACCTGGTAAAGCTTCACTGGAGACCAACTCCTATTCCGCAGGCTGTTCGGTCTCACTCCTAGATTATTAAGGATGCATGTGTGTGTGTGTCCCATTAACCTTCTTGGCTGAACCAGTGGTGCAAATGCCAATACAAGTACACTCGTATCTCACTTATCCGGTGACCAAGTACTGCCCATACTGACTGGAAGTGTCCATAACTCTGAATCACATATGTTTCAATGGGGAAGAGCCAGAGAACTGGCACATAACATCACCATTGCATGTGTGTGTGTGTCCCATTAACCTTCTTGGCTGAACCAGTGGTGCAAATGCCAATACAAGTACACTCGTATCTCACTTATCCGGTGACCAAGTACTGCCCATACTGACTGGAAGTGTCCATAACTCTGAATCACATATGTTTCAATGGGGAAGAGCCAGAGAACTGGCACATAACATCACCATTTCCGCAAAAAAATGGTGAAAGAGTAGTGTCTTGAGATTTCAACTAAAACTCCTCCACAGGGTGGACCAAGGTGCCCGTAACTGGCTTCGATGTTCGGATAAAAAAATAAAAAAGTAAATTATCGTGTCCGTTCCCGAAGGGAACTCACGACGGCCGCTAACACCCGGTAAACCCTAGCGGCAGATGCAGCGCCTAATGTTCGGATAAGAGAGACATTAGCGATGCAACAGCAACACAACGAAACAACATCTACATGTACATGTATAGTTAAAGTTAATACGTGTTACTTGAGGCTTGCTCCTGCATTTTGCAAGCAGTTAACAACAGCTTCCATGACTCAAACTCTCTTCCAGTCACAGAGTGCACAGCGCTGCTCCAACCATTCAATTTGGCTGAGAACAGACAGCTCCCGGCAACGGATCTCGGACACTGAACTCACTCAGTTTGGTAGTGACGGCATGCACACAGAATGCTGACAGCGAGTTTTTTAGCTGCCTCGTCCCGGTGTGTTCTGCTTAGGAAACTCTTACTAGGTGCTGATCACTCTGAGACTGACTGAGGCAGAATTCTACAAAGTAATGACCATACTAGTACAGTGGTCCCTCTATAATCCGGCACCATTTGTGCCACGGAAAATCAGCTGGATTAGGGAGGGTGCTGGATTAACAAATCTGATTTTCTGCTAGAACGTGCATGAAGAGGACATTTTGGCTACTGCAAATTGTGCTGGTTTATCGAGGGTGCTGGATTATAAAGTGCTGGATTAGAGAGGGACGACTGTATAGTCAGATGGCGGGACTGGAAGGATTCTCTGTAGTGTCATATGCCACTGTCTCAAATCACGGCTCTACTTACTGGTAGAACTTGAAGACAATATTGCCGCGTTAGACCAGACGCTCCCTCTGGCGTTGACTGCTTTGCAGTAAACCGTCCCAGAAGATCTACTCTTGAGGGTGAGCATGGAGTGTCCCGATGATAACGTGCCAATGCTGACAGAACCACTAGGTACCAGTTTAGAGGATGTCTTGCTATTCTGTATGCGCACATCACAAAGGTACACGGGTATAACTTAGTGGTACTCCAATACTTGGTACTAGTATTGGACTAACAACAGCGGACAATGGGCACAATACCAATCATAGTTGCCCCCCCCCCCCCCCTCGATACTTTGGTCGTCATTTCCCACTGCAATGGCGGTTAACTCAAACCCTGGTTATAACGGTCAACTGCCCCCTATTTTAGTTCAGATTTTAGGTCATAAAAGGTCTTTAGTATAATAGTATGTTAATAACTGGTAAAATACTCAATCTGCGGACAGAACTGTAAAAAGAATATTCGGATCGTTCGAAACACTCCTGTCTAAGAAAATCTTAAATCATCGAGTGTGTTCATGCTCGCCAGCAGCAGTATCAGAACCTGTAATAGTAAGAGCGTCAGAAACCATTAGCCTGATGGTCCCAACACAGTTTGAGAGGGAAGACTGTCATGGTCAGTGTCATGTTTATATACATATATTCCATATTTCCAATTGAATTAACCATGACTTAGTAGTGTCTCCGAGGAACTTTTTTTCCAATTGAATTAGTTCTAAAAACACCACATGCCCTCCTTGAATTATCACATTCACCATCACGACCGCCTCCACATGCCCTCCGGTTGTTTACTATTCTCTTAATTCTTAGCCAATCAACATTGTGATTGATACGATAAGTTACTTTGCTTTCCCCAGCCGAGGACGTGCAGCCTTGCATGCTCAGCGGTGGCAATACCAGGTCCTGCCTCATTACTGACCCAGAGCAGGCATACTGGCACAGGGGTAGTCACAAGTTCACGCCACAAACTCAGCCATTGCACAAAATACTTGACACAAACACAAATGGAAAGAAACGTGTTCTCCTTACAAGGTACCACTCGTAGGTTGGCAGAGGATAACCCGACGCGAAGCACATGAACTGCGCTTGGTACGGATTAGTGCTAGCAGCAGATGTGATGACCAAGCTGCTGGGATGAAGCAGTATTTTGGGAAGGACTGGTGGTTCAAGCACAAACACAAATCATAGTACCAAGTTAAACATGGGCAGTGTAACTTACTGAACCATGTATGCATGGATGTCAGCACGCATGCACTTTCACACGAATGCCTACACCTTGAGTATAACGGTTTTAAGTGTAGCCACCGCATGTGCCATTTCTCACACATACAGCAAAACCTGTCAAGGCAACCAGTCGGATAAGGCGACCACCTGTTCTAGAAGATCACTGAAACCAGGACCAAGGGATGCTATTTCCAGCCAAATGACCCTGGATAAGGAGAGCACCTGGTAACAGAGACCACGTTTTGAAGGTCCCGTGAGCATTCGTCTTAGACAGGTTCCACTGTACACAGTTCTAATCAACTTTAACTGGAAAATTCCAATTTCTCGTCCCGAAAAAAACAATTTCAGCAGAGCAGCTATGCTAGACCACACATTCAAAATAGACTTGAGAGAAGATAGAGAGATAATGATGTGTGAAGACTCGCATACAGAATCATACAGTGAAACCTGTCTAAGACGACCACCCACAAGGGACGAGAAAAGTGGTCACCCTGGCCAGGTGGTCTTCTTATCCAGGTTCAGTGGATCACGTGACCATATTCACATGTGATAACATCACATGTGAATATGGTCAATTATATGGTCAATTTATATAGTCAATTATATGAGTATGTAAGGAAAAAAGATGGGGTGGAATTATGGTCAATTATATCATTTTCCCCGTTTGCGTCTTTCTCTCAAACCAGTAATATTTTATGACTTGGGGCTCCCTGCGTGACAGTTTGTACGTGAATTGCGTGGGTTACAGTGAGGGCTGCGTCCCACCCGCCTGTGTGGATTCACAGGAAGTGTGAGTTACGAAGTCTGAAGAAAATGTTGAACGGCCTCAGGCTGCTGGGATGGCGGCTACACCATAGCTCAGTGGTTAGAGCATCACTGAATACAGGCGAGGGTCCCTGGTTCAAGTCCTGGTGGTGACAGTCAATTTTTTCTTCAGACTTTTCCCGTTTGCGTCTTTCCCTCAAACCAGTGTATATCATTTTGATCAATTATATCACTTTGATCAGTGTATCATACTGCTCGCACTTACACTAATAGCATGACGTACGTGTACATGTATGTGCCTGGGGGCCCTCAGACCTGTCAAGTGTCGTGCATGCACCATGTACATCTACACTTCCTGCGCTGATGTTTAGATCTACCATGCATGGTGTACAGTGCAATGCATACATAGACATGTACTAGCAGGGTGCAACGCGGTCCCGGGAAGGTGGTCGTCGGTCGCGTTGAGCGAGTGGTCGCCTTATCCGAACTGTTTTGAACATGAATGCGTCCGTGACAAGGAAAAGTGGTCGCCATGGTTGAGTGATCGCCATATCCGAATGGTCGCCATTACAGGTCTTACTGTATGATGCTGCAGAGGAATGGTGGTGAAACGACACTGCCAAAATGGTGGTAAATACACACCTGCCCACAAAGCGCTCTCCAAACTGCAAAGTTCTACCAAAGAGTCCCTCTGCCTCTGGGGTTACAAATGGGTGTGCATTTACCCCCCTTTCTCCACACATTGAACAGTACGAATACCAACAACGCCATCAATAGTACAGCCTGCGGCCTAAACCTACTGTATGCTACAACGGCTATGTCAGAGTAGATTGTCCCGTATTGGTTGCTGGCTTTACACGTGTACCAGCCAGTCACGTTGTATGCTTCCGCTAACGTGTCGATGTTGGTGAAGCCCATCACGCCGTGGAAAAAGACCGGCTGCGGCAGCATTTTGGTAACCTCAACGGCGTCATCATTGCGCAGCCACGTAGTTGTAGGCTTGGGATATCCTGAAGCGAGGCAGGCAATATTGAATGAGGCTGATTTGATGTAGTATACCATGTTGTTGGTGACGCTACTCGTGTCAAAAGACGGCTTCTGACCTGCAAAAGCGCAACATGTGAGACACATCAACACAGACTGCATCAGACTCAGTGCATTTACATTGATGTCACCATTACGGTCGCTACTTTAGAATTTTTTTACCGTGCAGAACTGCATTCAGGGGCATCGCACATGGTACGGTCACTACGGTATTGACCGTACCACTATTTGACCCAAGTACCCCGTGAATCAATAAAATGCACTGATTTGGGCTCTAATTTTCCAAATGTTTCGGCTCAGTCACCCCTCCCCCATGAGTAAATTGCACTTCAGATGGCTGACCGTACCACACTAAGTTACCTTCCGACGCCCCCGGCATTGTAGACTATGTGCAACGCTATCTGCCAATGCTAGCAACTACAATCACCTGATGAGAACATTATGATGGGCATCTAATGATCAATACTCGAAGCCAGTTCAGTATGCAACCTACCTCTCACTCTTCAACACCACAGCAGGGCCCCATTTCAAATTTACACATGCCTCTTCTGATTTCTGTTTTGTTGGCTATCCAAATACATGTAAAATAGTCGGATCACAAGAAGTCTTGAAGGGGTTGGCATCGCCAAGTTAAGTACAACGTGCTGCAAGATTTTCCAGAATTCATTCCCTTGCTGGCATGCGGCGGTGTTCGTGTTGGAAAAGTAAGTGCTAAGAACAAATCAAGTTGCAAGCGCATTGAGGGAATCCCTTACCGACTGTGGTAGCACTGGATGCATGTCGAATAGTTAGTCCGGCCATAAGGAGCACGGTAACAAGCCGCAAAAGTGGGCTGGCAGTGAGCGAGAACACCATCCTCCTCCGCCCTTGATGTACACACTGGCTGCCTCAGCTTGAAAGCGGAGGATGCGGCCTGGCAACACTCAACAGAAACATCGATGTTCCACGAATGGCCCCTACAAAGTCGTCTTTGCTGAAAAATATTTTGCTTCATATTCCGTAGTCATTCTGTATGACCATAAATGACGCCCATTTGAAGCACGGGGTTGGCTGGTTTCTTGCTGTCATTGTGCGCCACCAAAATTCCATTCTGTGACCTCCACAAGCGTCGCCAAACCTTTGCCAAGGCTTTGGCAGGAGCGCAGCGCAACACTGACAGAGGTAGTGCTGCTGTGCAGCTCTGTGATCACGTGCTGCAATGATTGATGGTAGTGTGTATGCTTAGTTATGTCGTTATGACTGACTGTGTGTTTAGTGAGCGCTACCATACAAAGAAGTGTCGTGGGGATACCGTGTCCGCAGTTCTAGAGTCGAGACTTACTTGTGACATTTCTGCAGCGCGGCCCAGATGTCAGCAGTGCCTATGACGTTGGTTCCCCACATAACAAGGCTGGACTGCATGATGTGGTATGCCTGATCCGTAGTCTACCACCAAGACCGTCAGAATAGCCGCGTCATGGAAAGGAGAGAGCCTAGCCGTTCCGCGATCCGAATGCACGTGATTCAACGAAACACTCGACTACAACAACCTCAGCTATCAGTATCACCTCTACTACAGTAGGCTCTAGCTCTAGCAGACTAGCTATTTATTAGTATTAGCAAGAGTGCATGAAAACAGTGTTCATGCACTCTTGCTATCACAAGTATCAGATTGTACTCTTGCTATCAGACAGACTAGGCCGGGGAGCTCCGACTCCTAGTCGACTTAGACTGGATCACTGTAATTACATCAGGCCACACTACAATAGGCGTTTTTATTTCTATGTTTCTCGTCACCTGAACATAATCATAATAAATTATGCGAGAGCTCAGAGATGGAAAAAATAAAAATGACCGAAAAAAAGTTTACACATGCACAACGATCGTACTCGTACTCCGGAGCTCCCGGCACTCACTGCCCGCGTAGGCGCGTACCACACCACTGTATCGGCATTGGCCAGATGTTTTAAGCGACGATTGTAGAATATAATTTGTTGCCAGTTCAAACTTGCATGCATGCTTGTGCTGTCTAGTACTTCAAGCCCCGCATAGTACAGTTCCCGCTAAGCGCTACTGTGAGTGCATGGGTGCATGGATTGACGGCACCAGACCCCACACAACACCTTGCAGAATATGAGAAGGTAGCTATCAAAAAGGCATTGCATGCACGACACCCACACAAACAAGATCCACACGCACGCACAATTGAAGGCACAAGTAATAGCGAATCCTTGAATTACGGGGGGTAATTCAAGGATTTATGTAACACGGTATGTTTTGCCACCTAAATAATTTGTTTGTTTGGGAACCAAAAAAATGTACAAAACGCATGGACTATGCTTCCATATGACTGAAGTGGGAGACATACACATGAAGAATTTGTATGAGCCAGATACAGGAAAATTAGACCGGTTTTCACTTCAAAACACCCGCTTTACCATGAACATCCATGGCTAGGCTTTGACAGATGCAGTGTTTTAAAAAGAAAGGAAAGAGATAACTAGTAGGAACAAAGATGCACCAATACCAGTTCATGCCAGCTACATACCACTGCATGACAAATTGCATGAGACTCTGTTCACTTCAAAGTGATACTGGATTGTACTCTACTATGTACTTTCTTCAACTGTTTGTGTACAATGCCAAAAGAATCGTACATATAATGCACACGACACACATTGAAACATTAGCAAGCGAGACTGGGCGTGCTGTTCTTAGTACGTCGAAGTCAATCGGGCATGCACGCGTATGATCTGTCTGTAACGGAGCTAGCTGATCGAGGAGTATGGGCAGGAGCACATGACACATTGCCCATTGCTCGAATGTGCTATATGTGACCATGCCAGCTGTTTTCAAACAACCACCGGATTAATGCACTCGTTGAGCTTACCCTCCCAAGGCAATGCTCTCTACACCTAGAGCTGGGTATTACCGGTAGCTGGGGTAAAGAAGTGATGGCCGCTCTGCGTGGCATGGGAGAAGCGCAATGTCCCACTCAGGTCCCGTGCCTGCGAAGCAGAGTTTGGCCGAAGTTGCAGACCAACAGCCGGACAAGGTGGTACCACCTTCTGCTGAAAGTCTTGTTGGTAGCCTGTGCTAAACTCAAACTCACCTTGGCTATGCATCTTCGGGGCAGGCTTGAAGCTAGTCACGGGCGTTGTCTGTCGTCCAACAAACGATTCTTGGAATTCTGTCGTTCCCTGGAACTCTGCCGGCGGGACGCGTGCGCTCGGATGGTATGGTCTCTCCGGCTTGACATGCCACTGTTTATAATTTGCTGCGTGCGTGGTCTCTGTCAGCAACGGTTCGGAGCGCGTGCGCAATCGCGACGCAGGTCGTCTTGCACGCTCAGGCTCGCGTTGGCCGTGTTCGTGATAGACTAGCTGATGCGTAGTTCTGCTCTCCATCTCACCTTTGGGTGCAACGTACCGCCGTGCTGGCTTTGGTGCCGGTGGATTCGCTCTCCACGCATGAAAGGCTGTGCTGTGAGTAGTGTTAGTATCCAGCGGAGGTCGCTCTGCCGCTGCTTCCGGCCGAGGCTTGCAGCTCTTTGCCCTCTGATCACCACTGTGCTTTCGGAAAGCATCCATGCTTGTTGATGTGTTCTCCAGAGGGTGCTTTGAAGCGCGGTACTGATCCTTGCCTCTCTGCGGCCCCCGATCCGGTAAATCCTTCGGGCCAAAATCTGCGCCGTGCGTAGTTTCAGAGTGCATGGGTAGAGATTCACGCTCCGGCTCCTTGGGTTTCATGCTTTCGCGAGGCTGAACTTTCCTATGCTGGTATGTCTGGCCAGTTGTCGTTTCCAGGTCCATGGGCACGGAAGAGGCAATGCGCGTAGTGGGTGGCGCTGCCGTCTTGCGCCTCTCCAGAGGCCACGCTACAAAGCTCTTCGAGTGCTCGGTGACGCTCTCCAGGGGCGCCGTCGTGCGACGCCGGTGTTTGGGATAGAGTGTCTGGGCGGCGTGGCCCGCACCGTGCGACGGGTAGTGCTGCATGTACTCGCTCTGCTCCTCCACTTCACCCGACGGCCTGCGATACGCCTCGGCCGACTTCACCCGTCTCGGGTACAGCGGATGCACCGGGTAGTCGTGCTGCTGCGTTGAGATGCCCTCGACGCCGAACGAGTTGCCCACCGGTCGCTCTTTGGGCTTGCACGACGCCCGCGGCTGTACTCTGTTTCCGGTGTACGTTGTCTGGTATTCGGTCAGGTGACACACTGACCGTGGCTTCAATGGCTGATGCGGACAGCGGTGACGCCTAAATGGACAAGCACAGGACAGGTAGTTGGGACAAGGCAAATTAACACAATGTCAGGCATACGTGTATGTCAACATGAAGAGTTAAGATGCAAAATGTGAGCAGCACCCAAATTTGAGAAATTCAGATTTTGAGCTCATTGTAAACATTAGGTCATGGGGCACCTGGAGGTAAAATTGCACAAGGTCTCTGAGGAACAGGATATGCAGATCTCAGGCTTCACTTCTTATAAACTATATCCTCACAGGAAGCCTCGGAATGCGAGGTCATTGCCCTAACTATAAATTCTACCATTAGTAACGTGTGTGGCCTAACGTTAGTGTGTGTGTATGTGTGTATGTGTGTTAGTGTGTGTGTGTGTGTGTGTGTGTGTGTGTGTGTGTGTGTGTGTGTGGTGTGTGTGTGTGTCAGTGTATGCCGGAGTATGCGGTGTGGCATGTGTGTGTAAAAAAATTGAAAAATGAAAAATAGGGATTCACTGGCCAGAAAAAGTCACTTCAATCAGCTGTGTGGTGGATACCAGGCTAACATTAGTGGCGGTCAATTCATCAGCCTTGCAAGCTGTTGAATGGTGTAATCCTAGCACAAGTTGCAACATAGCTGTTCACTATCATCGCTTCCGCGATGGGCAGGTCTGAGGTCTGAGGTGTGTGTGTGTGTTTGCTGTGACTGAGGCCAATTATTATTGATCAATTTGGGTACTGTAGTCCTACTAAGCTTCATGGGATATGAATGGTGGATTGTGGCACATACACATGTACATGTATACTGCACGCTTGCAACAGATTGTTACAATATTCACACTATTAGATAATCCAACACTACTAGCACAGTACTAGCACCAGATAATCAAACACTAGTACACACTATACATCGTATCGAGCACCTACATGTAACTAATACTAAGTCTTGTTCATGTCATGTTGTAGATAGTGGCATTCCACAGGGTTTTTTTTGACACACGCACAAAATGGCCCAATATAATAATTATATTGGGCCATTTTTTTGGGCCGCTGCTGAAATACTATTTCAGCAGCGGCCATGCCTGTGTACATGTATCATTGTATGTGTGCAAGTGCTAGGTGGACCAGTGCTAATCAGCAATCGTCAACACACGACAACAGTGACTAGTGGCTGGCTGTGCACTACATAAGTCATTGCACAAGGACCGCGTGTGACGGTCTGCTGCTGATTGTTCCAACGCCACTTACCCGCAGTTGCAAATTTGACAAATACATTGCTTGTGCAGGATCGACATCTTCCCAATTCGTTCGTTCAGCACACACCGTTCAAATTACCACTACAAAGCTGTCTCGGTAAAATAGCAGGAGGTGACCAGTGACCACAACTACGAGCGGAGCATCCAGACCGTACATACATGTATGTTTTCGTAAGCCCGACACTTGATTCATCGATCGTTTCTCTCTGTTGAGCACAATGGCTGGACTGGCCACACTACTACACTCACATCTCTTCACTACAGTTACTGCAATAAGTCAAACCCTGAGGCTTCTATGCAGGTGAATCACTCCAACTTAGTCCAAGTGTTCCACTGCCACCTTCAACAAAAAAACATTGGTAAAGCAAACACAGTCTGACTTGTACATGACTGTCAGATCGACAGGATCATCAGATTCTTGTGAAGCGGCCTTCGTGTCCACCTCATCACGCCCACAAGGCTACATTGATGTTATCTTCTTCCTGGTTAGGTGTAATCATGGTAATCATGATGCTGAGATTGAACAACCGCCCTGTACCAGGACTTGAAGTCATGGTGAAGACGTTTGGCCTTCAAGCCAAACCGTGACGGTACCATGGTTACGTAGCTCTTGCAAAAGATTCAGTGTAGCCTGTGGCTGTAGCCTAGTGAGTGTAGGGTGCGTAGATAGATCTACGACGCTCAAGTCGATGGTCGATGTCACCACGATGTACATGTGACGTGAAAGGATTTGTGGAAAAAGTCGTGAAAATGATTTGCGTGATCAATCAGTCACGTCACATGCATACACGTACGTACACACAGACTGAATGAACGATTTTTTTGAAAATCTCTGAAAACAGAGGACAATATTCACAACACCGATTGAATATTCTCAATCAGACCTGCCTGTGCTTTTTGTATTCAATGGCGTCCAGTTCTCTTCACCCCTAGGGTGCCTTCGTGCGTGCTTTTAGAACGCTTGGTCAAGCTTTATGGCGCAAGTTGCAGAATGGCTGAGGAAGAAGAAGCACGAGCAATGCAGCTCACCGAATTGGAGCAAGAGTTGATTGAAAAGCGACGAAGACTGGAGCTATTGGATCAGCAGTTGCAAGAAGAAGGTAGTGCCAGTGCAGCTTCGAGCCCTTCTTCAAGTAAGTCTTTGTGTTCTTAGCTCTTTTTGTAATCGGCAGAGAGTTGCATCATAACGCTCGGATACGATCTTGTGCTAATTGTTGAGAGTACCCCATTTTATTTTTAGCATCAACTAAACGAAGAACTGGGAAGTACTCAGGATTCGGAGGATGCATGCAGTACGCGTCTGTTGAAAAGAGATTAAAATTGATCATTAGAAAATGCGGCTGGTGCGTTGATAGTATGTTGGCGAAAGACAAAAGTGTATTGGGAATAATGGCACTTAGACCTTGACAATCACCAACAAATGTTTAGTTTCCAGTAGGAACATGATACCAGCATTGTAGTCTCCAATTAATTTGTCCCTGCGGGAATTTGCGGAAAAACTCTCGAAAACTTGCGCAAGAAATTGCGGCAGAAAACAACAAAAAATGCGACGAAAAGTGCGGAATGATGCAGAACTTGCCAGGAATTCGCGGAAGTATTTGCAGAAAATTGCGGGTTTGGGCCAAAATCACGAAATTTGTTGCATCGTATATCTACTCCACGGCTGTCAAGAAGCGGCAACTTAGAAAGATGGCGTCGGTTCGAGATGGCATGGTAACCGCGCACGTGCCGTGGTCCGTGACTTGCTCATGTATGCACGCAAATGCAAGTCACAAACTCACAAAGATCGTCTTTGCATTTGGAGAAAATATCTTCGACTCTCTTTGGAGGTTGGCGAGGTTTGCCTAATCTTTACTTGATTGCGATGCCGGTATGTCCTCTCAATAATTAGAACAAAGAGAGCTGATGATCGCTTCATTGCTGAGCAGAAGTAACAATCAACTCTCCTCATGTCCTCAGTGCCAAAGGCAGACGACTGCAATTCCACAACGCTCATTTCACGATGATGGAAACAATAATTGTGTACTAGTACACACTTGGACCATTTGGTCATCCCTATTCTAGCCGCTAGTCCGTCCAGCAAGCAGATATTGACTATTACGATAAGGACAACTGCGTGAACGAGGGCTCGCCCAGCAAATACAATTCAAGTCGTGACTCCAGTCAAGATTAGGGTCTTTACTCGAGAACTTCACAAATACAGGCCAAGGCACCCCACAAAACTGATAGATGGCACGAACGAAAGACAAATAGGCTAGACAAAGTGTCCCAAGTGATTGAAAACAGCAGATCTACCAAAATAAGACAGCTACATGTGCCTAAACAACGATTCCCATACAGTAGAGAGTTGTATCAGGCAGAATGAAAGCCTTGGAAGTGCACAAATACAGCCACGACCGCCACAAAAATTGGACGACCGCCACAAAAAATTTCTCATTGCTCTACCTCCTTGAAGGGTGAAAGCTACCAGTTATCCTATAGCGATGTCAGTTTATGCCTGCTGGAACCCCCCCCCCCCCCAAAGCCCGCACGAAATACCTTCCAAATAATTCCAGGATGCAATTGCAGCTCCAGACAGGAGGAAGAAGAACACCGTGAAAAATAACGGCAACGATGCCCAAACTCTCGGGAAACGGCTGAAGTCTTCCTGAAGATGTTAACATTGAATAGCCATCGATTACCAGCGTGGTTTGGTGACTTTAGAACTGTTTTGAGACTTAGAACGAAGCGATATCTCAAATTTGATGGAATTGTTACCTGTCAAATGCGTGGGCGAGCAGGCCAGCTGACTGGTTATGCATGAAGATGCATGAGCATGCATTGATTTTTCATGGTTCACGTGCAGAAAACTAAGTTGCCGCGATCCAAGTGCAGCTAACAGCCGTGACTCGGGATAGGGCTTGAAAGTGCTACGTCACAGCATAGCAATGGCATAGCAACAATTTGAAAAATTCAAAAACTGGATCCACCTGGATCCAGTTTTTGTATGGATCCAAGCACATTTCAAGTGGTCTTACTCACAGCAAGGTGATGTAGCCAGTGAAACTGACTGATTTGGCTAGTGGGGGCGGGGTGACAACTGGTGGCGAAGTAAAAGTCGCACCTGCATACGACATGAGTGGGTTGCCATGCACCCACGTACTGAGGCAATTGCAAAGTCACACCTTAGTGGATCCAAAATAGAAATCTGATGTCAACTTACTACTCCCAGGCCGTTTTTGACGTCATCACTTTCAAGCCCTATTAGTACGAGTCGTACTGTGCAAATAACCTACAGGATCATGGAAAGCACTGCGTGAAAAGTGCATAGAAATGTGAGATATAGTGCAGAAAACAACATAAAAGGCGGGAAATTGCGGATTTTGCTGAAAATCGCGGGTTTGGGCCAAAATCGCGAAATTTCTTGCATCCGTGGAATTGCGATTTCCTGGAGGGACAGTCCAATGCTCGTATACAGTACAACCTTAGGCCCGATAGCGTGCAAGCTGTAAATTCTGGAGTCTGTACATGCTGGCCTGCAATATGTGACCCTAGGGTGCAAGTACGAATATCCAAGTCTACGAGTGAGAGTAGCATTCTGTTTTCGCACTTTTTGTGCATTACCGTGTTACAGTATGTTGATCCTAAGAAGTTGGAAATTTCAGCAGGACATAGCGTGGTGTGACAGATTAGGGAACATTGCCACCTGCAGTTATTCGTATTCGCAGGCCTCTTACGCCACCATAATCACCCTGTCCTGAACATTATCTGAAATACATCACCTCCAAGAGTGTGTGACTCCGCTGTCAGTGTATCAGTGCTGTCTGGACAGAATTTCTCAAGTTGGCGTCATTTTTTTATGATGTCGTGCACTGTGTACATGTACGTACTATCAGACATATCCTGGCCCGGTGGTGGACAACTTCCTGGTTGATCCCGTGCAAACTAGTGCAAGACCTTAGGGATCTAGAAACCATGCGTGATGCATTCTCCCGGTAGAAACGTCTCACTTTTCTCGTGCGATCGATGCCTCGTAAAAATGACGTCGACTTGAAATTCTGTCGGGACACCAGTGCACATGGGAGTTGCACACTCTTGGTGGTTCTGCAGTCTTCGTATTGGTATAAGCAATTTTCCCAAGTCCTCACCAGACCATTACCGTGAAGAGATCGCTTTTTTTGCAAAACCTCCAACCCGCTACACAAAAAGTCCTTTGCAGAATTCACATTACGCAGCAAGTCGCAACCTAGCACAAAAGACATTATGGTGCAAGTTTGCATAGTGACTATAGTTTCTACATTTTGAGAGATAATAGCCAGGCAAGTGCAGAGGTGATGATATAAGTGACGTGACACATATTTATAAGTTGGTGTGTGTGTGTTGTTGACACTTGTTGTTGTTGACTTTTATTTTACTTCACCAATTGCACAGGCATGATTGCCTTCTTACCGGCCCATAGGTCCGGTTCTCACAGAAAGATGAAGGTGTGTGTGTGTGTGTGTGTGTGTGTGTGTGTGTGTGTGTGTGTGTGTGGTGTGGTGAGCCCATAAGTGGGATCATTTTCAAGTCCACCCAGAGTTTTGGGGATTTCAGGGGGTGTCGGCCGTTGGGCGGTTCAGTAGCCAATTGAGTCATCTTTCCAAGATTCCTTTTGAGTCTCTCTCCCCTCTCCCTGGGAGACCCACGTGACCAGTTCTGGCAGTGAGCAACAAGTACAAGTGTGTGTGTGTGTGTGCGCGCGCGCGTGCGGGGGTCAAATGTTAATGATGGAGTGGGTGAATATTCTCAAGATTCTCAAGTCAGGCGTAGCTATCCATTAGAGGTGTCAAGTCCGAGATGTCGTGCTCAGTGTAATAACAGCAGTGTCCTTTCTTCTGTCTTGTGTTTGTAACACAGGTAAATCAAGCAAGAAGTCCCATTCATCTCCCCATAGCCAACCTGACGTTACCTCTCGTTCCGGTGGTGCTAGCACGTCCAGCCACTCGTCCGAGCGGTCTAAACCGCACAGCAGCAGCCGGCGAATCGTTACGAAGGGCAGCAGTTTGGAGAGATCGTCCAGTGTCACCACTGCTGACAGTAGTGCTAGTAGTGCTGCACTTGCTGCCAGCAGTAGCACCAGTAGATCTATTAGTCGCCACCATAGCTCTCATAGCAAGCACACCAGCAGTCACCGCGACGACCATCGCGATAGCCACCGCGACGAGCACCGCGATAGTCACCGCGATGAGCACCGCGATCAGCACCGCGATCATTCTTCTAAGCACTCATCACATCATCGCGACCGAGACTCTGCACGTTCCAAGCATCATCACCATCGTGGCGATGCCAGAAGTGGCAAGGAGCATAGCCACAAGCGTTCCAATACATCATCAGCTTCTGCGTCTGCCCCATCTGCCAAGCGCAGCAAATCCGGCAGTGGCTCTGGCCGCACAGTGGTCGTGACGCAAAGCAAGCCAATTAGAGTAGACTCCAGCTCCGATGGTGATGCACCTAGTCCTACCACTTCTGGCAACGTGAAAAAAACAGCCAGGCGGAATCGTACTGACTCTACCAGTAGCCGCAGTAGTACTTCAAGTAGTAGTAGCGACGGAAGCAATGTGGCCGCTGCCAGGAAGAAGGTTAGCTCCAGCAGTAGTAGTGATAGTGATAGCGATAGTAGTGTGGAGCGTGCTGGCCGCTCGGGTAGCAATAGGAAGAGGCCAGCTTCCATTCCTGTACACAAATTGACGCCACCCGATGACAGAAGTAGCATTCCGATGGCACTGCGCCCCATTACACCCACCCAGTACACGGACAGTGCTTCCGAGGAGGATCTTCCCGGAAATGAATTTGATGCGTCTCCCTCGCCAGCCGGGCTTGACACGGGCGGTGCGTCTTCACCCGAGTTCTCTTTCTACCTGCCAGCGCTGGAAGGCTGCCGCAACGTGGATGAATTTGAGTACCTGAATCGCATTGAGGAAGGCACCTATGGCGTCGTGTTCCGTGGGAAAGAGAAGAAAACAGGTGTGCGTGATGTTAGACTGTCTGAATTGTGAATTTGTTGGCTGCCAACGACACCACCTGCGATGGGGTCTCGGATACATATTTGTGAAAATATAAGTTTTAATATCCTAGTTTGAATTGAAATAGCTACAGTGAAGTAGTCGTAGCACCCTAAGAATAGTGTTGCATGCATGTCTGGTTCAAGACTATAACCCAATATTTGTGCATTGTACTGTTTTATGAATATCGTATGAGTGTACCAAGGGCCGTGAGTTGGCTAAAGTGACTGTATATTGTAGGGGTGAAACAATTATACCGAGTACTCGAGTACTCGCTCGGTTTTTTCAAAAATAATCGTACTCAGAATAAATCAGAGTACTCGTTCATACATGGTGCATGCATTTATCACAGAAATCTGCAGTTTCAGAGTAGCAGTCGGCAGATATTGAGGTGCAGACTGTGTGGTGAACATTTGTTCACGAGTAGAGAGAGCCCAAATGACCCACGAACCTATATACCCGAGAAAAATGACTGCTACTCGCTTCAATCAGGGTTGTATCATGTGATTTTAAGGGCCTTGGTGTGCAATTTTAGGAGACGAAGAATACTCGAATACTCGAATATTCGATCGGAGAAAATCAGAGTACTCGAACTCGGGATCTCAGTGCCAACTTTCACCCCTAGTATGTTGTCACTCTGTATAGTTGATGGGTCAGCTGCTGGAGAGCATGCCAGTACCTTCCATCCACTTCAATGTGCCAACACATGAACAGTGCGTTTTGTTTCTGGCTTCATCAAGGCGGCGTTCTTTCAAAGCTGCTTGCGCCAGTGAGTGCAGTGTTCAAAACAGGATCCTATGTGAAACAGGCTGTTTAACATTACATTGCCATGTGCATGTGCTAATTTTGGAGATGAACCTATTGCCTTTATGAGAATGGTATTAATCTCTTCTTGTCACTGTCATGTCGTATTGGTTCACTGCAGGGAGAATTGTGGCCCTGAAAAAGCTCAAAATGGAGAAAGAGAAGGAAGGATTTCCTATCACATCTTTGCGTGAGGTCAACACATTGTTGAAGTCTAAACATCCCAACGTGGTAGACTTGCAAGTAAGGAATCATGCAACAGCATCATTATTAATGTGAACGTCGTTGTTTTACTTATATCAGTGGTGCAGACTTCACCGCTCGTCAGTAAGCTAATGAAGTTTGTACTCCAAGACTGCTACATTACATAGCGCTTTGCAGCCTAAACATCACTAGGGATATCAACTTACAGTAGCTCTCCATTTTCCTATCCATCAAATTGATCAATCTCAATTAACTTGGAGGTCTCAAAGAATCCAATGGGTGGTCTATTACTTCTGTCTTTTTCTTCACTTTCCCATAGGAAGTAGCAGTTGGCTCAAACATGGATAAGATCTTCCTTGTCATGGAGTATGTGGAGCATGATCTCAAGGCCCTGATGGAGTCCATGAAGGAAGGATTTTTGATCGGTGAGTCACTGAGTTTTGTCGCAGGCTATCCTCCGGTGGTGAGTAATCAACTTCTGTTCGCCGGTTATCCCCTGTATCATTATTTTTCTTAGAAGAAAGTGGCATCTTCTGACATCGAAGCTTGTGCTTCCTGCCAACCGTTTGGCACTAGAATTCGTTTTCTCATTCAGTTAACCCCACCCTATAGAAGTGCTCAAGAACCAGACATACTGTAATAGTAATGTACAAAGCATCTTGTGATCAACACTTTTGTTTTCTTTTTAAAATAATTTTACACTGTTGTGATCTCCAGCAGTATAGTTTTACTTATCTAAATGATGTGCAATACATCGTGTACAGTGTGCCTGACTATTTTTATTTTGCCTTGGTCCCCATCTTTACCGCTTTGACGTATTCTTGTTCCGCTCACTCATCTACTCTTGCTGCGATTGTTGAACTGTTATCTGTTCCAGGCGAAGTGAAGACATTACTGCGACAGCTCCTGGCTGCTGTTCATCATTTGCATGATAACTGGATTTTGCATCGCGATTTGAAGACCTCTAACCTGCTGCTCAGTCACAAAGGAATTCTGAAGGTTGGTTCCTATAATTAATACTTCGAAGTACGCTGGTGACAAGTCAAATGCGACCCCTGGATTTTTACGTATGAGTGCTGCGTAGCTTTAATAATCATAGTTGGAATTTCTCCTGATGAAAATTGATATCTATCCAAAGTGTCATTGTTGCCTGTTGGTTGCCCTGGCTTAGACCTTTTAGTCATGACAACCGACAGCCCCCTTTCTTTGCATGAGATCTAACTGTTCATGCGTCCGGGGCTTGGAGTTGACATACTAGTAGATGTTATCTCTGAATGGCACACACCCTAGTAGTCTCCTGTGGTACTTACTCTTGAGTCCTTGACCTTCAACTGGCAACATGCTGGCAATTGGTCTACATGAATACATGTTCTGCAATCTTCCATTGTAGCATGGACTGTGGTGTGTGTGATCCTGACTGCTCCATCGTCTGTCTTCTGGGATGACAGCAAGGACTGAATGTCGTTTTGCTTTTCTCCATTTGGTTTGCCCTGCTGTAGGTTGGTGACTTTGGTCTTGCCCGTGAGTACGGTTCACCACCGAAACCGTATACACCTATTGTAGTGACACTATGGTATCGAGCACCCGAGCTTCTTCTCGGCTCAAAGGTCAGCGCAACTGCATATTTCTCAACTGTGTACTTCGTCATGTTCTTATGATTGTCTTATGTTGCTGTGCCACTGGATGTTTGCTTTTCAAATTAAAATTCTGCCACCGCTGTTGCAGCTTTTTGGTTGATATGTTTGACTACTAGTACGAGGGGTGTGGTGAAAGTATATTTTGTAGTATATGTACATAATAGATTTGGGGTCTCCCCCCCCCCCCCTCTCTCTCTCTCTCTCTCCCTCTTCGTTGCTCACTGGTTTTTCATTTGGTGTGTTGTTCTTTTCCAGATGTACACCACTGCAGTGGATATGTGGTCTGTGGGATGTATCTTTGCTGAGCTAGTCCTGATGAAACCCCTGTTCCAGGGCCGCACAGAAATCGATCAAATCCAACAGATCTTCAAGGTTGGTTGATGTGGTGCGTGTACCAAAATTCATGTCTTCCAATCCCCAAATTCATTCTTTTTTAGAAAGTTGAGCCTGGGTTTCTGCCTTCAAAGGTAGCCTGGTAACCAAGTTCTCTGAGTTTTCAACTGAGAGAAATGTTTAATCCTTGTGTTATGTGTACACACACAGCCTTTACTGTAGGTTGTAATTTCTGCAACTGTCTGGTGTGTTGGACGCCTTGATCCTTGAGGGTGGTGGCGTTCTTACGGATGCGGAAAGCTCGGTGTCTAGCCGAGTGTCACGCAAACCGTGAATTTGTTGATGTGTTGCACTCGCCTTTGAAGTATTGCATGCAGAAGCTATCACTGATTTCGTTAATAATTATGGTTATATGCACCTGCCCTCGATGTTTTCGTGTTCTGTGATGTGATTGTAGGCTTATGCGGATGCTTGGGAGATATTTTCTGTTGGAGGCTGTCCTCTGTCCTGTTTGCTTGACATTTCTAACATGCTGTTCTTTTCTGTCCTGTGTTCTGGATTGTGTACCGTGGTAGCTTTTGGGGAGACCCAATGAGAAGATATGGCCAGGTTGGAAAGATCTTCCAGCAGTGCAAAAGGTGAGTCTACAATGTGTGTGTGTGTGGGTGCGTGCGCGTGTGCGTGCGTGTGTGTTTGTGTCATGTATGTCATGTACATGTATGTCATGTTTGGCCTTACTTCTGAGTTCTGACTGTGTTATGCTTGCTTGCTCAGGTGACATTTGCAGAACAGCCATACAATCATTTGAAAGAGAAGCTTCCCACCTTGACCGGTAATGGCATCAAGCTTCTCAACAAGTAAGTGAATACTGGATTGTTAGAGCTGAGGCAAAGAGAATATAAACGTGTTCTCTTGAGCGTGAGTGCTGGTAGAAGGTGCAAACATTGCTAATCTCTTGTGTCTAGAGCCTATTTCAGTGCAGGTCATGTGATAGTTTGGCTGTAGTAGTCTTTGTCAGTACCCCACATCTGATCATGTTTTTAAAAGGTAGCTGGAAACTAAATCAGATTTTCAAATTGGCCCGAAATGTTAGGGATTTGAAGTGTGGAGTGTCTTCAGTGTGCCATGTAGGGATGAAATGGCCAAAAAAGTAACTGGTCTCCATCAATATTGTGGAGTAATGAGCACCCCGAAATTGGAAATTTTCGAGATGTTTCTAAAAATAACCACTAAAATAGGCCATTACAAGAAATTGGCCGGACATTTTTCGCTAATATTTTACAAATCAAGTTAATCAACTCTACCAAGTGTAAGATACTAGTAAAACCAAGAAAAGTGACTGTTCACGACGAAACGTGTTTTGATTTCCTTTCCAGCTACCTTAACTACACCATGTTGCTCCCTTGTCCAGCTTTTCTTTTCCGTATTGCCAAAAACGATAGCAAACGATTTGTGATTTGCATTTGCTTCTCACAGGATGCTAACGTTTGACCCCGATCAGCGTATCTCGGCAGAAGACAGCATGGCAGACGACTTCTTCAAGGTGGGCTATACGTACACGTGTTTGTCTGCGATCATTCGGTGCACCTTTACTCTCCATTCCCGTCCCTGCGCCCACCACTGGCACAAGCACACTATTACTGGACAGACATACAGGCCGGGAAATGGTGGGCTGTTTCGCTGGAACTTAAAGTTTTGGTCTCTGGGCGGCGGGAGCAGCTTTTCTGGACTGCTGCCTAGTGGTGTTTCCAATTGTTGTTGTTGTCATTGCAAGTTCGGCTCAGGACGGCTGCACTTGTATTTGAATAGAATGTATCAACACAGGCCCTGTGAAATGTCATAATGCGACGGAGTATCCTATTATGACAGTGAATGTACATATGACAGTCAGCAGCTGACGTTACTCAGCTAAATGCTGATTTTGTGAAATACTCTGTGTTGTTGTTGTTGTTCTGCTTCTTCCTGCTGTCTGTAGGAGGCACCTTTGCCCGTTGATCCAGCCATGTTTCCAACGTGGCCTGCCCGATCTGAGTTGCCGCGAAGCAAGAAAATTAGCCGGTCTCCCAAGGCTCCAGATGGTGGTGGAGGAATTTCGGTAAGTCTGTGTGTGTGTGTGTGTGTGTGTGTGTGTGTATGTGTGTGTGTGCACGTGTACATGCATATGTATTCTGTGCCCACGGATATTGATACTCCCGGTGGAAGAGAGCTGTAAAACTAAGCATTTCTAATATTTTCTATCAAGGAAATGTGGTGTTTATTTGCTCTATTCAGTGTTTGATCGTGTGTCTGTGTGTGCGTGTGTGCTTGCTTGCGTGCGTGTCTGTTTGCGTACAGGATTTGTTGAGCAAGGATCAGGATGGCTTCCACCTCACACGAGCTAGCCATGGCTCCTCCAAGAAAGGCATGGGCTTTACTTTGAAATTCTGAAGTTCATGTGTTTTTCTTCACTATCAAAGTAGCCTTAGTTGTCCATGTCTAGCCAAACTTGATTCCCTTAGTTGTTGTACTGCAAGATTCGGCCATTTTTCTTCAGCTCAACGAGATGGTGTTTTTAAAGACTTGCCATTTTAGTCACCGTGCACATTTTCTTAACTTACTTTTTTCCAAGAGCGTCGTCTAGGATCAAATTTTGTAGTTCGTCTTGCTTTTGTGCATGAAGTATTACGCCATTCCTTGAAGTCGATTTCCGACCTATTCACTACTTGTCTTTTGTGGTGGGAATGAGGTGCTCTCTCTCTCTCTCTCTCTCTCCTTCCTCTCCTCTCCCTCTCCTCTCCCTCTCCTCTCCCTCTCCTCTCCCTCTCCTCTCCCTCTCCTCTCCCTCCCCTCTCCTCCCCTCTCCTCTCCTCCCTCCCTCCCTCTCCCTCTCTCTCTCTCTCTCTCCCTCTCTCCCTCTCTCCCTCTCTCTCCCTCTCTCCCTCTCTCCCTCACATGCACACACACACAAACACACGCCCACATACTCACTGATGGTGATAGGCATGAACAAAACCCGCATGCCGATCGAATGATATCTCAAGAAATTAATGCAATCAGCTGTATGTATACACACTGAAAAAATCTATATTTGTACAGTTTTAGGAAAACGATGAAAAAATCAAGTACTCAAAATAGAACTCTGTCGCATCTGTGCTGAATTATGACTGGGTTCACAGGTTCGCACAGCGACAAGCGCTTGCAGAAATTAGATTCACACATGTAGTATGAGTCAGTAGTAGCCTATACCCTACCACTGGTGTTTCTCCTCTTTGTCTATGTTCACTGGAGTACACAGTGGCTAATAGGATATACTTCATAAATTTTCAAAAGTCCATTCTAGGACTAGTTTTACCTAATACTAGTAGACCGGATCGTGTAACTGATGCTAGCCGGTAAGTCAACCGAGATTAACAAGGTAGGTTGCTTCGTATAGTCTATAGAGGATGAAATCTATTGTTGAAAACATCCATACTTACGGATGAAAATACTCCATGTATAATTGATGTAGTCTATTGTGGTGGCAATGCGTGGCATACTCTGTGACTGCCATGCACACTAGAGCATCTGTTGTGTTCTGTTCTTTCACTGCATCCGAGTGTGTACGTGTGTGTGTGTGTATTTGTACTCAATGCTATGCATGCTCCACGGTATAATAAATATATCATGTGCATGGCCATTGTATGGAGCCCAGGTCTCTCGGGTAGACCTGCTGCCTGGCATAGCTGTACGACGTGACGATGAGATGAAAGGAGTCCCAGCCGTCGGCGTTGTGCCCTTCTAGTCCGCTCAGCAAGTAGGTATGGCCGACCTGTAATGACGGACAGCTGCACCCATTGTTTGTAGTCACACGGTGCAGTTTGTAGATCTGCACATAGACAAACACACATAGACAAACACACACAGACACACAGACACACACACACACACACACACACACACACACACACACACACACACACACACACACACACACACACACACTGTAAGTACCAATATGAAGAAGACAGTGCCAAATATACCACATAGGTTCACATGAATACCAATGCGACACCAGCCTCAGAAAATGCTACATTTTTCTTACCCGTTTGTCCTCCAAAACTATCCTTCCCATCCGATACACTTTGTACACGTAGACACGATAGAACTTCCCGTGCGCAGCGACAATCCGCACGAACATGGCTGGGCAAGACACAAGCACAGGAATAAGCAAAACAGATATGGGCTGACAGACAGAGAGATATAGATAGACTTGCAAGGATTTGGTCGACCTGATTCATGACCAACGATCATGCTCGTGGGCGGATAGATTTTCCCACATCACAGGCCAGGGCACATTGACTGCAGGATTGATCACATTCTCACTCATCACATTGATCACATGATCACATGATCACATTGATCACTGTGACATGATCACATTCTCACCATAGTACAGTCTGTATCGGCTATAGCGTACCCTTTTGATTTCCGTGATTTTATCACTATAACCAAGAGTCCATAACCCCCCAGAGTGTGCAACTCGTGATCCTTCTCAGCACAAATCAGTGCCGCAACGAAATCCAAACTTCATACGTCATGTGGTGAGTAGCGGATGTACCAGATATGCACATGGCCCCATCCGCCCATGCTTGACTTTGGACCGGATGACGCAATGTTTGGATTTCGTTGCGCCAGACCCCAACCTGGAGTTGCACACTCTGGGGGGTTATGGACTCTTGCTATAACCGATGCATCACTATAATTATGCGATACGACCGATTTTTTTTCTTTTTTTCCGATCGACACATGAAAGGAAAGGAAATACTTCCAGCATGGCGTTTTGACAAATGAGCATGCTGCATAGTTGACAGTGCCCGCATTTCCATACAAAAAATTCTGTTATGTACATGTACATGTATCACTATAAAAATAAGCAACGTGAAGAAAGTTAAAAAAAATAGGGCCTTTGATATTATTGCTACATGTATTTTAAAGTTATCACTATAGCCGATAATAATATAGTGTGTTACGCATGTTTTGATTCTTTGTTGCCATCATATTATCCGATATATCATTACATCCGATAATATTGGTTATAGTGATACTTGTACTGGGTAAAACACGTTTTGCTTTTGATATTTCGTACCAATATCACTGTAGCCGATATATTCTTATATCCGGTCACTCTATAGCCGATACAGACTGTATTAGTAATTACAGGGTTGTCGGAAGGTAATTTAGTGCGGTACGGTCAGCCATCTGAAGTACAAGTTACTGGTGGGGGCCGGGTGGCTGAGCCGAAAATTTTGGAAATTTAGATCCCAAATCAGTCCGTTTTATTCATTCACAAGGCAAGTAGGGACAAAATAATAGTGGTACGGTCAATACCGTAGCCGTGACGGTACCGTGTCTGACGCCCCAGAATTATAATTATACTATCATCCACAGTTTGTAGTATACCTACTCCAAGAGCTGCTAAAGCAGTCGAGTAGCATTGGCTCACGCACAAGCAGTGAGCACTGGCAGTGGCGCTGGCTCTCGTACACTACAAGCAGAAAAAGCAAGTCAAACAGATACTAGTAGGCACCGTGAATTGCAACTGGAAATGTGTGAATTGCAACTGGAAATGTGTGAATTGCAACTGGAAATGTGTGAATTGCAACTGGAAATGTGTGAATTGCAACTGGAAATGTGTTTGACCTAATGCTTCATTGCATGCACCGGCGTACTGACAGGATATCAACGAAACACTGCATTGTACATATCCGTACAACCAATATGGTTGTGGAGCAGAGGTGAAGATCAGCATTCGCGGGGGTCTAAGATTTCCTTGGTAAATGTTTGCAGACAGGCAATTCATGGCAGATTTCACCTCAAATTTACAACAGAGCTGGTACCATTTCTATGGAGCTTTCAACACACCCAATCACAATGCCTGTAGCTTACATGAACTACATGGTCCTGTTCGTTCGACATACACAGTCGTGTTGGCATGGCGACATGCCTGGGCATCCATGGAACACTGGGTGGCGTACGTGACTCCATCACTACCGCACACGGGCCGGTCAGGTTTCAGACGGCAGTCACTCTCCTCGCTCAGGCATGTGCAGTAGGCGCGTTGTCGGTGTAGATCCGCTACGCACTTTTCACCTCGCCCGCAGCTCACTGCATCGCACCATGCTGCACAAAGCAAGGTACAGACATGCCAAATTGATATCATCCTAAAGGTAAGAGTATGAATAAGTGGTGGTGACCTTGGCGATACAGTGGTCCCTCTATAATCCGGCAGCATTTGTGCCATGGAAAATCTGCTGGATTAGGGAGGGTGCTGGATAAACAAACCTGATTTTCTTCTAGAACGTGCATGAAGAGGACATTTTGGCTACTGCAAATTGTGCTGGTTTATCGAGGGTGCTGGATTATAAAGTGCTGGATTAGAGAGGGACGACTGTAATAGGTATCTGTGTCATATGCAAGTAGCTGGCGGGTATACGTACACTTAAGTACAACAGTCGTGTTGATGCTCAGGACCTAGCAGGGGAGCCTTCTAGAGGAGGTAGTAGTGTGGATCTGGGGCTGGCGTCTTGCGTGTTCACACATCTGCAATGTACAGTGGTAGCAACTGATATCCGACCCCAGGGTTTATACGTCCGTACACCCCAGGGTTTATACGCACCAGTACAAGTGCTGCGGCTAAACGAATCGTAGCGAGTACCATACTCACGCGATTAGAGCCTTCTCTTGAATAGTGCCCCTGTCTATGAGAGCCAGTGAAAAATACAAACCCCTCAGGCTCTTCAATAGTGCCACTACTGTAGATCAACTTGAAGCAGAGGCCCAGAGCTAGTCTGGTAATGTATTTGCGGGGTGGACACCGTGATAGCTATTAACTATTGTGTGCAGTGATCATTGACATTGGGTCTTTCTGCCAGTGAATGTGTGTGTGGGCATACCTTGGCATGTGGGTGCAGATCCAGTCCAGCGTGCTGTGCTGGAGCAGCACCTGACCGGTTGAGCGCGCACCAGGCTGTAGCCGGGGTTGCACTGATACTGGATGCAGCTGTCCATCGGCAACACACGTCCAGCCGATATTGGCCGTCTGCCAATGCCAGTGCCAATAGCTGTATCACTGTACTCAATACGACCATTCCTAGGTGAAGCCGGTACAGTACACTGTACCACTGACAAGAGCAGCAGCAGCAGCAGAGGGAAAGACGATCAGGAAAGCGTACTCGAATGTATAAGCACAAATCGGGTAGCAACAGCCTCCGGAACAATGATCAAACGAGGCACAGAGCTGGAGTGCACATAGAGAAAGCCTTCAACGGGTGCACATTTGGGTCTCGTACACTAATTCTATATGCATTGCTCTTCTTGGTGCCCGGCACCAGCTCTGTCCGGCCAACAACAGTTTCCATGGCTATGATGCAAGCGAGGCATGAACTGGACCCAATGCAATAACTTGCCAATAAGTCAATGGGCTGCCTGCTTGATTGAATCAGTGCAGCAGATGCAACGTGACTGCAACACAGACCAGTACAGGCTCCAAACATGTGTGGCGGTGTGCACGTTTCATGTAGGGATCATTTTTTTTCATGACATCAGAAGCTGCAAGCGCACATATTCCAAAGAGTGTAGTTTTGACCGTCAAGAAAAATGTAGGCAGGGCTGCTAGTCTGCACAACAGATAGGCAAGCTTTTCACACCAAGCGAGCATCAGACTAAGCAGTTGTGTGCTTACAGGTGCAATTGAGCATTCTTCCATGCCATTGCCCATCCTTGTTGCATTTTAGCGAGCCACTGTTGCCCTCCTGCTGAGTGTCAACGTATCCCGTACTGCACTCTACTCTCAGTACTGATCCAAACACAAATGCATTGCCCACTGTTTCTGTGTTCTCCATTGCGGGTGGTGGACCGCAGTGTACAACTGTATGTGAGTCAATGCACACAACACCATACAGCATACGTGATGAATATACCGCCGAGTGCATACGTATGCGCACACAACACCATACGGCCGCATGATATACGATGAGTGCAACACCGGGTACATACGTAATGCACACAGCAAAAGCAGCAGCAGCATTACTGCCACTGCCATCACTTGCCTGTCCCCATGGAAAATAGCGGGGGGGGGGTCTGAAATCTGCGCAAGTAGCGCGGGAAAGTAGGGGACAATGCAAGCCAAGTATAGTACATTCGTGTACCAGCAAGCTGCCGCTCATTAATGATAGCTTGCATAGACCATCATACACAGACATGCTGCATGGCCTCTGTTCTAAAATTGACCTAAAACTTGACCCTAAACTGTTGCTCAGGGGCTAATGAAAGAGTCCACAAATTTTAGACGTGATGGCACAAGGCATACTACGAAATTCCATGGTAACAGCCCATGGTAACCATGGAAACGGTGCATGGAATTATGCATTCCACTGCCTTGGCAAGTTAATAAAAACATTAGGACCTCACCGCGATTGATGTGCCATGGTCAAAATTCACTTTGGACAGAGTTGCTAGCGCACAAACAGGATTATGTGCGGCCATTTTGACGATCAATAAAATTGCGCATACGCAATGCACTGGACATAGCCTTGCATTTTGCGCCATTACTTTGCCTGACAAAGACCTCATCTCCACAATTGTTTCAAGAAATTTCTCAACCAAAAGCCCTTTTGCAGCTTGATTTCTTGGGTCCTACCGGTAGGACCCGTGGTCCTACCGGTAGGACGGTATGCAAGCTATCATTAAACTGAGTTCAGTCCCGGGGACAAAACATCACATGCATAATTTTTGTTTTCACTGTGCACGAGATGAGCACTGTATGGGATGCTGGCTCACAGATTCACTGACAGTTGATGAAAACTGATGAAAACTTCAAGGTTTCCACGGATAATGCTAGATTTGCTGGAGCCTACGAGAATAGCGGAATTTGTCGTGGCCGCGGAATCATGATTTTCCAAGGGGACTGAGACCTACAGGAATTGGGGGGGGGGGGGGGGGCTCCACAGACTTGCAGGAATTAAATTAGGATTTCCAAGGGGACAGACTCACAGGAATTGGAATTTTCCAAGGGGACAGACTTGCAGGAATCGGGATTTTCCAAGGGGACAGACTTGCAGGAATCGGGATTTTCCAGGAATCGGTTCACCATGTTGACAGTCTACCGCCATAGGCTTTACCGAAATTTTACAACACCGAAACTAAGGTGATACACAGTACATTGGTACATATGCACCTACTGCATGTACTTTTTTAAATAGCATTGACATAATTGTAGTGTGGGTACATATGCAGTGACTTACTACGGCATGATGGAGCACTGCCACTCCATTTGCCTGTCGCCAGACACCTTCGGCTCTTGCTTCCCAGCAAACGATGGCCGTCGTCGCAGCTGTACTGTACGGAATCGCCGAATCGGAATGCACTGCCCTGCATGTGACCACTACGCGGTACTGCAGGCTTGCCACAGTTCCTTCCTGAAGAAGACAGCACAATAGGAAGAAAAACAACCGCCTACTTGCGAGAATCGCCCCCAGTAAATATGTTAGAAAAAAATTCGACGGGTTCGCGTACCGGGCAGGTCAAGAACAAGGAGTCGTACAACTCCCTGGTCAAGAACCACCTTTCCGCTTCCGTGGGACGCCACCACCCCATGATTAGGCGTCAGATGCGGCTCCTAAACGGTGGGGGAGGATAGATCAGATCCACCAACCATAGGCCAAAGGCCTAAATCCCATTTGCCACATCCATGATTTACTCATGCCAGGCCACGAGTTCCCAATTAACTGTGGGTCGCAGCACGGTTGGAAAAAAATCCTTCCGCTTCCAAGCAGGACTCGAACCTGGTACCTCTCGTTCCTCAATCAAGGTCTTAGACCAACCCACTGTGCTAGAACTGTTATGGAACTCCAATGGATCCCTGGAGCCTGACCGTGTTCTGATTTAATACTTCACATGTCAAGTGCCACGGGAAATACACACACTGCGTACACCTACACAGACCCGTACTACTGGAGACGGAAAATAGTCAGTTGGACAGCCTTTCAATTTTAAAGCACACGGAAAATGAACAGACTATGTCCTTACTAAAACATGCCGATGTTGCTCCACTCCATGTTCCGTCCGCCATACATGTTCTGATGTCTGTGCCGACCAGCACATGCCCGCTGTGACAATGATAGGAGATCTGACAGATCACCGGCAAATCAGCAAGTATAGGACGGAAAACAGAAACAAATTGGACAAAGTACCGTAAAGAAAATGTGTGGTATCGTTCCGTCCGAGGACCATGGGAATGACTGGAATTCAGAAGACCAGCCCCGCTAGCCTTTCAAAGAACAATGGATTCCATTCCGATAAGCCATACCTGTTCATTGAAGAAGTACTGCGTTCTCACACTGCTGCTGCTTCTTGCTGCTTCTGTCTCAGTGTGCTGACCAACAGCATTCATCAACGAGACAAAGTGACCAGAGGTGACACTAGGTGGCGGCGCACAACTTACTGCCAATGGAAACAGCATAAAACAAAACATGATGATTATTATGAGTCGCATGTGTGTGTATGGGGGGGGGGGGGGGCACTGACTGACTCAGTACATTTACATCTACTGAAGTACACGAACTTCCAAGACTGGTTGATAGAATCCCCACGGCCTCAAGTAGCATGTTAAAACCTAGGATTTCTGCTCAAGTTACTCGTCGGGCACCCAAACTGAATTCCCAAGTCTTGTTAGGATATGTGAATGCTCACAGGAAACACAAATTCCGGCACACCGTTGACTTACCGTAGACGAAGACTTCCACATCGGTGTGTGATTGACCATGTTCATTTCTCGCGGTGCACCTCCATACTCCAGCATGGTGCAACTGAACTGGTTTGAAGATGATCCGCAACGACAGGCTGCCATCCTTTGTGCGCTGCTCTCTCAGCTTTCCATCTAGTTCCTATCACAAGGGCACGGCGAAGTGAAGAACACTGTCAATATGGGTACAGGCCGGGATAACACACACAAATATAGTCGTGGCCAAAACACCCCAACCCATGGGTCCAAAGTAGCGCGGATAACACACACAAATATAGTCGTGGCCAAAACACCCCAACCCATGGGTCCAAAGTAGCGCGGATAACACACACAAATATAGTCGTGGCCAAAACACCCCAACCCATGGGTCCAAAGTAGCGCGGATAACACACACAAATATAGTCGTGGCCAAAACACCCCAACCCATGGGTCCAAAGTAGCGCCGCGTTTCCATTTGATTACATCATGCCGGTCCAAAAAGCACTATCCAAGGGCCGCGGGGTGGAAAAGGTGGAAAACAAGACTGGCAACACACACACACACAGCCAACACACATGCAATGCTCTGCACAATTGATGACAGCTGTTAGGCACTACCTACCTGCTGTCCAGTGATGCGGCTCCATCTCAGACGCGGCTCTGGCATGCCACTCAACACCATGCACCGCAGATACGCCCTCTCCGTGCCGACATAGGCATGCACGGTTGCGTTACGATTTCGCCGCTGGCCACGGCTCATTACAGACTCCACCATCACATCAGGTACAGCTGGAACCGTATATACAAAGTTGCAAACACAGGCATTGTGGAAAAAATTGAAAGGACTTCCTGACAGTGAACTCTCACACAAAATTCCACGCATAATCCCACCATCCGGCGGTAGTCAAGGTAAAAGCCATCAATAATGAGTACACACGGGCAAGAAATACCAGCCCGTCGGAATGTGTGCACGACACCAGAAACCTCATTTCAGACAATCTTGATAGGAACGGGTACTCGATGCAGTAGTATATTACAAAGGCACAAGCCAGAAGATGGAGAACAGCCACAAAAATGAAAGGGAACAACAAGAGTAGTGGTCAGGTTGCCATACATATCTGACAAAATGAATGTCCGACGAGCACTCCAGAAGAATGCTATAACAGCACACCTCATCAATACCCGGCCACCTACCTATCCAAAGAACTCACAACAAAAAGAGAACCCCGAACCATGCAGGATGTGTGAATGCCCAGTTGCCAAAAAGAAATGCACCCGCAGATTCGCAGTTTATGAAGCCATGCGCCGTCTACTTGTATGTCAAGACAAGCAAACCCACGCCTGTACACCCCCCCCCCCCCACACACAAACACACGTGCGCACACACATCACCTCACCGTGTACGCATTGCGGTACAGGTCCCGACCATCTCCCTGGGCCGCAACGCAGCACCGGGGCTCCAGCCAGAGCGTAGCCAGTGTGGCAGTGAAACGAGGCGGCGGACCCAACCGTGTAGCCTGTTACGTTGACTTCACCATTCTCCAGTGGACCTATGCTGGGACATGTAAGTTCTGGTACAGCACGCACATGACAAACACATTACTAACACAAATAACGCCATCCCGGTACGGCTCACAGCGCCGGACACATGCCCAAATCTCCCGAGTGCTTTTTTCCAGGTTTGACGTCGCATGAAACGTTGTATGCTGCCCGTGTTTGGAGTGCGACTGTCGTGAGTTAGTCAAATGATATAAATGAATTTGGCTACTTGTAGAAACATGAACTCCGCACTGAAAGCTGTCTAATTCTCTAAAAACCGTGCCAAGGTTGCCGCAACTCAATTTTTACGTTTCACGTGTACAAAAAGATTAAGATTGCTAAATCCATAAACACCTACCGTATGTTTCGGAGTATAGTGCGCACCTTTGTATAACGCGCACCCCCAATCTTCATTGGGGGTGCACACTTCAATCTTCATTGAAGTACATGCATTTCATATTCGGAGCATAGTGCGCACCTGCGATTTAGGGCCTAAAATAGCACATCTAAAGTGCGCACTATACTCCGGAAAATACGGTAACAGAACTTATAGTGCGCACCTTTGTATAACGCGCACCCCCAATCTTCATTGGGGTGCGCACTTCAATCTTCATTGAAGTACATGCATTTCATATTCGGAGCATAGTGCGCACCTGCGATTTAGGTCCTAAAATAGCACATCTAAAGTGCGCACTATACTCCGGAAAATATGGTAACAGAACTTAGGCTTTAGCGCATGCTGCAAACATACTCAAGCACCGAGGACTTCTTCCGCTCCACACCTGTGCTGGCTGACAAGTACGAGTGCTGCCGCCAATCCGGACCAGACCATTGGCACATTGATAGCGTACTACAGTTCCAACTGCGTAGTAGCGGCTATGATCTAGCTGCAGAACGGGAATGTCTTAGCACACAAATCGCAAACAAGAGCACACAACGCAATCTAGGCTTGCATTATCACAATCCAGTGCTGATAGTAATCCACATGCTCAAGCTGCTAGTAAGTACACGTCTGGATTGTCGAGAGCCATGGAATCGGAAGAGATCACAGCCAAACCCTTTAAAAGGCGGTGTGGTGTAGTAGTGCACTGTGGAGCCAAACTTACAGTCTGATGTTTGGTTTCCCACCTCAATCTGCAGGTAGCTGTTGAGAACGGGCAATGGTGCCTCACACCCAGATACTGCAGTTATACAAACGCACATACACACATACACATACGCACATACACATATACATACACACATACGCACATACACATATACATACACAGAAAAGACACCAAAAGCAACACAAAATTGAAGAATCCAAGCCATGTGCCCACCTGCACATACGTGTCCACACACACACTCACACATACGCACACACGCACTCACGCAAAAATACGCACACACAAAAAGTAGGGTAGCCCAGTGCATGACATTCACACCACGGGTGTTCCCATAAACCCGGGGAAAGAGAGGAGCCAGGGGGGATGAAGCCATGGATCAGCTGACATACCTTGACATACTGGTGCCTGTCCAGTCCAGTGTCCATGCCGGTTACACAGCCACACCTGTGCCTCTCCATCATAGCCACTCTTACAGTGGTACGTGGCATCACTGTGATGTTCAGTGCTTACATAGTACACGTCGGCGTTCACAAACTCTGGTGGCGGACCACAACTAATCGCTGCAAGGAGACACGGAGAAGACACACCGCCAGATCATGATCACGCATCCACACATTGAATTAGCGCACTGTTGTATCCCACTATCCATTTGCACCAGAGGCACATCTCCAGTGTTGTACTTTGACTCGTAAACAATACAATGCTAGCTATTCCAGTGGTTATTTGTATTAAAGGTGCATGGGTGCAATGCTGTGCCAGTGGTTAAGTAAGATGCATGGGATTTTGGTACAGACAAACTTGATGGAGGGAAAATGTGCAGGTGATTCAACAAACATCCATACTTACGGTTGCAAGTCAATGTCAGTTCGCTCCACAAGCCGCTGGTGCAATTTGCCATCGCAACACCAGTCGGTAGATAACCTTGTTGACACCGGTAGAAGACCATCATCGGCAATGCTTCTTCAGGCTGTGCTTCAAACACCTCGTACTCGGCTGACGGAATGTACGGCGGTGAATGACAAGGTATGACTGTCAAGAACGTCATATGTATTGCCAGTGCACAGTCACAGAGTCAAATAACATTCAACACACCACCAGCATTGGCATTACCAAAGACTACAATACAACCAGTGTGAACATCTATATACGGCTTCTGAACAGCAACACTCCTCATTTACTGTAAAAGCCTTATATATACTTCTGCTATTGAGCATTGAAAACGAGTGAGAATCGTTACCTTTGGTACACGTAAACCAGTCAATCGGAAATCGTTATATGTGCGCCTCGTACGTATGGCTTTTACAGTACTTCGGAGTGCCGTATGTGATCATGATCGCGGTCACTAAGTGTTATGGCTAAATTGATGTCAAAGGTCATGCAGGTTTAGATTCCAGTACTGAATCCATAACTTGGCAAACCACTAGAAACCTGTGGAACAGAGTTGACTTCAGTACTGCATATCATGGCGTAGCACTTTTACTTCGTGGCGGGAACGCATCATGTGGAACTCAATGGCCAAGCCCATTGCGCAATGACATCATTTGTACTGTCAAAACCCACCGACAAGCCACCTGTTCATGGTCGTGTAGGCCCTGTAAGATGTTGAACAGTGCATTCCTGATCCCAGCGTACTCGCATGTATTACTCATTCAGTCCATATTTGGCAATGCGCAATGGGCTTTTCAAACTCAACAAAATAGATCATGAAATCGTCACTACGACCGAAAATTGGTGATTTTTCAAGAGGTCGTTTTACAACTACCATATTTTACCAAGTGTAAGTCGACCCCGGTTATAGGTCGACCCCAGATAGGTCGACCCCGGATAGGTCGACCCCGGTTTATAGGTCGGCCCCATATTCATATATTCGTGGCACCAGGGTGGCCGAGTGGTTAAGGCGTTGGACTTAAGATCCAATGTGCGTATGCACACATGGGTTCGAACCCCATTCCTGGTAGTACTAGTATATTTTTTGGCCCTTTCCTGAATGCAGATGCATTTTTTCTCCAAATCCCCGACTCCACCGAAGGATTTGTGCCATATTCCCGAGCTGTGTGGACATTCTGGTCTTTCCTAGAATTAAAAAAAAAAAACATGGTAGGCACATCGGACAAACGCGTCATAGTGGCTGGCAGTGATGGTGAGGCCTAGGCAGCCGTCCCACCATAGGCATAGATCTCGGCATCATGGTCGATCAGGTCACAAAACTAAAGAAAGAAATGTCAACCATACCGAGGAACTGCTTGAGCGCATTCTAAATCAGTTACTCTCCTTTGTGCCAGCGCACTTGTGTAGTACAGCGGATTGTATTGCCGCGTTGCGCGATCTGAAGGATCTTCCGGAGGGCTCCATTGTGGCATCATTAGATGTAGTTTCGTTGTACTCGAATATACCTATCGAAGAGAGCATCTGTGCGGTAATGGAGTTGTCGGAGGAGCATGAGAATGAAGTTGATATGTGTTCGTTGTCGATATTGGATGTGCGCGAGTTGCTTATGTTTGTTCTTGAATCAAATTTCTTTGAATTTGATGGTTCCGTGTATCGACAGCGCCAGGGTCTACATTCCTGAAGATGGGTCTTGCCCGAAAATTCGAAAAATTTAATATCTGAAACTAGTATCTAGTATACGTGTAGTATCTGGTTACAGTGATGGAGAGTTACTCTCAACTCGTATCTATATTTCCTTTTCCTTTCTAAATTTAATATCTCTTTTTCTTTTAGTGATTGGTATAGCCCAGAGACCGTTTGGAGAGAGAAGATGTATGGATATACCGAGGAAGAAGAAGCAAAATGGAGAGAGAGTGCTTGCTGCTTAACATGGCACACAATCCCGACGTTTGCGCAACTTACTTTCTGGAATACATTGAATGTCGTTTGCTGACCAAGTGTTGTTCCAATAGCATACTTGTTGAGATCCTCCAGCAAGCTGATATCCCTCCAGACACACATAACTAGAAGGAAGAGCAATGAGGCAAAATACAAGACGTCATGATATAATCAGATGGTACGCAGGTGCATACATGCAATCATGCCGCTAATCACATCGTGGCAATACGACATGCGAACAATCGAAAAACATCAAGCGCATGTATTTGGGGAGCATAAGGATGTGAATCCCACAATGGGAGACCCTTCATAAAGGCTATACACACCATAACTTAATAATTATACTGGAAAGTGATTTTAATTTCTAGCGCCTACAGCCGCACAAAGTCCTTGGCTACACAAAATGAAAACCTCTCCAAATCCCTGAAGATGCCCTCTTGGGCGAAAATTCGGAAAAAATTTGAAGTTTGTTTTGGAGAGACTTGGAGAAGTTTTTCATTTTGTGTAGCCAAGGACATTGTGCGGCTGTGGGCGGTAGAAATTGAAATCATGACAAGGCTACAGAGGAGATACGCCATTCTTAATTAATATACTTGATAATACCAGTATTTACTAATATACAACAACGGTGATTTTTTAAGTAACTTACTTGGCAAGACTGTGGACGGTGACACTACCAAGTCCATATACTGGGGAAGTAACGGATGTTTGCCTCGCATTCAATACTTGTGGTATTGTTTGACAGGCATCAGCTGTATTGTTTGCGTGAAAAACACAAGCAGGGTATGATGAATCAAAATTTCTGGGCGTGGAAGGGGACGGAAACAATGCCAGGGCTTGGATGTTCCTCATGGATCTGCACAGCTGCTAAGTTTACGATTACCTCTTTGCCCTAACGCCTAAGGCATTTGAACATGTTTCGTATCTACACAGAGCATATTGCAGTGTTGGTGGGATTCACGCAATTGAAAAGCAATATCAGGGGCGTCGGACATGGTACGGTCACTACGGTATTGACCGTACCACTTTTTGCTCCAGGCACCCCGTTTATAATCAATAAAATACACTGATCTCGACTCTTCCAAAATTTTCGGCTCAGCCATCCTTCCCCCACGAGTAAACTGTGTTTCAGATGGCTGACCGTACCACACTCAAATACCTTCCGACGCCCCTGAATATACTCCCTGATGAAGCCCCAAGGGCGAACTTTTGGAGAGATATTTACGACGATTGCAGAGTAAGACTGTGGTGGTGAAGAAGGAGATTCAGACATGAAAAGCAAAGCTTGGAGGAAAAACACTTACGCACACAGTCAACATCCAGCTGTGTCCAGGAGCCGTTCTTCTGGCATGTCATTGACTGTGATCTCTCCTCCATGGACTCCCAGTCTGCCGTGAGCAGTGTGTCCCGGGATAAGCTGTACGGACTGTACCCGTGGCTACAGTGCATGCGAGCCACGCTTTTAAAATACGTATGATCGTAGGTCACGTTGACACCGGGATGAAGTGGACTGTATGGCGGTCCACAGTCAACATCTGTGGTGACAGAGAGATCAACCGACTCGTTGCTTTGATGCTGATTTATACACACTTCATCACTAGCCCATTGAGCACTGTGATTGTGCAATGCCACTGTCATCTATTTCAACAAGTGAGCACACACACTGCCATTCACCAAAACTAATCAGCATCCCATCACGGAAACATCTGCAATTCAGACTTACATCGACAGGTAAAATCTGTCTGGCTCCACTGCCCATCGGCCTGGCAGGTACTCATAGCAAATTCAGCCTGTGCAGCTGCTGTGGTAGGAGCAAAGCCATCTTGACATAGGTACAGGGCACCACTTCCATAAGTTGTTGTCTGATATCGACGGGTTGTGTTATCTAACATTGGTGGTGTTCCACAGTCGATTGCTGGGTAAGCAGAGGCAATACACACGGATTGGCAATAGACCCGGCAGTAACTAACAGCAATCAGTATGCCATATACAGCCAGCAGGTCAGCCAGAGCAATACTCTCGGCCAATGCTAACACCGAGAGTTAAGGAGGGAAACATGAATAATCTCAAGTCAAAAGACTGGATATCAGCTGATCACAAGAGACACTCACATGTACATTTCCAACTTGGTCGAGTCCATCGCCCGTTGGAATGATCGCAATCCATAGTGAGTGGTGGCAACACATGCTCCACAGTGCTACTATCAGTGGTAAACCCTTCACTGCACCGATACACAATGCCACTGTCAGTGATGGACAGGATGTCCGCATTGGGAACGATCATTGGCAAAGACATGCAGGGAACGTGGACCTCGGTGGTTGGTAGAATGGTAGTGATGTGGGCTGTGGTACTTGGGACTGCTGTGCTGGTGGTGTGCAGAGGAGGCTGAGCAGCACTGGTCACAGATAGATCTACAGGGTCTTGGTCCAGATGAGGATCATCAGCCACGTGTGCAGCCTCACACGTCGGAGTGTCCTCGGTACGCCATGTATAGTCATTGTGCGGTCCGCACGTCAAGACCGATGCACCTGTTATGATCCTGGCATCAGTACTGCAGTTATCAAGCACAGTTGGTGTACACACTGATCACTTTCACCAGCACATGGCATTCAGTCTCGTCAATTATACAGGCAGGCTTATACATTACCAGTTTCCGTACATTGTATTAATCGGTTTGCTCCATCATTAATTGTCACTACTTCGAAGTTGTTTATCAGTGTAGTTAGGGTTTTTTTCTTTTTTTTCTTTCTGTTCTTTTGATGCTGCTGCCGTATGACACACATGGCGCCCCTATGACCAGAATGGTTATGGATTATACATACATACATACATACATACATACATACATACATACATACATACATACATACATACATACATACATACATACATACATACATACATACATACATACATACATACTTCGAAGTACTTATATCAAAACTTCTCAACAAAATAATTATTGCCATTAAGAACTACATACCTAAAAGTGTGCAGCCTACCACTTCTGTGAATTGGTCTCTTCCTTTCTTTAACCAGTCCAAGTCATTGGAACGGACAAATTATGCAGTCAATGCCACATACGTTGACTAGTTCATAAACAAACTTTGGAACTACATGTGTTAGTAACACAGCTTACCAGTTGTAGGTAACGCGCAGTAGTACTCCACCTGGAACACTTTCTATTTCTAATCGGATGTGAGCACCCTGGACAGCCGGCGGGTTGCTGCATCCTGGCTTGGGCCGTGAACCTCCGCCTGACCCGGATCCATCAAACGTGGGTGTTCCCAAAGGATCCTCGCCGAAGTTTGACTCATCTTCAGCGTGGCTGCTTGCCGGGGCGCTGTCATGACTGGTCTGTTCAATAGTGGATTGATCGACTGGAATGCCGTCACCAGCAGCACCTCTGGTCACAGCTACCATCATGCAACATACAGACAACAGGCCAAGTCCATTGGATAAGAAGTCTCGTATATTGACCATGATCATTTCACAACTAACTTGACGTGACACAAAGAATATACTACAAATAGTATGACAGTTACCTGCTAATCACTAGCAATAGGCTGGGAATGCATCAATGCTAATAAAGTAATAGCTAATTATCTTGGATAATTCTTGATCGTGTCCTAGATTAGAATAGCAACGGAAAGGAATTGGCACACAACGAGTTACTTGTATGCCTATCACTTCCTGGGCTCAAGGTACCTCTCCGGTGCTTGGCACCAGTGATATACCGTGTATGATCACGCTACGCTAAAGTATGTGATGACTACAACCCCCAGCATGACATCACACAAAACCGTACATGCAACACAGAGTATACTGAAACGTGTCCAGGTGCCGGTGGCAGCTCCCAGACACCCTACTGCCATGCCATGCGGCTGCACTGCACAGCGACACCACGCGGGCTATGAGAGAGAATGCTGGTAACAACGTGGCACACTGCCTGTCCACTGTCAACAAACGAACACTGAGCTGACAAGTCCGAGCAAATACACTGACACCTGACTGGATGCCCACCACTAGGCCACCACTGTGCATATTTTCTCCTTCAAACTCTACTCGACCGCAGACGTTGTGCCATAGAATGTCCATTCAAACCGACCCGTGCACAAAGGAGGCCAGCATGGCCGTCACACGTTTCTCAAACATGCTCATTGCCAATGTTCACACGCTATGCTGGACCAAATCTAATTACACGGATAGTGCCAGCCAAGGTCTGGACTAGCAGACTATCCGGAAAGGACATCCAGTGCCGTGCAGGCACAGATAGGGACAACATTACACGAGCAGACACAAGCAAGCGCCAGGATACAATAACGTGGATGCCAGGCACTGTACATCTGGCTTGGATGAAGCACTAACAAGAAGAAAATGAAGGCTGAAGTAACTGCTGAACTGGACTTACATTCGAACTTGTTCTACCCTGCTACAGACAGTATGACATTGTACGCTAACTAGGTCATAGCTGTATGTGTAAATGCTTCAGGTTTGAAATGTTTCTAGCATTTTCTCTTTCTCTCTTATGCCTTTGCCGCATTCGCCGTTATAAATAACTCGGGTCTCTCAAGATGCATAGTTACAGGCAACTGGATCTAGTTTATTCACCTGGCAAGGGCAATTAAAAGGTTCCTCCCCTACTGTATAATGATAATAGCGGATATTTCTGCAGTCGACGCGGCGCGGGTCAACTGCGTCTCGCTATGGAAGATGACCTCGAGACAATATCTGCCCAATGATTCGAACCATGCCGTCGCATAACGGAATAAATAGGTACAGGTGCGGATTATATCATCCAGGGGACAGCAAAGAAAGACAGAGCAGACTGAGACTGAGAGCGCCCATGTTTCTTACCCACTTGTTGACTTTCTCCTCTCCCTGGTCCAACACAGCAGGCAGAAACTAAAAGCAAAAGGTGCGCTAGCTTGGTGGTCCTGCTGCAGGTAAACATGACGCACTAAGAGGAGCTTTTTTTCTCTAGCCTTGAGCTAGCGCTCGCTGGCCTTGAGCTTGTAACCGTTGCTTGAACTAACGACACGTGTTACTTCAGTTCAGTCGTGTGCTGAAAAGCTGGAAAGAAGGAACGGACAAGGCAAGCAGGTATCTCAAGTCAGGTGACCTAAACAAGACATCAGCAGCAGCTCGTCCACTATGTAACTGTCTATCCACACAGCTAGCTGCAGAATGACTGTCACACTCAGTCAGTGGCGACGTGGGCACAGAGACCGTGTCCAACCAAACGTCCCCAAGCGTATCCACCGCTCCACAAATGTCGAGACTACAGTGAAAAGTAAAACTAAGAAACGGGTCCAACGCAGTCTTACTTTTTGCCTCCGTGGCATACAACATGCAGTCCGCCCCTGAAAAGTTTGTCCATTCTGACCGCGAACGAAGTCGGGGGAAGCGCTTGTTCCACAATGTAAGTATTAGTTGTAACTCTCACTGACAACAAATTTCTTATGTCAAGCACCAATCCTAGTCCTTCATCATGATTCATCCCGAACCACTTGTGGCTTGGGACTCGACTGGAGACAGGCCTTTCGATGTCATTCATTTTCAGGTGTGCTTGTGCTAAATTTGACCTGACACGGTGTACACGAGCCGCCCGTTCAAAGGAGGCGACAATCGCACCGGTGCTGGCGTCGCGAGAGACACCCCGTCGAGCGCCTGGCCAGCGGCGATATGTGTATGCATGCGCCTGTTGCCATTGTTGGCACGGCCATTGGTCTGCTCTGCACGCTGCCAACGCAGGATCGACTTTTCTCTATTCGACAACAGACTCCCATCACTCAGTCAGTACAGAGTCACTATCAGTTTCTTGTAAATCTACGTAAGATCTACTTTCTGTGAAGATCATGGAATGATCCTCGAGATATAGTGTCAGGTCACTGCATCGTGATCATGGTGATACACTGTGACATGTGTGATGTGACTTCAGACCGCTCTGTTTCGTAAACGTGGACGAAAACGGACCGCACTTCACTTGTACTAAGTAACTTGTAGCATTTAAGGATCAGAGATTTCTCTTGCTATAATTAATAGTGGTGAAGAAGTTAGTTGGCTCAGTTCTAGATTTTTCAGAGCAGTGAATGCCACAACTTGGCACAAAGGCTGTTCAACACACAGACAGTGAGTTGTTTGATACTTCTTTGACTTTATGCTCATGAATCATGAATCCACTCCAGTACAATGTCATGTACATGAACTACTATTTCCTTAGAGACAAGAATGCAGTGATACTTAGATTCAAAAGAAGTAGCACGTCAACTGACAACCGCTCTACAAGTCAGTTGACAAACCCCTTTTTATACTAGTTTAGTGCCTCGGTAGATGATACTAATACAATAGAGGCAGAGCATCAACACTCACCAAGGTTGTCTCGCACTGTCTAGGTAGTACGTTAGCTGCTACTATGATACGCTTTTATCACTCAGCAGCAGAGCTTACAAGCAGCAGTTCAGTGCTCACAATAGGACGTTTGGTACCTGATCCTTTAATACGGCTAGATATGATAGTATGATAGAAAACTATTCATACATTGTACATGTACAAGCCACACAATCATGACCTAAAACTTGGAGATGACAGCACATTGAGTGGCTCATTAAATAATCATCATTGAAATGGCGACACACACACACAGTCACAAACACACGCACAAACACAAACACACACACACACATAAAGTCACAAACACACACACACACACACACACACACACACACACACACACACACACACACACACACACACACACACTGGTATGGGTGTCTACAAATAAGCTATGTACAAGCAAAGGGTACAAAACGGAATATAGACTGGAATGGTACTACAATGATGGTATTCTCATTTCACTGCCTTTGAACTTCGTTGCAGGCTTCGGCTGAACAAAAGAAACAGTACTGATACAGTGTATGAGGGCAATAGTCGATGCATAATACACAGCACTACCATGAAATACTAGTGGGTCAACTATGTAAGGCGGTCAAGTGCCGAATTGGTGCACCTCAGAGCAATGGATACTGTGGCAAGCAAGTCCTGGCTGTTTCCGCGGAGTGCAGCGCTGCATGCATGCAACATGGCCGCCTGGATCAAAAGAATTTCTTGTCATGAGCAGCGCGCTGCCGTCCGTACATGACCACTACTGCAGTCACAAGCACAAGCTGCACCACGCTTGCTGCCATGAACGTTACTGTAGATACACAGCTCGTTTGCGAAGCATCACTGCCAGTGTTGCCCTGTGGAAAGGAAGAAAAACAAGCATGCAGCCTGTAAACTTCTGAAACCTGTTAAAATCATCCAAGATTTCTCCATCGTTTGTGGAACTTGCGTGTGGCGACTTAGAAACACACTCATCTGCAATCCAATTTGGTCTTGACCCTTTTAAAAGTCATAAAATCGTGGCATATTACCTAGCCATGCTTCAAGTTCAAGACACACTGATTTCCCTTTTAAACCCCAGACTGAGTATCAGTCCAGATGCCAGGCTGTTGGACACAGTGTGATGCACTACTATGTTAGCTAGGTGATGGACTTTGACTGTGACGGTTACAGATATTCATCATCGGATGGCCAGAACATTAATTGAATGTGTCTGTTAGTTGATGCCATGCCTAACAACTATTTTGTATTTACAATAACCTTCTCACTTATGGCTCCAGCTCTACATCATTCTACTTCACATCCACACACCGACAAACAAACACCCCCCAACCTCAACACGCACACCCCTTTCTCCTTATCGTGAGTATATTCTCTGGTAGACCACTATCCCGTGTACTGACCGGTTGCTCTGTGAGCGTAAATACATGCATATGCCCAGCAAGGAAAGATTACAAAAACAATTCCTCTGACCTGGGCCGTAGCAGTCTTGACAGACTCCATCAATCTCATAACATTCTCAACGCTGGCCTTCAGCCCAGTGACCTCGTTCTGTAAGTTCTTAATGTCCGTGCCTGCGATCGGCATGGCTCCTGGATGCTGCTGTGCACCACCTGTCGCCGCTGCACCATCGGTCTTCGTTCTAAGACAATCACATCAAACATCAAACATCAGTAAGAGTGAGCGTGAGAGAAGCTGTAGTACAGAGCAAGCCATTCAGAAATGTTCTCACTTCACTTCACAATCAGCGGCCTCCGCCGGGTCCAGCCCAATCTGCTTCATGCTGTTCTCCAACAATATTGGGTAGCCTTCTACGAGAGGGAGAGCGGGAGAGGTGTAACAATCAACCTCCTTGCCCAGATCTACTAAAACTTCTCCAATCCTACTTCTACGAAAGAGAGAGAAAGACTCGGAAGGGTAGGGGCTCACAATCGACCTGCTTTCGCAGATCTATCAACTCCTCCAGTCCTACTTACCTGATCTCTTTCAGCATTTGTGCCGAAACAATCTGCTCCTGTGAGATCTGATTGAGCTTGGATTGAAGATCATTGAGCAAAGCAACACTCGCAGCACTGAGTTGCCCTTGTTGCTGTTGCTGCTGTTGCTGTTGACCAGTTTGCTGGGCTTGACCTCCGGCTGCTTGCAATGACGTCGTTGAGATGTGCGTCATTAATGCCCTGGTAGGAATGGCAAAAATCACGACACAGCAAGAGTGAAGATCATTTAAGATCTGTGCATGATCCGTGACGGTCATTCATTGATATGTACAGGAAAACATGTTAAACATACGTACACTTGGTTCTCCTTTCAGTAAGTATATAGTTTCAAAAATCCTGACTCCTATAAAGTGTACAAAAGCAAAGGTGCACATAATTCAAGCAAGACAAGACCAACATTTGACAATCAGGCTGAAAGCCATTTAAATGACGTCGCACTGCTCTTGCACAATAGAAATACAAAGAGTTCAATGTGTATGTTCTTGTCGGAGCAATTATAGACAGAAATTTGGTTGTCGATTGCTTGTGTTTCTATCAATAGTTCAATGTGTGCAATAACTATCAAAGCCATACCAGATGGAGTTGAAACTGTAGGTAGATTCTTGTTGACACGGTGTTCCAAATTCCGCTACAGCAACCACCGTGACTGGCTAGAATGTCGGCCCTACTAAACCACCTAAATTCAAAGAGTAAATCTTGTCTTTGCCCGGGGGTGGCTCCTAAAACTATAAAATAGCCTAAATACTAGTACAAATGTAACCCTAGATGCTCCAATTCTTAATTTTGAAAGAGCAAGGTTTCATGAAATTGAATTATGCCAAAATGTGTGTTTGTAGTGGCAGTGGTTGCTGGTGACATCAATTAAAACTCACCTGATCTGATCCTTCACAGCATCTTGACCTTCCAAGATGAGACGTAGTCTCCTGTCAGTGGGGTCTTCATACTGGAAGGAAATCGTAAAGACATAGCCTGATGTATTGAGGAGAACATATATAGCATAGATACACCGGCCACCCTACTATGCAAATCCATAATGTAACAGCCAAACTAGCGCTGTCAACAAAATCTACGCGCAGCCTGAAAACTCTGAAGCAATGGATCTTACCAGAGTTCGACTGTGCTTAGCATGCCCAGCATACTGAGAATGACTGGTGCTCTACTGGATGTGCACATTGTCCTCACCTCTGTATCCCAATCTGCAAGGTCATCGGGCTTCTTGTCTGGATGCTCCTTGTAGAATGTATCTTTCTGCTTGTTCAGCTCCTCACTTCGCTTCATGTACTCATCCTCATATTGCTGGAAGTCTTCAGGGTTAAATGGTTTTGCGGCTTCGGGCTCCTGCGGTCAAAATGCAACGGCAAACAGACAGTAGTTGTAGATTCTTTCACAACATACACTGTACTGTGTCATCACTTTGACTATCTGGATAGGAGAACACCGCCGTACTCTGTTGTAGGAAAATTCCACATGTACAGTCCATTCAGAAAAAGATGGACTAGCTTTTGGCCATAAATGGGTCAAATGTTGAGTTTTTTTTAGAATTTTTTTCTGCAATCCCCTATGGAATCCTCTTCCAATTATGTTTCTGAAGTCTATTTCTCCAAAAAGCAAGCCATAGCAAGAATAGGATTTCGGCCAGGTTTTGCCCCAAGAGCACTGAATTGGGAAAACCCATCAAAATCCAGGCCGTTTGACTCTGCCTGCAACAGTGCATTGTACGGTTCGAACCCCAGTTCAGGTACTAGTACCCTTTTTGGATCCTTTTTCAAATTTCAAATTTCACAGCACTGCACTGATTTAAATCTTGAAAATCGCCTAATAGGGGAGCTCGCCAGAGCCAGGGCCCATCTTTTTGTGAATGGACTGTAGTCATGTCCAATAATTCCCAAGGCGTGCATGCATGGGACCCACCATACAAATATTCGTGAAGGACCAATGCTACGACAAATGGTGGTGACGGCGGTGATTGTAGCCCTCACAGGAGCAGTGTTTGGTAGAAAATCAGAACAGCAACATGACAGTAGACTGTTTGGAGGAAAAAACATTGCATACACACACAATGTAACGATAGAGAAAGACAATGGATCAACACCACCGCCACCACCATCCACACCTAAAGATATAACACAACGACAAACCCTTTCTCAATCTCGGCCCGAGATGTGAAAAGGGTATAACATACCGTGTCAGAAGGTGGCCCAGTGATAGAACTGACTTTGAATGATATGACATCATGGTCATCTATGAGAAACAACACCACCATCACCATGAACATCAACAGCAGCAGCAGCAGCATCAGCGTGAACAACCATGACAGCATCAGCGTGAACAACCATGACAGCAGCAGCATGAACAACCATGACAGCAGCAGCGTAAACAACCATGACAGCAGCAGCGTGAACAACCATGACAGCAGCAGCGTGAACAACCATGACAGCATCAGCGTGAACAACCATGACAGCATCAGCGTGAACAACCATAACAGCATCAGCGTGAACAACCATGACAGCAGCAGCGTGAACAACCATGACAGCAGCAGCGTGAACAACCATGACAGCAGCAGCGTGAACAACCATGACAGCAGCAGCGTGAACAACCATGACAGCAGCAGCGTGAACAACCATGACAGCATCAGCGTGAACAACCATGACAGCATCAGCGTGAACAACCATGACAGCAGCAGCGTGAACAACCATGACAGCAGCAGCGTGAACAACCATGACAGCAGCAGCGTAAACAACCATGACAGCAGCAGCGTGAACAACCATGATAGCATCAGCGTGAACAACCATGACGACAGCAACAGGCTAGTTCCACCAGAGGCTCATGATATTTGCACTCCATACATAATTTTATTTTCAATATTTTATTGGTTTGGTGAGATTCCCATGATAGGTATCCATTTACCTCTGGAGAATCCGTAAATAAACAAACAAACAAATACAGCACAAGATAGTACATGTAGCAGAATGTACCATGCCGCGTGCCCACAAACACACACACACACACGCACACACACACACACACACACACACACACACACACACACACACACACACGTGTGTAGACGTACACGGGCTAGGTCAGTAGTTCCCGGCGCACCCCTGCTACCCAGTCATCGGTGCACACCCCAATGCTTCTGTGGATCATGTGTGTGTCCTGCCTCTTTCTCCTATCTAGCACAATGCTGTTGAACCAAGTGTCACGTGTGTGATCACATGATCTATTGAGGTATCTATAGATGGTCCACATCACAGATATATCGCAAGCCCCAGTCATTGTGCTCTCGGAAACGAAGGCACACTGTAAGTTCACTTCCTCCTTCAAAGCTGAAGACTGTGAAGAGTTTAGCCCGGTGTGCTAGGGTGACCCAAGTCGAATCACAATGTAGCAGTGCGTGGCCTCCTAGGAGAGTTGCAGTAAAGTCTGTCTGTCACTAATGACGAATTACAATAGAATGTCGCCTGTGTTTACTCTATAGAGACCAGTCATCTTTGTAATGCCAATATAAGGTGAAATCAATAGTGATCGTTGAAGAGAAAAGACAGATTTGACTGTAACGAATGGTGCTTAGCATGCACTTGTGGCATAGTATGTTGTGCATCACAATGCCAGTCTTCTATTGCTCGTGTACCCACTAGTATTCTACCAATGCTTGAGACTACAGTCAGACCTTGCATACAAGAGCCAGATAGCTGAATATGCCATGGTGCATGTCACGCCAGTGCTCTTAGAAGCTGGTAGTAAACCTGCTCCAACTGATTTGCACATGTATTTTATTGGTGGGGAACTCGATAAAAAACAACCGAATGTGCAAGGTCTGACCGTATCAGAGGGTGATCGTGGAACCACACGTGCATGGTGCCACACATACAGTCAGACCTCGCTTATCCGGTCCTCTTTTATCCGGATCCCTCGCCATCCGGAAGAAAATAGCTGGTTACAGATTTACAGCATACGTGATGCATCCAACATAACCGGTGTTCGGTTATCCGGTTCCCTCGCCTATCCGGATATTTTTTGGTGGAAAACAGATGTGTGCGGTTAAGCGAGGTCTGACTGTACTCGTAAGAGCAGGAGGTGTGAGTTTAACTGCAATGCCATACTCCTCGTCCAGTACCTGCTAGTCCTCCAGTTGCTGCCGACAGACCAAAGTAACCAGCGGGTGGTAACTTGATGCCTTGTGCTCGGGCGCAAATCTCGTAGTTAGGCTGGGCTGAGCTACCCATATCGATTCGAAGCTATGCAGACACGGGCAGAACGGTAAACAGGGATACAGTTAACATGAGGACAGGATGGCCGCGACAGAGTGTCAGGCAGTGTGATGCTGAACTTAAATAGCACAGAAGTACAGGATACCCGAGAGGTTACAACATAAGAACAGCTACGGATGCGACTTACTGTAAGTTCGCTCTGGTAATACGTTAGCAGAGCACGAGGGGGATGAGGGCGATTTCGAAAATCCCGCATGCATCCTCCCATTGATTGACTTGATCCGTCCCTGTAACGATAGTAGTACAACGCCAACCATGGTTAGCTCTTGCTTTCGCAACACAGCAATGCATTAGCATATGACTAGTGTATGGTTAGTGCATGGTTAGTGCATGGTTAGTGAATGGTTAGTGCATGGTTTGCATTTGCACTTTGATTCAAGAAGTTCTGTGGATTACTGCACAGGTATACGAGGAGAACTTGATGCGGTCTGATCCTAAGGATCACCTATTTTCACACACCGCGATTGAAATGACCTCCCAGAAACACCTCAACATTCACTTTCCCTGCAGGCACACTGCACACTGGACACAGGACATGATATCCACAAGTTGCCATGCAATGCCAACCCAAGGGTGAACCTCTCAGCCGATCTAAACCAATCATTGACCCGGGATGTTTCACCAATCTCTCCTACATGTCGTGGCACCGAATGAGAAACATTCTAGATCTACGTTATCCTCCACTCCGTTCTCAGTGTGCATGTGTAGCGAATCATTGCAAAGAAGATGGTCTCGCACTTATTCAATACTCAAATCTCAAAAAATAGTTTACAACAGCCGCTGTGCAAAACCTTACGTAACATGGTCATAAATCCTGGTTCCATCATTAACCTTACGTAACATGGTCATAAATCCTGGTTCCATCATTAACCTTACGTAACATGGTCATAAATCCTGGTTCCATCATTCTGCACCATCAGAATGTAGGGATTGTTTTGCTGTGGAGCATGCGCACAACACATACACATGCACATGCACGCATACACACACAAATACACACACACACACACACACACACACACACACACAAACAAACATACACGCACACACACACACACACACACACACACACACACACACACACACACACACAAACATACATACACACGCGCACACACACACGCACATATAAATATATACACATACACACATCACCGGCTATATACCAGTGGTCAGAATGAGTAGCAAGGGCACCTACTCGGCGCAATACATAGTCATCATACAGATCTGATACAATACATAGTCATCATACAGATCTGCTCTGCTGAAGCATGCAAATCACTAAGCACCAAGTACGATTATAAAACATAGCAACTAGAAGGTTAGTCGCTATTATGCAACCAGCATTTCGTTGGCAATTCAAAAAGTGTCCTGACCCTGTGTCTGTTTGGACTTAACGTAAGCCAGGGTAAGTCTGTACCAGAGCGTAGTCAACTTACAGCACCATCATTGTCAAAGGAGTCAAAGAACACGCCAAGGCCATGCCACTGATCTGAGGAACCGAACACCGGACCACTTGTGCCTTTCTGCTCCGTGAACCACATCGCCTGTTGCCACACACACACAAAGCAGACCGCAGCCGCATAGCATGACAGACACGTGTAAATCATGATGCTAGTACCGTGACTTGCGCACCATCACATGTACCGCGTTTTGAAAACACGAACACAACTGCACACATGCAAACGATCTAATAGGCCACCACCGGAAAACGTGGAGACACAAGAGTCAAAACAAGACACACGCTCACAATTTCAACAGATAGCCTGTAGAGTGTTGAAAATCCGCCCAAGAGTTGGCACTATTATTTCGAAGTACATACCAGACCATCAGCACCGACTCTGCCTCTTCCAGTCACACGAAACACCATCTCTACTTCCCACCAGTCCTTCTCAAAGAGAAATTTATTCCACGCCATTCCTGCAGCAAACAGCAATCGAATGGCTCCGGTTAGCAAAAACACCCATGATCATCCTGCGGTAGGATGCACGGGATGAGATTGTACACCAAAAACCAAAAGAACGGATAGATATGGACTATGCAGTGGGTACTTCAAAAGAAGCGTACATAATTATAATGATATAACCCCGGGGGTTGAACAACTTGGAGGTGATGTGAATGACATCATTGTACACACCTTATATGGAGTGGTTTTAATCAGGGCTTATGACGTCACTCAGTACAAAAGCTTCAGATGATGACATAATTGCGTAACCTACACATGTGAGATTTGGACAAGCCAGTCCGAAAGAATGAGCGTCCACCTGACTAACTCCTATGACAATTCTCACATAAACTTATTACAAAGCTCCGTTATCCGTTCTGACCACGGTCTGACATGTGTATGTGCATTTCGAGCCAATGATCAAATGATTAGTGGCCATTACTTTGTACCAGAAGATACACCTCACATAATGCATATACAGGCAACTTCGCTAATAACGACTGCGGATACAACGACAATTCGCGAACGACAGAATTTCCCAGCCCAGAGCAAAGTCCATTCTACCTCTATACATATAATGAGACTTCGGGTATAACGACACTTCGCGAATAAATAAGGACACTTTTCTGATGCCCGGCCGAGTGTCGTTATACGCAAAGTTGACTGTACTCGAATATCTGGTGCTGAGTGAGGTTTTGTACAGGATAACACAGGATACATACCTTTCCGACTGCGAATGGATGGAGTCAGACGCAATTGATCACTAGATGCCATTGCACCTGAAAATCAGTACACATTCATATACATGCACACACGCACGCACGCGCACACATACCGCACACATATGCACAGAAGAGCACACAGAAACTATAGGCGATATGCATGGACAGTGTCACTAACCCATCGATACCAGACTCTAGCAATAATGCATGAGCGATCCTACTGAAAGCTGTGTTAATCAGGAAACATCTGGATCGAGTTTTAGTTGGAGAAGAACCATCATACTCAAAGCAGCACAATCCAGTGTTCGCAGGTCTAGGGCTGCACAGCGCCCGGCGCGCACTTGCTCGCAAGATCGGATTTCATTGAGAAGCACTGTACACAGGATTGGGAATGAGCGCTCCGAGCTGAAACGGTACAGGAGTGGGCCCCGTGCAGAGTTACATGTTGTACTGTACGTGTCTAGGGAAGCAGACGACTGCCAACCACTACTCGAATAGCAAGGCTGCTCTCCCTGGCTGGTGGAGCTGTCTCTTTGAACTTGCTAAAAAAAAGAATCTCTACCACTAGTTTCTCTGATAATGGCTGCTGGTACAGAGCGCATTTGTGCGTGCCTGGCTCATGGTCCTGTCGGTAATTGCATTCAAATATCTTCTGTATTCGCTGCTTCCATGGTGTGGTCTGCAAACTGCAATCATTGGGCAAATGCCATGTTTGCTATGTTTTGCTTTGGCCGTCAGCTTGTCTACACGTTGTACAGTCTGTATCGGCTATAGCGTACCCTTTTGATTTCGGTGATTTCATCACTATAACCGATGCATCAATATGCGATACGATCGATTTTTTTCTTTTTTCGATCGACACATGAAAGGCAAGGAAATACTTCCAGCATGCCGTTTTGACAAATGAGCATGCATGCTGCATAGTTGACAGTGCCCGCATTTCCATGAAAAATCTGTTATGTACATTGTACATGTATCACTATAAAAATATGCAACGTGAAGAAAGTAAAAACATAGGGCCTTTGATATTGTTGCTACATGTATTTTAAAGTTATCACTATAGCCGATAATAATATAGTGTGTTATGCATGTTTTGATTCTTTGTTGCAATCATAATATCCGATATAATTATCATTACATCCGACAATATTGGTTATAGTGATATTTTGACTGGATAAAATACGTTTTGCTTTTGATATTTCGTACCAATATCACTGTAGCCGATATATCCTTATATCCGGTCACTCTATAGCCGATACAGACTGTAGTTGAACTATTTTGTTTCACAACTGACTTCCTGAAGTACGGTGGCCACTGCCTTGCATGGCATTATACATGAAGCCGAATATCCTGTTTGTGTTGTGCGCATGTGCGTACATGTATGTGTGCGTGGCCATGTGCGTGTGCCGTGTGCATCCGCGTGTTTGTGTATCTGTGTGCGGGGTAGCTAGGTGGGGAGGGCTGGTATGTATCAGTGTGTTATTGCAGTCTCATGGCTACATACAGTACATCGCGCGTGTGCTCATCATGTTTACCTTCGGGGTTGGGGTGGAGAGGGAACGGAAAAAGAACTGAAGTTATCCATATAAAAACCGCTCTGTGAGCGGTTCTGAAAAACCTTTACTGGTGCAGCCCCGTCGTAAAACTATGAAATTAGAACTGGCCCTTTATCCCCCCCCCCCCCCCCCCCCCCCCCCAATGTGAAATGGTCCACCTAAATAGGGAATGACGGGACCCGAACGCACCAGTAGCACGAGGTCGGGAGGGCACAGGATCACGATCATAGGATTACACCACCACTACTACATGGTACCAGGGGCAGTGTAACTAATTCGCTAGTAGGGTGCCACCACCACTACTGCATGGTACCAGGGGCAGTGTAACTAATTCGCTAGTAGGGTGCCACCACCACTACTACAGGGTATCAGTGGCCGTGTATGTTCGCCAGTAGTAGATCGAAATGTGGGATATCCAACATAACATGGGAGTTCAGCGACGACCATGCATGGCCTATACTATGGGGCTGTGGACCAGCGTCCCCATCTGCATCCACAGATGTAGGTAGAAACCTCGTGCTACTGGTGCGTTCGGGTCCCGTCATTCCCTATTTAGATGGACCATTTCACATTGGGGGGATAAAGGGCCAGTTCTAATTTCATAGTTTTACGATGGGGCTGCACCAGTAAAGGTTTTTCAGAACCGCTCACAGAGCGGTTTCTATATGGATAATGATTGTACAGGCATTAGATCATGACTGTACAGTGGCTGCAGCCAGCGTGAACACAATTGCGGTGTGTGCAGTCATGGACATCGTTGGTATCCTGACCATGTGCAGCATCATGTTTTACACTGGTCGCCATTGGTACTTTGGGACAGCAGCTAATAATAATAGCGACTTTGTTCTCAGTAGGCAGCCTTACTTTCATCATACGTCCAGCACGGTATTCTCCCTTTCTTGTCGGCCACAGTGGGAGGTTTGAAGCTATGCTTATATTCAAATTTACGAAATCCATCATCATAGTCGCTACAGCTGACGTGGCCTAACGCTACCAGCAGAAGAAAGGTCGCTAACCTAAACATTGTTTCAAAAGCGACTTCCTAGCAGCTAATGCAATAAATATTCGCACATGCGAAGCTTAGAGTCTTAGGTTAGGAGCCACAACGGCAGCAGCTACCTTCGCACCAGGCACAACTAAGTAATTAGTTACTTGTCGCTGTCGCCAAGATCGAAGTACATAAAAATATTATTATGCCTTCGCCTACAAAGATTGTTGCTCGACGCTAGCGCTCGACGACGCGTCGACGTGTGTCGTGTTCTTTTATCTGATGTTTTTGTGATGTCAGATTTTACATTGTGCATGGTAGATCTACCGGTACCGCGGTAGTCATGTATCATTTTTACCGCGGTCACCTGGCCGAACCCGGTAGATCTGCCCCAGGTGCAGGGTGTACTAAAAAATAATGGGGATCTACTGACTCTGTACAGACTCATATTACTTATTAGTCATAACTAAAGACAAGAACTGGGCCATGTCCATGGAGGGTCAGGTTCCTAGTAAATCCTAGTCCTAGGCTAAAGGCATAGCCGCCATAGCATAGGCATAGGCGATCGCGATCCTAGACGGTTCCGTCAATAGTCTATGCACAGTCACCAGACTTCCAGCACAAAAATTAAAAATAAGTTTTAATTAGAGACTCCCTAGTATAATAGTGCAATGAATATGATGAGGTTCCGAACCGGGGGCCATGCCAGACCCCATACGGTTCAAATCATTGCCGTAAGATCGGTGCTCTCTGTCTGCCAACCGATGATGGTTGTAGTCAGGAGCACTGTTTTCAACACAGGCAAGTGGTGAATCTATTACCAATTGTACAACCGTATGTGTTTCCAACTTTTCATGGGTGCCACCCTGCATACCGGTACGCACGGATGCAGGCATGCACTCAGCACTCCATGATCATGCCCATGGGGAAAGCAAACCGTCTGTGTACAATCACGCACCGACACTGAGTGATAGTTCGTGGCCACGAGTCCATGATCACACAGGGCGACATGATACAGCAGCAACTACAGTTAGAACAACATACCCTCCGCAGGATGGGCACCATAAACATACCTACATCATACATGTAAGAGGCCAAAACACTGCGGGAGCGTGTCCGTGTGCACGCAAGTAGGGCTCACGCCAGCATCACCTCTCCCAACAACACACTGCGCATCTTCAAACGGATACCGTTCAAAACTGAGCTGGCAGGGCACTGCAATCAGTACGCTATTGCATGTGTGTATCAGCCACCACTCAGCGTCCACCAGGTCAACAGTAAACTACAACAGAACAATGATTCGCCCTGTGACAGGAACAGATATGTACACAGACACTGCGCTAGAAAATAGGAAAGAAAGAGAGAAGAAGCATAAAGAACCAATGGTTGGAACAAGGCGCACACAAGTACCAATGTTGCACCTTAGCCGAAGAAATGGAGGCCCGACAGCAAAGTAGTTGAAATATCACAGACAACCATAAAACATTTTAAAAAAAGGACATGGGGACGAGACTCACGATATAAAGTAATAAGCGAAAAAACAACTAAGCAGCTAAAATGAGAATACACCGGTTGGTAAGTTGAAGCATGGTGATATAAACTGTGATCCTAAAATCTTCCTTTAAAAAAGAGAGAGAAATGATCACATTTCATCATGAAAATGCTCCTTGTCAGCACGGCGACCTGCTTCGCCATCAAAGGTGGATTCACCATGTCTCGCCACGTCACTGCGAGCGGACTTGATTTTCATCAGAGTCTCATACGCTGAGCTTACCTCCATGAATCTCTCCGCAGCCACAGAGGGATTGTCTCGGTTCATGTCTGGATGATAAAGCTTCGCAAGCTTGCGGTACTGGCTCTTGATCTCATGATCTGTGGCATACGGCGTCAATTCCAATGTCCTTAGGGCTTTGTTCTCTCCATCAACATCTGCCATGTCACGTAATTTGTAGAAGAAACCTGACCAACCGTCTTTCGTCAGTTCCTGCCAGAGTTCTTTCACTGCTTGCCGCATTTCTAACCAAACAGGTGATGCTAAGAAGTTTCGAGCAGCAACGTGAAGTGGAATCTTTTCGCCGGAGTCTCCTTCGACCTCACCGTTCATCATCGCAAAGCCAACTACACCTCCAAGGAGAAGAATTGTGCCGAAAGCTAGGATCAAACATCTGCGGCAGAATCCCCGCTTGCGGCGCTGGGCAGCTCCAAAGTTCCTGAACTCTCGGTTGTGCTGGGCAGATATCATAGCGCCAATGGAAAGCCAGAAGCTGTTTGGTTGCTCACTCAAGAACCACATCATTGAATAGGTCAAGATAGTTCCACGCACTGGATATGTGAAGTCAACACGCTGCCGACCATAGTTGCCGGCAATCCAAACTCCCAGAGACACAGCAAGAGTACTAACTACGAACGTGATGATGCTGGAGTATCGCCATGTTGAATCAACGCATCCACATGCTACGACCGAATATAACGTGCCAGTGACTGTCTGATAGATGGCTCTCTCCAATCCCCACCCTGGCTTTTTCAGTTTCTTGGACAATTTGTACAGTGCCATCTCTTCATCTTCCTCATTGGCGTCCGCTACATATCTGCGCAGACGGAAGAGATCCACCACAACACCGAGTCCATATCCTCCCAGAGATGACAGATAAAGAAATCCCTGGAAATCTCTTCCAAGGTAAAAGTGATGCAATCCTATGAAGGAGCCAAGAAAGTAGAGAATATAAGCAACAACTGTTGATTTCCTATGCTTCTCATCAACAGCCATTGTCAGTGCCAGGGAGTCGAGCTCCCTGGCGGGGGTAAATATATGGTAAGTTTTCTTTCTCCCCCGCGCTACAAGACAATGCTAGACTACATGAACTTTGAGTGAAAGCTATACGAGCTGTACGAATTTTCAGAATTACATCTACTTTTACATAGCCATTTGACAAACAGTGCAACAATCCAACAAAAAGTTACATGCATGCAACAAACAAGATAGCAAAAGGTTTTTTATTTGATTTTCGTATTTCTCGGCCCAGACGAGGTCGAGTCCAGCTGAGCATGAGCTGTCAGCTGACCACCACCGCGCCGGCGGCGCGATAAGCCAAGGTATACCGGTAACAACTCAAATCTGTGCGCGTGCGGTGCATATGCGCGCTATAGCGCTAGCGCACAGCGCCCGCGCCCGCGCCGTAGAGTCTGAGAGCCTGGGCAGTGCCAGTGCCAGTGGGCCGGCGCGGGCATGGGCCTGTACGAGGTGATTCGTAATTTTTTAACATTGCGTCATTTCTTAACAAATCGGTAAAATATCTCATTGCCAGCGCCTGCAAAAAGTCACGTCAAATTTCTTTTTGCCATTGCCATTGTCAATGTTCTGTCAAGTTCGCCTCCAAAATTGAGACTGATATTCCTTCAGGAAGTGACATTGCAAGAGCTTTCAGTCTGCATGTGCGCGATGTTTACGGTAAAATAGAGTATAAGAGAGTCATAGCCGCTGGTTTCAACCTCCAGTGACAATATAATTTAGCTGAAAAGGAAGCATATGATAGATACATACTGGAAACGACGCCTGGGAAGGAGGAATGGGGTGTGTTGGCCCTGGTAATGGCCAAACATTGGCAATTACTGAATTTGCTAACAGATGTTGATCACAATTGCATATAAAATCAGGGTGATACACCTACTGCTATGCAAGCTTGAATGGCTTGTATTAGGATCAACATGATCTTGATCCAGTCTTGCTGGACCATCCTGGATACGTAGGGTCTCTTTCTATTGAAAACTGACTTGAAACTGTGCTGCTAAGGCCTATTTTACCATGATGTTAAGAAATGACCACAACAAATAATATGCGGAAAAATTGCCATTTTTCAACTGCCCCCTGCTTCGCAACACCAAGGATTATGTGCATAAACAACCCACCATTGCAATCGAAGGACATCAGTATTACATTTTTGGAGGAAGAAATGGAAAGATTCGCACCTCGAACCCTACGGAAGGCTTTTTTACTTTCGTGTTAAGGTCATAATAAGGAGGCTCCGAACAGTTGCGCAGCGCAGTGCAAAAAGGGCACCTCTGATATCTGTTTTTTGCCGCGAGATTCGAAAAATGTTGTGTTCCATGCGGAAACAAGCTGTTGTTCAGAAAGAAGTTTTTTGATTTCTCTGTGCTCGCAGTTGTTCCAGGATGTAGTTCTACTCGTTGCAGTGTTTCTGTAGCCGTGGCTGTTTCTACGCTGGAAAGAATCACTGGCCATGGCTAATGCAAAACAAAGGCAGTTCCTACGCTGCTTGATTTTTTTGTGAAAACTTTGTTGAAGCGGTACGATGTGGCCACGAAGAACAAAATATAATTATTATATTACTGACGAAGAAGGGTGAGAAAAGCAGGCTGAAGTCAGTGAAGACATCGATGTCGAACGTAGTGATACTAGTACTGGTACTGGAATTTAGCATGGACTACCTGTGGAGCGTGAAGTGGCTGCCCACTCGCTGGTAAGTGGACCCACTTGCAGCTCCAGTCGCACGAGTACCGTTTGAAACTTTCTGTGGATCCTAGAGTATCCTGAGCTCAGTGGACGACGCATCTCAGGGCTGCTGAACTTGGGCTACTGTCCCTGTAGGAATGAGGTTCGTGTCAACCACTGTACTGCACTGATGGTGTAAGGAAAACGCTGGCCAGAAGCTTGTGTTCTGAACCAGGGACGAACTTCTAAATCCTGCTTTTGTAAAAATGGGGATGCCACAACTAAGATGTGCACACTCAGGTGTGTATTGGGTAAATGCTTGTGGTTGATTATTTTGAATCCTTTCCTATGCGCAAGTACGTGTATACATGCGTTTGTGTGTGTGTGTGTACGCGCACGCGCGCGCGCGCGCGTGTGTGTGTACGTGCGCGCGCGAGTGTGTGTGTACGCGCGTACGCGCGCGCGCGCGTGTGTGTGTGCAAGCTGTTGAAAGGTGTAATCCGAGCACAAGTTGCTATGTCTAACGTAGTTTGTTCGCTATCCTCGCTTCAGCGTTGGGCAGGTGTATGAGTGTGTGTGTACGCACGTGTGTGTGTGGGCACGTGCTCGTGCCCGCATGTGTGGGTTCGCACGCAATGTTGATCTGGGTTATGCACATGTCCCCACGAGTGCACTGTGTGCATGTGCATGCAAATGTCTGTGTACATGTATGTGTGTATGCACGTGCATGTGTGCGCGCGTGTGCAAAGCTAGGTGTGGAAAGGGGGGGGGGGGGGGGGAGGGGCTCACGGTGCTGGTTCTGTATGCCTCTCCTCTCTGGTGTCCGCAAGGACAGTGTGGTGATGGCTTTACACTACAGGAGTTGCATGTGAATGCGCATTTGTGAACCGTATTTGAGACACAAAAAGAATTGCCGAGAGAGCATGACAGTACACAACATGTATATCGTACATGTATGTGTGCACGCCAGCGTATGTAGATGCATATCGCCCTTCATGCGATGTTTTTCTGGAGTCTGCTGCTATCAACGCAAGTGACAACCAGCAAATGCATGCCCAGTGCAGTGGCTGGTCTTCATGCTTTTATTTACACTAAGTCCTACTATGGACTAGTAGTGTTACAATGATGCGTGCACGAGCGTGCGTGTGGGTGGGTGTTTATGTGCATGCGCGCGCACGCGTGTGAGTGTTTAGTGTGCCTTATTTTGAATGCCTGCTTTCACATTATTCATGAGCCAGTTTCATGGTCGAGGTTGTTATGAAACCTCGCTACCTTACATGTACATGTACACTACTCGTATATCAATGTGCTAGGACTGAAGGCTGCATGACATACATGTAATGATACATGTACCTTTCCAAGCACAGACTGTCTGGTATGTCCAAAGGAGGTTGCAGCATGAAAATAACTTCTTCTAAAATAATATTACCATACTACCATGTCATTGGTAGTGATATTTAGTCAAGAAGGCAAGAATGGTCAGATTTTCTAAAAATGCTATTTTCAGAATTGGCCTAAAAATACCATGTTTTGATACCTATATTGTTTGGTAGGGGCCTAAAGTGCCTGGTGACACCATCAAAACTGTCCATTATCGGTTTCCTTGGGGCTCAAGGATCACAGAAAGCCACAAAAATCAATATGTCCATGGACAAAATGTTGCAGGCTGAACCATTTCACAATTCAGCACCCGATGGAAATTTCGGTACCCGTAATTTCGAAAAAGTGGCTCGCCAAGGGCAAAACCAAGACACAGTCTATCTTGTGTACCCAAGATACCTCCAAATGTGGTTCTTAAACACATGACGAAGAAAATACTTAGTATCCTCCTTCCAGGAGGCTTCTTTGGGTCAAAAACCAATTTTTTTTACCATTTTTTTGCCGAAAATCAAGAAATTGTACACTCACTAAATACACCAGAATACCTCTTATATGCCTGGTGACCCTACCTAAAAACTATACCAAATTGAAGAGGAGACATCACTCCACCATTCTATGCATAAAAAACAGGGTGTCCATGGACCTTTTATTTTTGCTTCTTTAGGTGGGAGCCTCCTTTTAAATAATGACGAATCACCTCGTACATGGGCCTTCTTGAGAATGACACTTGAGTGACTTGACTTGAGACGAGTGTGTCTGTGTGATCTGTTGAGCTGAGATGAGTATTTGCTTGAGAGTGTCAATATTCTACAAAATTGTGATCACGATGTACCATGTTGAGCCAACTAACTTGAGGTGGGCCAGCAACATCCTCTCCCACTGTACCGGCCTCGTCGTTGGAAGTGATGTGTGCCATGCATGACGTCCGTTGTGTGAAATAAAGTCCGACCAAATAGGACTGTTACTTTGAAACTTCTCAACGATGGCATTAGATGGAAATGAAGATACGTCGAAGGTACTTTATTTTAGTCTCTTTCCATAACGTTGCTTCGTTTGTCACTCGGATCAAGCATCGGTCTATACATATACTTTTCTACCGATAGCAGTGCTAATATAATGGCGTTATTGTGCCCCACAGCCTTCATCGGCTACGCCTGCACTGACAATTCCCTCAAGAAAACCTGGAGAGGACCTTGTAAGACACTAAGTTTTAATTTCTTTCATTGAATTCTACATTCTGAAAAATCTGCATAATCGTTATGGAAGTATAAATTAGCGTTTTACCTTTCCAGCTACTTTCGCCAGTGGGCCCATAAGGAAGCCACACGGCATAACGCTGTGATTTCCTGCACTGCCATGCTATACATTTACTGTTCTAATGTTATGGTCAGTGGGCAAGTGCATCCTAGCAATAGGAACCCTACGTGCATTACCGTAATGTCGCGTATTAAAGCCGGGCTTATTCCTGCAGAAGCTGATGTCAGGGCTAGGCTTCTATTCACGTCAAGCTTCTATTCAAACCAGGTATTTCTATGTGTCTACACTAAAACCCGGCTTATGTGCCGACACCGTATCTTGAAAATCAGGCTTGTATTCAAAATAGGCTTCTATACGAGGTGGGCTTTAATACAATGCACTGCGGTATGCATGCACGCACACCACCCACATACACACGCGCGCGCGCGCGCGCGCGCGCGCACACACACACACACACACACCTGTCCTGTCCTGTTGAGCCACTGCCATGAAGGTTACGTGGGCCCCGGAGGGGCAGCTGAGAGAGAGGAGGAGCACACAGCCCTGTGACGATCCAGGTGATGCGGTAAGCGAAATCGGCGGGAGCAGGCGCAAACACACGTGAAACCCTGACGGTCCTGAACGGTCGGACGACTACAAGTCCGCGAGCAGCGATGACGGGCGCGGCCACGTGTAGACGCAAAGCAGCGGTCACAAGCCTGGCAGTGAGCGACGCAGCACAGCGGAGAAGCAGGCAGCGGCAGGGGCGCACCGACTGCTGACTGGGGGTAAGTACACTTGTGCCTTGCCAGACCTCCACGGGACTTCAGCCAACGGCCACACTCTCCACACTGGCATGCACCTTTCTGCTCCGCAACCGGCTTCGCACACTCAGCCTTACATTTGTGGCGTGCGCGATCACTGGGGCGCGTAAACTGTCGGTCGCAGGTGTAGCAGGTGACGGGAGGGGTATGCTGGGCATCTACCGGTGCTGAGTACGCCGAGCGCCAGGTGGAACGCGACTCGCATTCAGCTCGCCATTCCCCCTCGAGGCCGCGAGAACGAAGGTCAGACATTATACAATCCTTCCAGCGCCGACGAGGGCCATGAGCTGGGCGACGCGACGGAAGCGTGCTAAAGAGAACTTGCTTCGGCAGCCGGTGGTCCTCCATCCGAGCAACATGCCCGAGCCATTCAAGGCGGCGGTGCTCCACCTTCGTGCGGATGGTGTCGGGATCACCCCACCTCACACGTAGTTGGTGGTTGGTGATGTGGTCATCCCAGCATTCTTGGCGAGACACTCCCATGATTGAGCGGATGCATCGGTGGTGGAAGACAGAGAGCCGCTGCAAATCCCGTTGAAGAGGCGTCCAACACTCCGAACCGTACAGCAAGAGCAACAAGACACAGGCGTTGAACACACACCTCTTGATGTGGAGGTCCAGGTGCTTGTTGCCAAAGATGGACTTTTGCAAAGCGCCACACGCTCGGGAGGCATTCGCAATGCGAGAGTCAACATCGCAGGATGAACGGCCGTAGCTGTGAATTACCGAACCCAGATACTTAAATTCGGTGACACAGGCAATGTCGACACCAGCTAGACTGAGGGGTACGCGGTCAGCAGCAGACACATCAGCACCAGCAACCAAAAACTTGGTCTTTGTGGCACTAACCGCGAGGCCAAATTCGGACGCCGTGTTGTCAAAGATTGTCAATGCGACCTCGGCACCAGCTCTTGATGTAGCGAACAATGCCGAGTCATCAGCGAACTGAGCCTCCGTAGCGGTAGTGACAGGGTCGGTGCGGTGAGACTTCCTGTAGAGGTTACCAGTGTCAGAATTGTGCGAGAAACTGAAACCAATACCAGGTACACCACTAACGCGCTGCTGCCATCTGCTTACCACGGCCCACATGAAAATGTTAAACAGCACGGGCGCCATTGAGCAACCCTGGCGTAGGCCATTATGAACGCTAAAGGGATCTACAGTTGTACCACTCATGCGTAATACAGCAGCCATTGAGGTGTGAAACGACTTGATCACCGCCAGCATGGGTGAAGGGACGCCAGCTCTAGCCAATACCTGCCAGAGACACTCACGAGGAACCGAGTCGTAAGCTTTGCGCAAATCGATGAAGACAAAGAAACCCTTGGTTTGATGTTCTACTGTCTTCTCCAAGAGTTGGCGGATGGTAAATATCATGTCGGAGCATGATCTGCCACGGCGGAAGCCACACTGCGATTCCGGGAGGAATTCTTTGGCCAGAGACTGGAGGCGTAGCTGAATGACTCCTGCTAGTGCCTTGCCTACGACATCCAGCAAAGATATCCCCCGCCAGTTATCGCACCTGGAGAGGTCACCTTTTTTGGGTATTGGCACCAGCATGGCATCTACCCACTCCTGGGGGACACGACCCTCACGCCACACATCGCCAAACAGCCCATGAAGGCTGAGGAACAGCTGCTCGCCACCAAATTTCAACATTTCCGGGAGGATACCAGAGGCTCCAGCCGATTTCCCGTTCTGGAGCTTGCCAATAGCACAACGAACTTCCTCCAGTGTCGGGGGACTAGCGAGATCTTGGGCTACCGGCAGTTGTGGGATGGAGTCCAGTGCACTAGGTGACCACGTGCTATGGATGTTCAGCACTCCAGAGAAATGTCTCCGAAAACGGTGACCCTGCTCTTCTGGTGACGTGCATAGATTTCCGTTTTCATCCATGACTGCCGTTGTCCGAGCCGGTTTCAAACCTTCCCCTGCAGCTTGGAGATCGTGAATGCACTTCCATATAATAGCTCCGTTAAAACGGGACTCTGTAGCCGCTAGCGCCTTGCTTTCTATCCACTTCACACGGGCTGCATCAATAGCTGAGCGTGCCCTCGACCTGGCAGATTTAAATGTGCTGAAGGACACACACACACACACGTACACACACACACACACACACTGAGGGAGGGGGGGGGGGGGGATATACAAACAATAATCTGTCGAGTATGGCATGGGAAAGGTGCATCCTCACTAGGACACTCCTATCTCTTTTATCCCGACCTCAAAGTCACGTCACCCTGTAGCTGAGTGTAAGCGGTCTTAGTGGAAACATCACTACTCTTTGCCAAGTTTGTCGAAATAGTGACATCATATGCCAGATCTCTGGCACTTCCCCATCAAACGTATGTGATTCAGAGTTACGGGTATTTCAAAGTTATGGACATCGCCCGGTCCCGGACCGCCTGGATAAGAGACAATAATTATTATGAGTGTATTGCCGTACCAGACCAATGCCAATTCCATAGCAACAGCATATGCATTTGTCATGCTGTGATAACCCAATCACACTATCAATCAACATAGCTTCATTGTCATGTAGCATGGCGTTATGGTGTCATTCCCACACACGCAGCGAGCCCGTGTGCTGGCTGCATGCAGTTTCATCTACTTTGAAGTAATGGAAATTCAACATTGCTAATTAAGACAGTTCATATGAAATAAAGTTTCGGCAGGTGTGTCGCATGTTGCCTTCAAACAGCTTTATCCTAGCAAAGACAAAATCAAAAAAGCACCCTATTCTCGTTGAAAATTCAAAATAATGAATCTCCTGATATGGCCTGTTCAGTGTATGTGGTCTTTCGTTTTTGTGCTTAGGTGGATATCGCCGTTCGTTTTCTAAGCCACTCTGACATACAGAAGGCCAATGTTGACAAAAAGAAGGAGTTCCTGAGGAAAAGAGGTCAGCTCATTGTTCCAAAATGATCCTTATCTTGAGTAACGGCAGTGATACTGTGGCAGTTCTCTCAGTTACGAGTCTCCACTGCCTTTCAACAGAGCCCTTCTTTGAACCTAGTCACTATGCCATTCTCAAGTTTCATCTGCAGTCTGACTACTTCAAAGTATTCGCTAATGTCAGTTTAGTGCTGCAGTCCTCGACCCGTCAATGATAGTGCCCTTTTGTGAATTACTGTGTGTGCGCGTGGGCTGAGAGCTTATCTTGTGGATGCCGTGTTGTGTCTAGTCATGGGGAGAAGGGGGATCAGTTTCTCTCTTCATTGTCTCGATTGCCTTTCTCAGGACTGAATGAAGGTCAGATTACGGAAGCATTGTTTCGTTCTTCAATGCAACAAAGTTCAGTGAGTTCCGATGTCCTTGTTTGTGTCTTTGGTTGTGGCAAATGAAATGCTGCTCCTGTCGAGGTGCTGGGTCGAGAGGCATGTAGAAATGTCATTCTGGTTTTCAGTGTCATCACGAAATTTCATCCTGTCATCCCCCCAACCATTGATATTCTCTGGTGTTAGTTTAATTTTCACTGCTCCATTACTCTCAACCTGGTATTACAGGCATGGTGGTGGCCTGGCACGAGCGAAACTTCCTAAGCTGGTTGTGTTTCTCAACGCAATTGTATAGCCGGTGGTAACGCGGACGTGCGAACTTTACTTTCTTTTATAACTCTTAACTAGTTCAAGCTAACTTCCGCGTCAGTCATGTGTCTCCTGAGTGTACAATGGGTTGGGTTCCGATTGTGATGTGTTTCATTCAGTTTGCCAAAGTATCAACATAATATTATATGAGTCAAGCACCTGAGTATAGCGCTGTACCCCATTGGTGCGGATTGCTGTGGTGCCCATATGTACATACTGTGCCCATCGACTTGAGAATGTAGATTAGGGTTTTGCTGATGCTTGTCTGAAGTTATTGTTCTCTTTCTTCTTGTGTGTGTGTGTGTGTGTGTGTGTGTGTGTGTGTGTGTGTGTGTGTGTGTGTGTGTGTGTGTGTGTGTGTGTGTGTGTGTGCGTGTGTGCGTGTGTGTGTGTTTATGTGTGTGTGTGTGTGTGTGTGTGTGTGCACGCGCGTGCGTGCGTGCATGTATTGCATTTGCATTGTGTTCTATTGATGTCGGTTGCGCAATGCCCAGGCGGGTGCAAGGTAAGAAGAAAACAACTTGCATTTCATGTCAATGTACGAATTACTGTAAGACAGGTTTTTTGAGCGTAACTTTAATTTCGGTGATTTCGGTAGAAACCTAAGTCCTCCTTTCTACTTCACTCTCCCTTTTTCACTGCGTACTCTGCGTGGCTGACACTTCCCCAAGAAGCTAAGGACCTTTCTTCCCTCCGCCTTTTTTAAGAGCCTTGTCGCGCCTTGACTTTGATTTTGTGTTTCTCATTTTGTTGCAATCACTACTTATCCATGCCGGTTCCTTTTTTCTTCTCCTCCCCTTCTCCCTTCCTTGCCGTGGTTGGCTAACACCCTCTCTCTTTGTATTGGCCGGTGTTCTCACTGTGCTATGAGATGCTGTAATAAATAAATAAAAAATAAATAAATAAAAACCGGGCACCTAAATTTAGATTACACCTAAATGGCGCAAGAGTATCGTGCTGTATGTTATGGGAATGTTTGTCACCTAATTCTAAGGTACACCCGAAACCCATCAGGTCCCGGACACCGAAAATTTAATACACCGAAAATTACATGCTTTACAGTATGCTCCGTTGAGACATGTAGTCCCGGATCCCGATTTCCACTTTTTCAGAAATCAATTTGTTAGAAGTTGGTATGCCACTTTGGAAGGAGGATTTGGACATGGTCCAGTTACATAGGGAAGGGGTTTGGTAGCATGGATTCACTTGTCGGACTTCTGAAAGCTGTGCCATAAGCTTGCTGCGAGGGGGTTTTCTTGGCAATTTCTGCTCGCTGATTTCACGATCTTCGTGTACCTAAGCATGAATTGGGCACGCTCACTTAAAACATTTTACGTGCAGTGGGGAAAATGCATCAGTACAGTACAGTATTTTTGCTGTACAGTTTTTGAAGCCCCATCCTATGGAATACTACCAACACCCCGGGACAAGGTGAAGCCAGTATTTTGTGTTCAATCATAAACTTGAAAAATGAATATCCCAAAAAAGAAGAGACATCGTGAGTTTAATATCGATATTCAATACTACTGCACTTCTGTGTTGACACGCTGATTCTTGTACCCAACGAAAAGAACAAGCTGATCCATCACTATCGGGCACACTTGAGTCGTCACAATCTGAGTTTGGCTCGGCATGAGTAGACTCGGCTTCCAGTTGCAATACGTCACCAGGCGTACTTTGCTGTGGTGGATTGCCAGTACTTGGCTGCTCTGTTTCCTGTGGCCCACTGTTGAGTGGATTTGCGCGTGCAGCTTTGCAGTGGCAGATGTCAGTGCACGCAAGTGATGACGTCTTGCACGAGCAGCGTTGAGTATCACATGCTCCTCGAAACCCGCAGCTGACGAGGCCTTGAAGTTCTTCCAACCTTGTAGATCTGTTTCTCAATATCCTCAGACTCCACTGTAGCCATTGTAGACATACTTAACATACTTACCATCGCTTTCTTGAATCCATCCTCTGCTGATGGGCCTGGGCACATCGGGCTTGGGTTGCAAAGCCAGTCGCCAGACAGTAGCCTGGTAATTGGCTCGTGCTGTGTGGAGTTTCAAGGCATCCTTCGAGAGTGGCATTCGATTCGGTGTAGTTGTGTTCCTACACAACGGCTGGTAGCGGACGTCGTTCACTCTGGCGTTCTTGGTATCTCCGTACAGGCGGCATGTGAATAACTCGCATGCATCGTACAGGGATTCTGTCAGTGCAAAGTCGTTGCCAAGTTGTGTCCTAGCTTTAGCAGCCTGTGTGTTCTTCTTGATGAGTGTCAATCCAGTTTTCTTCCCTTTGCCACAGAAGGTGCTAACGCGCTAACAGAACCACAGCCAGTGAAGCAGTGCAGCCCAATAAGAGCTGAGGAGAGAATTGGCCCAAGCTGCATAGCAATCTGCTTGATGTCCACAAGTCGTACTCGCTCCTTTGTTCCAGTCTTGAATATTATCTGGCCATCCAGACTCTGTGACAGAGCAATGGCGAGAACTGCCACGTCCGCGTCGGGGGAACAGATGACAGCTACAGGTAAACCAGCTGAGAACACACGGTGTGCATGCAGTGGCAACCGAGTGTCTGCCTCCTCATGGGTGCTGGATAACCCTGGAACAGGGGCAAAACTCTTAACTTAGATCCAAGTTGCAAAGGTGCGGTCAACAAGAAGCAGTCTTGCCTTACTGTGATGAAGATCTCGTGACCTTCAGGTACCTTGCTTGCCAGCACCGTGTCCTGTGGCCAATGCTTGTAGAAGAAAGCGATCAAACTCGTTTTGTTTGCACCAACTGCAAGATAACGCTTCCAATGCGTGGGGGTTGGTTGATCTGTGCGCTCTGCCTGCATTCTGACGGGTTGCTTGCGGGTTGACCGCCGAGCTCTTTCCAGACCCTTTATCGACACATTGAAGTACTGGTCGGCCACCAAATCAATCTTGACTGCTCTGTGTTGATTCATCATTGAGAGCAGCCTGTCAAACACGAGTGAGCTCAGTTCTCCAAATGTGGCGAGCACAGAAGAGAAGGACTGCAACAGAGCCATTGCATCGACCAATATTGCACCCCCACTGTGTACTGCCTCCAACAAAGGCACATCTTTCTCCAGCTCTGCCAATAGCTTCGATTTGGCAATAGTCCTCAGAGTTCCATCGCCATGAGCAATCGCCCAAGGCACATAGCCGAGTTCATACTGCATCAGCTTGGCAGTATCAATCTTCCTGTGCTTGGCCATAATGGCAGAGGGCTGACACTGCTGAGAGGCAATGCAGTAGATGAATGTGCTTCGTGGTACTTCGAAGTAATTGTGTGTGATGTAATTTGATGTTGGCTTCGATCCTCTACCGTGACAGTTTCCCACTCATGCTGGCATCCCGGAGGATCGACCAAGTCATTGTTGCATGTACAGTCAAACCTCTTTAGGACGAACACCAAGGGACCGATGACATTTGTTCGCGAAAACGGGAGTTCTTCTTATCCGTATGTTATACCGAGTGAATACACAGTGATTTATCCAATGAAGTTACGAATACTAGTTCTTCTTAAGCAAACATTTGTCTTATCAGTGTTCTTCTTAACGAGGTTTCACTGTACTTGTATGACTTCCATGTTGTGCTGGTGACGATGATGTATTCAATTTGAATGTTGGAGTCGCTCATTTGGTGCCCTGCTGTCTTGTGTTCTCTTTGGAAAACGTTATGTGTAGCTCTTCTTCACCAGCTGTCGGTTCGGATCATCTCCACTCAGGTATGGTTTCATTTTGGTAATAGACAAGTTGACTATGCAATATTCTTCTTCACTCTAGTTTCATGCTGTCAACGTTATCGGAGTGTATTTTCAACTACTAGTTTGCATTGTTTGTGCCGAGGGCTGTGTACAATTCATTGCATATGTTAGTGTTGCATTTGCTTTACTTCTTCCGCTCACCTCTCTCTCTCTCTCTCTCTCTCTCTCTCTCTCTCTCTCTCTCTCTCTCTCTCTCTCTCTCTCTCTCTCTCTCTCTCTCTCTCTCTCTCTCTCTCTCTCTCTCTCTCTCTCTCTCTCTCTCTCTCTATCCATGCCTGTACATGTATGCAGGCGGGCGACCATGGCTTGCATACAGTGTTTTACTTGGCATGCTGACCCTGGCAGGGGCTGGATTTGTTCATTTATACGAGGTAAGACCATGTATATTACTGTTGAAAACCGGATCCTCATTAGAAGTTCCGTACTTGCACGTGGAGTGTGTATGTGTCTGTTCACTCTCATGCTCATCTTTTCCTGTATGAACTGATCACGTATAGCTCGCAAAAAGTACTTGATTTTATACAGGTCCCAAGCAGAACATTCGTAGCCAGCGTGGAGCATTTTGGTCTACTGACTCTCCACTTTAGCACTTTGTACTTTGAAGTATTTTCTACTTTGAAGTATTGTATCTGAGGTGTACGGTGTGTGGTTGAGAGGTATGCTGGTACAGAGGGGCTAGCCTTTGGCAGTTGGATGATATACAGTCGTCCCTCTCTAATCCGGCACCTTTTGCTACGGCATTTTCTGCTGGATTAACGAGGGTGCTGGATTAAGAAATCCTGCCCTCTGACCCGGCCCTACCCAATTACATGCATGTATCATACGTCAAAACGCAGGGTTTTTCCGTGTCGACCCCAGTATTTGGTGCACGGCTTTATATTCTCAACTTTTCTCCAGGAATATACACAGTGATAAAGTAAAACAGAGAACATGTTCACATGTATACGTACTCTTGCACACACACGCACAGTCGATTTACGACTAGTAGTAGTAGTAGAATTTATTATTTTACTAGGGAACTCCCAACAGGCGTTGCCTTTTTACTGGGAACCCTAGGACTGCCGGATTATGAAATCAAACTACGTGCAGTTTGAGCGATTCGTTTCAAAAAGTCATTGCCGGAGGCGGAATTCAAGTGCCGGATTAAGATGTAGGAATTGAACGAAAAAAAATCGGTTTCATCAGAAAGTGCGCCGGTTGGCAAGGGTTCCGGATAAACAAGTGCCGGATTAGAGAGGGACGACTGTACACGTATTCCACTACTGGTCTTGGTCCTTAGCTTCATTTCTTTGTCTTGTCTGCCCAACTCACTATAAGGTTAGCTTTGGTGTGGCTATGGTAAACTGGTAGTGATAAGAACTGGTCGCATTGTGTCTCTGTTCAGGCTTATATATTACCCTACTTACAGCGCCGTGAGCAAGAAGAGACGCGACTGCAGGGACTGGAAGCAGCTCTTGGCAGTACGCAGTCAAGACTAAATGATACTGGTGAGTAGAATGTACCCGAGTCTGGTGAGTAGAATGTACCCGAGTCTGTCCGCTGAATGGCTACTGTCAACTGCTATCAACTAGTATCCAAGTAGCTGTGGCTTGTGTAATATGCACCTTACTTCGTATTTATATGTACTTCAGTATACCCAATGCTATAGACAGCTGTACTTTAGTATACATTTTTGGTCAAATATCCCGACAGCTAGCTATTTCGACCTTGCATGGTTTTGACATGCATTTGGTCTAACCGGCAGAACTCAGAGTATCCGGCCACCGCCTCTGGAGACGAAATGGGTGGTATTATCAATCCGCCATGTCCCTAATACTCGCCATTGTCTGTGATGCACTCATCAATCGTCAGCATTGACTTCGAAGCATGCATGCGTCTTAGAAAGTAGTGTAAATGCTACAGTACTCTCTGCCTTTTCTTTTGCTTTCTCTGACTTTGGTCCATGATGAGAAGTTCCTTGGCGGTTGATCTCCATAATGCATACCACCAAGAGTACATAACCCCAAGAGTGTGCAACTGCCTGCACTACCTCTATGCTGTGCTGCGACGGCAGAACTTCACATCACGTGACATGGTTCAAAAGGTTATGCTGGCAAACAGTGCAAAGTGACCACAAGAGAGTTGTACCCAAAGCTGGGCTGGGTACAACCCTGTATCTATCATGCACAGAGTGCAAATAATGTGTACGGGTTCATCACGTGATGTGAAGTTCTGCCGTCGCAGACCCCATAGCTGGTGTTGCACACTCTTGGGTTATGTACTCTTGATACCACTCAGTACAAGTACTGCATACAAACCCACCGTTGAATCTGTGTTTTGTTTGTGCTTCCACTCCGCAGTTGACGGATTGCAGACGAGTGTATCTGCCATACAGGTAAGTCATATTATTGTTGAGAAGTACTAGCAATAATGCCACTAATATTAAATATGACAGACTGAATGGTTGCGGGTGAGAAAGGCCAAAATAAAGGAGCTTTCCAAGTTAGAAGAAGAGCATATAGTTTCATATTTGAAATCCGGCGCAGAAGACAGTCAATGAAGGCTACTGTTCTCAAACTTTTACTGTAACCCTGGGATTTTGCTGATGGCTACTTGACCTCCAGGAGTGTACCACATTCCATCTCTCTTTCTCCCTTCCTCTCCCCTCCCCTCCCTCCCCCTCTCTCTCCAGTCCTAACCCAAAGCTACCCCGAGCTGGGTACTTGTCTTTTTTAGAAAAATCAGAATCCATACAGTAACGTTATTTTCCTGGCGTATCTCGATCATGGGAGAAGAACGCATGCGCAGCATGCATGGAGGTTCTATATCAACGGCTGGTTGTGTTCAAACTTCAAACTCTCTGCTGCAGTCGCCTAGTTTGCACATCTTTGCAGGACACTTTTTATCGCCTTCTCTTTTGTTCCACTCCTTACCTTGACTGCAGGAAAGTGTAAGGAGAATTGAGCAAGACGTGACCACGATAAAGGTACGGTATTGATGTGTACCACGTGCCTACTGCCAGCTACTGGCATGCCTAACATGCCGTGTACGCACGACCATGCGTGCACAGCACCGGGCAACCAATGTCATTTCTTTTGATGTAATGTAGCTATGAACGTATGGGTTAGCGAAGCCGTAGAATGTATCTGGTTGTCTATTTCCCCGACAATCAACAGTCGACTATGTTGTAGAACCTGCATTGTTGGTGTGTGTGTGTGTGTGTGTGTTTGTGTACATGTGTGCTTTATTCTCCTCGGTGCGTGTGCCTTCAGTGTTCATCTAGTCAGACATCCAGTCGGGAGGATGCAATGGCCGGTGTGAAATCGGAGATTCAAACGGTGAAAAGCCTCTTACTTTCCAGGTATGGTTGAGACTTGAGAGATCTGAGAACTAGGTTTACCTGCTTGGGCAATGGCAGCGTACTGATGGTGTGTGTGTCTAGTCTTGAAAACTGTGATTGAGATGCCAATGACCTATGAATACCAAGAGGCTGTTTAAAAAATCCTTTTCGAAATTAATGCTGACGATTACTTGCTGCAAGTACTCGACAAGAAGTATATTGAACAGTTATGTTAGTATGGAAAGAGAAAAGTTATGACAAACAGTCCACCAAGGCAAAACGGTCCTTTTCCCTTTACATAATTATTGCTATAGGCTCACCATCCGAGTTATGTTAATATTTTCGGCCAAGCAGCTTCTCAGCAGCATTTGTGCTGACTTAGCTCCCTTCTCACTCTTTACACGCATATCAGAAGCGTGTCTGACATACGCCGCTGGGTAGATATGCAGCACCAAGACTGGTATCTGAATGGTATCTAGGTCACTAGGTGTGCTTTGGACGTGGACAAGACAAGCGATCTTGCACATTTTCTAGGAGCCATTGTCAAAGCAGAGTGGAAATATCAAGGTGTTCATGGGCAGAGATCGTTGATCGTTGTGGTATCAGCCGAGACACTAAGAAATATCGTAATCGCTTCAGTGCTGCGGGAAATGCTCTTGCCCTTTTCGAAGTCCTTTAAAAGTCAAGGAGCTCCGTGTCGGATCTCTCTTTTTTTTGGTGATAAATACCTTGCTTGACCCGTGTGTACATGCGTGAGCTCACCTGGACCGAATTCCGTCAAGCCAGACCATCTTGTTCTGTGCTCTGTGACAATGGCAGGAATCAGTTTGCATCTGCGCCAGTGCAGCGTCCCAGCATTCCCGCGTGGCAGCGGACTAACGGCACAAGCAGCAGTGCAGCAGCCGCGTCACCGACAAATGGCGCGAATGGTGACAGTGCGAATGGCTCGTCGAGTGAGAGCGCTTCTCCCAATGACGGTGAGGACAGCAATGGCACGCCACCCAATAAGTCACCGCTGTCCAGCCGTTCTCAAGATCCAGGTGGCAATGAGGACACCGTGTCACCGCAATGCATGCCCAAGTCCTTATCACCTGCTGTACGTACAGCTCAGCCTCAAGATGGTGGTCAGCAACCGAATGGGGAGTCAAGTTGAAGCACGATGATCACGATATACATACTTGATAATGAACCAGCAGTTCGGGTCCTTGAATGCTGGAATCAGATACTGCCCTCTCCCGTACAGCAAGGCGTGTTTGTGAACATGACGGAGAGAGTGAGCTGGCTGTTTGCAGGGTTCATGCGCTTAGCTTCATGCCAGATGATCAGCTATACTCTATGGAATGATGAGATATGCTTGGACACTGGCTTGTGACCTGCTACTTCTCTGCCACTCGTACTGAAGGTATTCAAGATCGCCAGTAAGTGTGCCACTGCTCAAGGTGCCTATTGATGAGAATCAGGTATATCCTAAACGACTAGTGGGTGCTGCCACAGTCGATTCTCTTTTTGTTTTGTATTCTTCCAAACTCACTCAAACTGGTTGCCTTGATCTCGTCCGCTATTCCAGTTTCCTCCCGTTTGTGATATTCTTTAGTTTCTGACAAACGCCGAGCCTACTGCGCATAGCGGAATTGGGAACACTACATGACCGCAGCAAATTCATCGTTGTGTTGCTTGCATATATCAATGAACCAGAAGCTACATTTACACGCAGAGCTCATAATCCCATTGCCTAATTTTTAACTCATTATGACAGTCATCTTGACTTTAATGTTATATCTAGCATGCTGGCATGCTTCATCAATGACTACACGTGTAAGTATGCACCCTGCACAATGTAACGTTATTTCTCGCAGCGTCGTGACTGGGTACGATGAAATATTTTTTTAATGTCTTCGAAGTGAACTTTGCTCTCATCTCTTTACAAAAGCAAGAACTGTTGCTGTGCCGGTGTTCGAAGCAAGGTCATAGTTGTACTCGCCCAAGCGGGATTAAAAATAAAGGAAAGGACGGTGGTGTAACTGGGATGTTCCCTTTTGCAATCGTTGTACAAAACTCAAAAAGTAAATCGTCCAGGTTGACTCTGACCCATGTACACACGTACATACAACTTCATGAAACAAGTGGTCATTCCACATGCTAGCTCTGTGCCAAAGAAAAGTTGTCGTATAATGACCAGGTGGTCGTTCACACGAGGTTTGGTCCCTTCAAGCAATTCTTCTCTCGCCTGACATGGCCATATGGGTGACCGTTGTGGACTGCGCCCTTCATCCGTCATGCATTCACGGGATGCTCGTACTGATACATGTGGACAAGAGTACATAGCCTGCTTGATGCAATCTTGTACAGCTTGCGCATTGTACGTTGTGCAATACAACCTCACATATCTGCAAACAGTGGTGCAGGGCACTGAAACTAAGTTACTTCATCGGGCTGCATAGAGCCTGCGTCTCACTAATAAGTAGCAACCACTGTATTGCCTCTACTACATGTACATCCAGGATTCTTACCCAAACCATGGCTTCATGGGTACGGGTGTAAACCGGTCTGATGCACATGCATGCATGAGTGCATAGTAGTACAGTACAGGCGCTGTACATGTGCCAGGACATGACTGCAGTCTGTACCCTCATACCACAGTCAGTCACTGCTGTGTCACATGCAAGGCAGTCATGCTGTCATTTCAGCAGGACGGGATTTGCTTCGACCACACTCATCGCAAGCCCTTTCATCACAAGCTGAATTGAAAATTCGGCATGTTTGGTGAGAAAGTAGCTAATTCTTGTCTGTCGCACATACTCACAATTGCATCCCAATAGCCATCACTCTCAAGAGGTGGTGCATACGCACAAACTATTCGCTTGGCACATGACTGTAACAAAACTAGACCAGTAATATTCTTGAAAATAATGATGTGGGGTAAGCCTGTAGCTAGGGTGTCATAAAAGTACTTATACAACAGATACACAACCTGACGGGTACAGTACTCAATGCTGCACTTGTGACATGGTGCCTACCTACCTAGGTGATCAAGCTCAAGGCACATCAAGCATCCTGCTGGGCTCCAGCCCACGGACGAAACACTAGCTTGGAGGTAACTAAGAATAGGGTCAACACAATGCTATGTGTGTTCTAACACAGTAGACCTGCTACGTGTGATAATACGGTGTAAAGAAACTACAGCAGTTGCAGCGGCACGGCGCAACAGTCTAGGTCCCCTCGAGCAATGCATGTCCATACACTGTATGCATAGATAAGAGCATGTGTCCCCATACACTGTATGCATAGATAAGAGTGCGTGTCCCCAGATACCCATAGTACACCAAAGAGTCCCAATACCAGTGCTATCGTGGTACGTGATCCAGCCGAGGAACGCAGTCAGTAAACTTGACTCCATGCGGGATACGTTTGGAGGACTTTGCAACGTCCGGAAGTGCCGCGGTTCAGTTTTTCACCCAGCCGTGCTGATATGGTGTGTGGCCTTGTAGAAACTGTATGAGAGATTTGATTCTCAGCTCTCTACGGCCTGAAGTCTACACAGTGTCACCATGTGTCAGTTCAAGGCCCCGGCACTTGCAACAATTCAAAGATGTCTGTGTAGTTTAAGTTTGGGGAATGCCTACAATCTTGAGCGAATCCACAGGAGACGAGTATTGCGTAATGCTTCACGGACTAATGCGGCTGCCCCGGGCCAGGATAATCAAGAGTGGCGATGATGAGAACGACTTCACCTCCTAATCAGTAGTGGACCTCATCACTGCCAAGCCAGACAGCTCCGCGCTTATCCAACCTCACCGGCTCTGCAGTCGGCGGAACTGTACTGAGGACATTACCGCCCCCGTACGGCCGCAGCTTCTCATGTACGTCCTTGTCTGTCCACGCCGTCACTTTGAGTTTCATCCACTCTTTCACCACATGTCTGGGATACACGGAGCGCAGTGATGACTCGAGGCGCTGCAGAAAGTCTACGTCAATGTTGATCATGGTCCTGTAGGCAAATTTAACACAGGAAAGAACTCTCGTGAAAATGGGCACAGGAGTCAAGAGCACATGGCCGCATGCACATGGGCTACGCTTGCCTGGAAAGCCAAATACAGTATAACCTCTCTCATCCAGGTACCCACATTCGAAAATTGTGCCTAACTGGGAAAGGTTGTAAATCCAGAAGTACTTATACTTCGATGATTGAAGTACTTAAGTACTTGAAACTCATACCCTCTGATGCCATTCTGACATATGCACTGATTATTCCGTACGCGGAGAATGAGCCTCATCAGTCCACATGGCACTGGTGATTTCGTGTGCATTTTGTTAACGTTCATACAATGAGCCTACATTATACCACAACCAATCACGCATAATAGTGGCCTGGCACAGGCAAAACTTCCTAAACTTGTTGGGTTTCTCAACACAATTGAATAGGCTGTGGTAACGCGGCGCCGACGTGCAAACTTGTTTTACAACCGTGATGGATACGGTATGGTGAATGCGGGTTCAGATTATCATTAAAATAATTGGAATTTAAAAAGTAATTCTCTTCCAATTATTCCACTCAAGACAAAGGCGAAGCCCTCAAGCAAACACAAGAAAGAGAAAACCCTCAGCCTCATTGGTGTGCGCGTGCATGCATACACAGTGTAAGAGTTCAACGGTACGGGTACGCACACCACCCAATGTTACACGGTACGGGTACGCACACCACCCAATGTTACACGTAGTTACGTACATGTACATAGTACAGTCAGTACCCGCAGATACCCCCGGGCACTAGAATTGGGCAAATGGGCACTACAATTATACACACGTAGTGTTCTGCTCTACAAGCAATGCAGCAGTCATGGGCAAACTGCGAGAAGTAAGCAATGCAGCAGCGTACCTGTATTTATTATCGTTCATAGTCACCTCCAGCTCAGATACTGCCTTGAAGACGGTACTGCCCGGGAACTTCAATCTGCCCGCTTCGATGAACGGCCGCTCATACACAAACCCATTGAAGCCCAGCCCAACAGCTGTTCTGTGGCCGACCTGGAACATTGATAATAATACAAACAAAAATGGCATGCGCGGTGGTGGTGGTGGTGGTGGTGCGACATTCGCATGCACTGTCACATGTAAAAAAAATTAATCACGGTTCGCGTGAGACTCGGCTAGATAAGAGGCCGAGTTTTCCGCATCCGTAGGAACGCCACCACCCTTCCAGGATCAAGGTCACATGTAATATTCCAAGGAAATTCTAAAAACGAAGATCAGCAGTAGTGGGGCACGTGGCACGTCACAATGATCGTATAGCTGGCTGCACTGGACAGAAGCATCCCATGGTGAGACAAAGTAAGCATTGGTCAATACTCAATAATACATATGTTCACATACACACGTACCTCCAAAGTAAAATTGTTCAGCACCACATTCATAGCAAGTGCCAAGGATGGTAAGGCGACCGGTATTAGCTCGCACAATGGCGCACGGTAGCCTTGGCGTGAGCGACCCATCAGAAATAGGCCGCCGAAATCTGAGCGCCTCACCTGTGCAGATCAAAGAAAGATTTGATGCAGCTTAATTCAACATATGCATGCACGCACTATCCCCAATATCTCCGCTGACAAGGAGTAGGCATGGCGCGAAGAATGAACAACCAGGCAAACACTAGCATAACCACAGCACTTGCAACATTCACTCTTGTAGCAGCACAGCTTAGACTACTGTAATTTCACAAATTTTCGGTGTACTTTTATTTTCGGTACTTTCGGTGCGTCTGTTTCATACCTAAAATTTCAATACACCGAACAAACACTAACACATATAATCCAATAGGGAACTGCTTCTCTGTACCGAAAATTTCTATTCACCTAACCTGGCCTGTTGCCCTCATACCGAAAATATCGAGCACCGAAAATTTCTGAAATTAGAGTACTCGTACTGCCGTGGACATAGAAATCCGGTCGGATGTCAAGTGGCCCAGGGCGCTGGCTATGCAGCCGTGAGCACGCATACGATCAACACGTGCACTGCATATGCAACGTGCTGTACGCACTGAGGGCGCCGACTCTGCGTCAATCGACCGGATTTCCATGTCCACGAGAGTTCATCCACTTACTCCGCCGATAAGTTCTCTCCAGCGCCCATTGTTCTTCAGGGTGTCCTTGAGGTGAACATAGTTTGCGCTGGGAAGGCGCATGCCTTTGTACGACGATGCACCCCAGACTTTACTAAAGTAGTCCACGCCAATTGTGATGAGTGATTCTGTATCGTTGCTGCGCACTACATCGGTCTCCACTACGACGGGTTGCATGTACTCTGAAATCGCCTGCATACACAACACATAAAACAACAGGGTCAGTCAGCATGTGTGTGTGTGTGTTGGGGGGGGGGGGGGGGGGGTCTGTTCATTGTGCTGTTAGCGGAGTCCTGAAATTATTAGTGGGAAGCCAACGTGTCAGGAAAAAGCCTGTTGCACACCATCATGATACACACACGTGCACGCACGCACACACACACACCTCAGACCTGCCCATCGCAGACGCAATGATAGCGAACAGCTATATTAGACATAGCAACTAGTGCTGGGATTACTATACACCATTCAACAGCTTGCACGGCTGATGAATTGACCGCCACTAATTTTAGCCTGGTATCCACCACACGCCATGGCTTGATAATATTATTTCATGGACTGCACTTGACGTGCAGCCCCTGCTCGCTGCTGCACGCGATCGATTTTTATGGCGCTCGCTTGTTCATACTTGCTCTGTGACGCCCGATGGCCTTAGGGCTATGGGCTTGTGATGATGATGATCCACCACACAGCTGATTAAAGCGGCTTTTTCTGGCCAGTGAATCCTTTATTTTCATTTTTTCATTCTTTTTTTCTTTTTCGACACACACACACACCACACCACATACTCCGGCATACACTGGCTGTTAGTAACCACCCAGGAGAATGAAAGACGAGCTAGGAGAATGAGAAAGAGAAGGAAGACGTGTTCGACCATAATCGTTGGGAATTGAACCCGCAACCTCTCGATTGGAAATCGACTGCACATACCACCAAGAGTGTATTATATACTCTTGATACCACTGCACCATATGGGACACACACACACACACACACACACACACACACACACACACACACACACAAATCTCAAGGACGACACTTCAACACATGCCATGCATGCGATACGGTATGCAGAACCAACCTTGAGTTGTACTTCTGACAAATCCGCCAATGCATCAGCTGCGGCCAATACGGTCACACCAGGCCAATTGTGATGAATATGTTGGCTGATATATTGAACCTGGACAAGAGCAGGTATCCAGAAAAGAAATCAGCTACCAGCTGTGAGGTCTGCACAGGATACTTTAGTAAGTGCCATAGCGCATTGCTAACCCATGCACACACGCACGCATACGCATGTACATACGCACACACACACCCACACCCACACACACACACGCACGCACACACACCCACACACACGCACACACACATGTACGGTGGTAACCTCCATGCTTGCACTTGTTTACACGTCACAATCGAGTATTGAGTAACCTACATGTCTATAGTAGAGCTCTCCAATCCGGTTCTCCTTTTCCATTATCAGACACTCCGTGTCGGTGTTTAATTCAGCAAGTTTACTGGATCCGATATATATGTGGCGAGAGTTTGGGTGCAGTGACAGGACCTGAACAGCCAAGCCATGGTAAGAAAAAAAGAAGTGGCATTAGCATCTGCAAACATGAAACTCAAACAGGCAGTATTATGTACAGTGACACAAGATTAGTGAAGGCTGCCTCACCCACACACACACACACACACACACACACACACACACACACACACACACCTTTGACCTTTGACGCCCATCACCGGAGGCGATGATAGCAATGCTACGGCAGAAGCCATAGCAACTTGTGCTGGGATTACACCATTCAACAGCTTGCAAGGCTGAAGAATTGACCGTCACTATTCAGCCTGGTCTACACCATACAGCTATTTGGAGTGACATTTTCTGGCCAGTGAATCCCTATTTTTGGTCTTTTCATTTTTTTTCCCCGCACACACATCACACCACATACTCCGGCATGCACTGGCTGTTGGTAACCACCCAGGAGAATGAAAGAAAAGTCAGGAAGAGTCTGAGAAAGAGAAGAAAGACGTGTGTGACCATAATCGTCGGGAATCGAACCCGCAATCTATCGATTGGAAATCGCTGCACATACCACTGCACCATATGGCACACACACACACACACACAAACACACACACACACACACACACACACACACACACACACACAGTGACACACACACACACAGTGACACAAAACCCAGTCAATAATCTGTCAGGGTGTTTCCCCACTGCCAGTCGTCATTGCTGACCATCCTGGTGTGCAATGCAGCGTTTCACCGAATCCGAATCTTCATTGTATGCTTGCACTCAAAGCCGCACCATGACTACTTCCTTGCTGTTGCTGCTGCTTATACATGTAGTGGAATGCTGTGCAACCAATACTTTCCTCTCCAAAACCAGCGGCAACTGAATTGCCATCCTACGGCACATGACGCAATGTTTGCTCTACTGGCCAGGACTATAGCACTCGGCGTGGCCAGGGCCAGACCTTACCCCAAGAAAGGTTGACCCACCGACTTTGTGAAAGTGGGGGTTTCGTCAATAATGTCCATTTTTGGTCTCAAGTACCCCATTTGAAAAATCCCAGTGCTACGACCCTGCTGGCGATTGAAACTGGATTCACAATATTGCTTTTTTTTGCAATTTGATAAGTGACACATGTGACAGGTGTGCTGTCGTATAGAGTTGCCATGCTACGGTGCCTCTCAATGGAGTACATTCTTCAAGGAGATTCCTGCAACCTGCCCTAGCCGGAAGCGCTTGGCTTTGGTGCAGTGGACCTGTCCTGATAATATGACAGGATCATCCACTTGATCGAGGGATTCAAGTTCGATCCACAGCACGTCGGTACATAAAAATGTGCCCGGTGACTACAGGATTCCGCTTGGTACTGTACAGGGTCCGGCAAACAAAGGTTTACTGTGCACGTAGCGAAGTATGCACCTTTTGAAGTCGCAGGAATCAATGCAACAAGGAAATCGTCTTTCGGCGCGTCCAAGTTTGGTGAATGGATCACCCTCCGGATGAGCGGCCCAATTATTCTTCAAAGTATCTGCACGGGTTGACGAGCACACGGATGTATGCTTTGTTCAAATACTCGGCCACGTTGCGAATGGTGCGAGACGATCATTTCAGGAGCAGAGAGACGTGTTCTGTGACCTGGATCAGCAAGTAATGAACTGTATGGCACAGTCGCTGTGAGTGGTAAATGCCGCATCACGGTCCGCATTGCTGATAGTGTGATATTATCAATAATGTTCTTTTAGAATCATGGCTGGACCATATTTCGAAAGGCTGACCCACCGAACTCGTGCAAAACTGAGTTTTTCGTCAACATTGTTCATTTCCAGTCATTTCTGAAATTCCGGTGCTACGGTCCTGAGAATTACCTGAATGTTTAGTAAGGGTCAAAGGGGTGTACCGGGTGCCCGGGTACCCGACCGTTAATCTCAGGTACCGTTAGTAAAAGGGTAGCCGTTTGGATTTTGATGAACCTGTCAGTACGGAGCAACACTCAGCTGGGATCGTGTATTCCAGGCGGGAGTCAATTACTTACAACTCCACGCTGGATGTCTGCATTGTTGTTGCATTTTCGCACCTAGTAGATCTACTCCTGCGACTATCAGACACAAATCGATTTGCGAATCACAATGTGATATCAAAATGCAACCCGAGAACAGATTAATTAAAATCTTGATTTATGTGAATTGCGCAAAAAAATAAACATGGCTGCTAAAGGGTACCCGTTAACCCGCCTGTTAGTTATACCCGTTTGACCCCTAATGTTTACACCTCTGTGCGGTGTGTAACATGCGGTGTGTCACATGCAGGGTGTTTTAGTACTCCCTGGTTACATGCACAGCGCGGATCTACAGTGCTGCCGCGTCTGTGAAACCCAGTCGCATCGCTCACGTTTACGCCTTGCACCATTTCGCAGCCCAGCGTTCGCAGGTCCAGGGCTGCGCAATGCTCGGTGAGCACCACTACTAGTACTTGAGTGACGCGACTGGATTTCATTGAGCAGTATTGTAGAGCTTCATGGGTAATGTCAGGTCACATCAGTACTACACTACTACACTACTAGTACTACTACACTACAGCTGGACCAGCAGTGAATGACAATACTGTACAATATCATGTACATATACCTGATCCACTATTTCTGTGACGAGACGCTCTGGCAGTTTGTGCTTGTGACACGTATTCCAACTATTGCGAGTCTGGCCGCCAAACGACTTGACAAGATCGTCGAATGCATCGGCGTTGTCCACTACATACTGTAGATCGGTGAAGGTGTTCACGTACGGTATGACCTCCATGCCCGTCCTATCGGCTGTCAGCAGCATATCTGCTATATCCTCGTGGCTCATGTGGTGTTTCGTACTCAGATCGGCTAGCTTGCCATCGAATGGGAACATCGTCTCATACTCCACGAGGATTCCGGACACTTTGCGCTGGCCGAGCCATGTCACCAGCTGCAGGATGTAGTCGGTTCGCGGAACAGCGCCCTTGAAATCCAAATGCACTACGAACGGAGGATGCCGAAGCACATTATACCCCGCCATCAATAACAGCTGATCATTGAAGTAGACAATCTGATAGAAGACTAGCAGTAGGCACAGCGCCAGGCCACCCAGACGGGCAAACAAATTGGAGTTCATAGCTGGTAGCTAGCGCTGGCCAGATGCGCAGGACTAGTTTCTAGTAGCGATGTGACTTCCAAAGTAGAGTAGCGGCAGCAGCAACATCTGCTTCTAGTGCTTGGCCGGATGCCCCCACCGCCATGAAGTCTTCCATGGATCAAACATCAACTAATTACTTCTTCAACTCACGTCGCGTCGTGTTGTACGAACACTATGGGTAAGCGCTCCTTCCTGACCCTGACTTTACTCTTTACTTTACAGTGTTACTTCTTTAGTTTAGTAGGGCTTCTACTGCTCCGCACTCTGCTAGCTGCCAGTGCTAGTGGCGTACCGGACTGTTGTGTAATAAATAAAGCAGTGTCTGTAACAAAATTGATTGACCGCCAGTTGTAGTAGTCTCCTACTGACCTGAGTTGTAGTATTAGTAATTATGCTTCTGGAAATTTCCACACATCGAATTCGCGAACACGGAACAGTTTGTTCATTGTAACCAGGCCCAGGAGGCTGAGGTAGTGAGGAGTGCTATATAGCGCTAGTGAGTGAGTCGCGTGAAAGCTTTCACGACTTCATGATTGTACATGACTGTACTGATTCATATCATGAGTGATGACTACTGTCTGTAGTACAGTACTACTACTACTACTACTAGTACTAGCAACTCTCAATCATAACAAATAAACCGCCATGGAGTATCGAGCGTGTGCAACTCCACTCCAGTGCAGTCTGTATGTATTAGTACTCTTACTGTCTTAGCTTACCGACGGGTAATCATGGTAATGTCCTAATGAATGGTCGGATCTGTCGAGAGTCGAGGCGCTAGGCGGCAGAACTTCGCATCACGTGACAACACCATACACACCGTACCGTTTGCACCCCGGCCCTACCCCCCTGTACCCCCCTGTCACTGACGAGTGATGACGGTGCAGCTATCAGGCCATGTCAGAACCTGTGCCACTCTGGACCAGTCTGGTGGTCGCTTTGCACTGCCAACGTCAAGACATGTGATGTGTCACACTCACAGTGATGTGATGTAGATAAGAAAACTGAGTGTACTCTGCATTGAAACAAAGGATAGAGGTTGACAGCATGTACATGTACATGTAACAAGGTGGAGGACACTGTGTTCGGAAACGTGACCTTTCTACAACCATCCACGGTTGGTAGAGCCCAGGTCGGTTGGGACCATCTGAACCACAGTATAGGTGTTACGGTTCAGATGGTCACAACCGACCGGGGCTCTACCAACCATGGATGGTCGTAGAAAGGTCACCGTTTCCAAACACGGTGTCCTCCACCTTGTTACATGCTGTCAACCAACAACATGTTTGAACAAACTTGCAAGGTGGTTTATCTACTATAGCCTAGGTTGCTACTTGTACTAGCAAGAGTATAAACCTCCGAAGAGTGTACAACTCTGCATATGGGGTCTCCGATGGCGAAAAGTCACATCACGTGTCTCAGGTACGTTTCGTACTACATGTACGTACAAACGAAGGATAGCGTGCACCCAATCCGATCTGCCATGATCATGCTGGGGATTTGCATACGCGCAGTGAGTTTCCGTCAGAGCGTGCTTTTATTATTACTCCACTGCTCGCTAAAAACGGGCGGGAAACGTACAACTGCGACACGACACCACGTGATGTGAGTTTTCGCCGTTGGCGAACCCCATGGAAAGTGTATCAGGAGTTGCACACTCTTGGGGGCTTATCATATGATACTCTTGCTACTTGTACTTGTATAGAGAGGTTATGCGAATGACGTCATGGCGGACTTTCTAATGCCGGGCGCTAAGTAAGTATACAGCGTGAGTCAGCAGATTTCCAAATGGGTGCTGAGTATGCAGCGTAGCCCTTGGCGGATTCTGCTGGCATAATTATTTCTGGCATATTCTTCGGATTTTGTCTAAAAATTATGCCCTGGCATAAAAGGACTTCTGACACCAGACGGTCGGCATAACCTTACGATGCCGGTGGCTGAAGATTCATGCTCCAGGCATATTTAGGTATGTTACGGGAAATAACCTGGTGCATGTTACCCCTTATGTAGCAAGAAGGACCCATGAGTGTGTGTGTGATCCCCGGTAGCCGGATCGGTAGGGCACTGTCCCGGAAAGACAGGGGCGCTAGGTTCGAATCCCGCTCGTGGATCCTTCTTTTGCAACATTGGTGCCCAACGTGAGGCTCGAACCCACGACCCACCGTACCCCCCCCCCCCCCCCTCCGCGAGTAGGTACGACGTGAGGACACAGCCTGTTGGGCCAATTGGGGCGGGGGAGCAGTGTAGCAAGAAGGACCCATGAGTGTGTGTGATCCGCGTTAGCCGAATCGATAGGGCACTGTCCCGGAAAGACAGGGGTGCTGGGTTCGAATCGCGCTCGTGGATCCTTCTTTTGCAACACTTATAAGCCGCCAGAGTGGTTGTAACGTTGCAAAGTGCAACAAGAGTGCAAGGGTACAGTATAGCACCATCATTGGCATAATTCCAGCATAATGTAGCATAATCACTGGCATAATTTGGGCTTAATGGAAAGCATAATCCAGCCATTTATCGAGTATAATACTCCAAGAGCTATATGCAGCGTGAGTTGCTACGACGCTAGTGCAAGTGCAGCACTGTGCCGTGACTCAGTCCGCGTCTCCGCGACTTTGCCAACGCATCTCAACTGATGATGTAATCGCTTAAAACCTCTAAACATGTACACGTAGTGCCCTAGACATGGAAATCCAGTCGAATAACCGGGGCCGGCGCCCCCAGCGCATACAGAATGTAACCATCATGTTGATCCGATGCGACCAGCACGCTGCAGCGCATAACTGAATGCGTGCGGCTTACTCACGGCTGCATGGCCAGCACCCTGGGGCCGCTAGATATGCGACCGGATTTCCATGCCGGTCCACGACAGTACATGTAGCTAGCTATCCAATCATGTACATATACATGTACAAGTAACATGCCCAATGCTGTAGACAGCAAGCTGTATCGGCCATAAAGGCCTCGCCAGTACAGCTGCGAGCTTTTTAAAGTAAGCCGAGCTACAGGCCTTCATTGCTCTAGCGCCAGAGTGCTGAAAGTGACTGAAACTATGAAAAGTAGCCTGGGGGAATCGCCGATGCGTAATGCAGCAGCACTAGAACAGCCTACTGAGAGTGCTCAAGAAGACAAATGTCGAGGAGCGTCGCACCCAATGCTGTAGACAGCAAGCTGTTTCGGAGCTACCGGTCATGGCGCAAAGGTGGAACCACAGCGACGAATGTAGAGGAGGGTAATGCCCAATACTATAGACAGCAAGCTGTTTATGTACATGTTCGAACAGGCAGTTGCACACTCTTGGGGACTATATGCTCCTAGTACAATGGGTGTAGTGGATAGCATTGCACTAGCAGCACTGGTGCGGAACTACTTGTACCGTAAAAGCCCGTATAAACGCCCACTCAGTATAAACGCCCACTCAGTATAAACGCCCACCCAGTATAATGTCCACTACCCGTGTACACGCCCAGGTGCCCAGTGACAAGTCCTGTCAACACTCTTGTTCCGTTTTCTAGCCCACCTCCGTGTTAGCGCCCATGGGTGAAAGCTAGGCAGGTCCATTACCAGATTACACAGTGCAGTGCAGGCACAGCTCCATGTGTATGTACGGTACTGTAGTACTTCGAAGTACATGTACATCAGGGAGTCGTAAAATACCGGTATTCTACGACTCCCTGGTGTACATGTATAACTTTTTTAAATGTACACTGCAAATGCACTGTGCATGTGCTCGCCTGATTTGTACATGCAGAAGTACGGCATGATATGAAAATCAGTCTGATTTCACTTATCCGGAATAACCCATGCCCGGGCCCACATTAGTGCCCAGGCCCAAATTGACGCCCATGTTCTGGACGTTCACTAAGTAACGTTTCCGCCTAGGGCTTATTTACTGGCTTTTACGACGGTATGCTGCTACCAGGGTTCTAGCCAAAGGAGGAGGGGGGGGGGGGGGGGGGGGGGGGGGGGGGCAGCATCCTCTTAGTCTGATTGAGCACCCCTCCCCCTACTCATTTGTCGATTTTTGTGTTTTTTTTATGCCATTCAACGAAAATGCAGTCGATAGTCACTACTGCAGTAAAAAAACTTGAAGTAAAGTGAATGTCGTGTCCGTTCCCAAAGGGAACTCTGTTACTCACGACGGCCGCTAACACCCAGTAAACCCTAGCGGCAGATGCAGCGCCTAACGGTGGGGGTGAGGGACAAGTCTCACAACCGCTGGCACAAGTGCGGAGAAACCCCATTAGCCGCATCCATGCACCCCTTGTGCCTGGCCACAAGTTCCCAGTTGACTGTGGGTAGCAGCACGGCTGGAAAAATCGCTCCCAGGCAGGACGTACATGTAGGACTTGAACCAGGCACCTCTCAGTCATATCTCAATCGTCATGGTGGTCTTTGACCAACCCACTGTGCCTGCCTGGTTACTGCAGGGTTCATAAAGGCACATTTGTCTGGGGTGAAGTTGGGGGGGGGTTAGGGGTAAGCGGATTATGCCAGCATATTTTTGGCATAATCAGGTCCTTTTTGAGAAGGAGCATAAAATGGCATCCGAAAAACAAGGGCGGATGCCCGATGAGGCTCTTGAAGGCATAATTGAAGGCGTAATTTTGGCATAATCAGGTCCTTTTGAGAAGGAGCATAAAATGGCATCCGAAAAACAAGGGCAGATGCCCAATGTCAATGAGCCATTATGAGGCTGTTAAACACACCTGCTATTGAAGGCATAATTGAAGGCATAATTGAAGGCATAATCAGGTCCTTTTTGAGAAAGAGCATAAAATGGCATCCGAAAAACAAGGGCAGATGCCCAATGAGGCTGTTACATGTATATGTACACACCGGCTATTGAAGGACCATACAAAGCGCTTCTTGTCGATTTGGAATAATTATTGTAGCAGCCACTATAGGGCATCTCCCAAAAGTTCAGCGTTTGCTTGTGAATTTGGTATTCCTCTTGCATATTATTGTCTTGTACTTCCACAAAGCTCCCAGTCCACATCATGACAATGGTCTGAGTCCTTTTTTCATGACGATTATCTGCTGTTCTTTTGTCTTTTTGGTGAAGCACAAACGGCATAATTGGCTGTTTTCTCGAGCATCCTGCGAGCAGCCACTAGAGCTAGCCATTGGCGGACTATGCTCGGCCAATCGTCAAATTATGCTTTTGATTATGCCACAATTATGCCAACAAATATGCTGAATTATGCTGAATTATGCTTGGTTCCACTATGTATTCACGCTGTACATAGAGGATTGAGAAACCACGCATACACACACGGCCATGCCCTAAGCATAATTTTTGTCTAAACCGAAAGATTATGCCGACCTTACACGTTGGAATCCGTATAATTATTATGCCGGAGCATAATTTTTTGACGAAATCCCAAGATTATGCCAAATATTATGCTGGCATAATCCGCCAAAGGCTATGACAAGGAGTCGTACCTGGGGTATTTAAAAAA